GGGAACACAAGCAGGGGGAGTGGGGGAGGGAGAAGCAGGCTTCCCGCCGAGCAGGGAGCCCGATGTGGGGCTCGATCCCAGGACCCTGGGATCATGACCTGAGCCGAAGGCAGACGCTTAACGACTGAGCCACCCAGGTGCCCCCCAAATGCCCATTTTAATGCAATGTTTGGAACCATCTAGTGCCCAGCAGTTAATTTAAAGCCACGTGTTTTTTGTTTGTTTGTTTGGTTTTGGTTTTTTTTTTCACCAAGACAGCATTCTGTGCACTGCCAGGGAAACCTCAGCGGTTTCTCAAAAGCAAACTAACGGTGATGGATGCCTACAAATCTTTAGCAAAAAAAACCTTTCTGTGAGTCAGAAGCCTATCATCCAGCTGTCTGTTCACCAGGTTTCCTTCCTGTGAGTCACGTTAAGAAGCTTGACTTCTTTCTCAGTTTTCAGCCCTTTTCTGGTTCAATCAATGGCAGTTGAAACCGTATTATAATTCTTGGAAGTGTTGATAGATGCGATTGGTCCTCTCTCTCAGACAGCCCTTGGAAAGGAAGTGGTGTAGAGGAACTAGAAAGAGGTAAGGAAGGAGAAGTCTGTATGTGGATGGAGGGAGAAGCAAAAAAAGACTAGAGGAGAAACCAAAGGACTAGAAATTTGTTGCTGCCCTAGAAGTCAAAATATTTAGTTTAATTTATCACAAATTGGTGGCCAGTTTCTTAGGAATGATGTTGCCAGAAAAAACGAAGGATTCCAGTTAAATTTGAATTCCAATAAATAATTTTTATTATAAATAGGTCCAATGCAATATTTCAAACATATTTATATTAAGATTTTTTTCATTGCTTTTTATTTATTATTTTTATTTATTTATTTATTTTTTAAAAAGATTTTGTTTATTTATTTGACAGAAAGAGACACAGTGAGAGAGGGAACACAAGCAGGGGGAGTGGGAGAGGGAGAAGCAGGCTTCCCGTGGAGCAGGGAGCCCAATGTGGGGCTCGATCCCAGGACCCTGAGATCATGACCTGAGCGGAAGGCAGACGCTTAACGACTGAGCCACCCAGGCGCCACTTTCCATTGCTTTTTTAAAAAATTTTATTTTATTATGTTATGTTAGTCACCATACAATACATCATTAATTTTTGATGTAGTGATCCACTATTCGTCGTTTTTGTATAACACCCAGTGCTCCATGCAGTACGTGCCCTCCTTAATATCCACCCTTCCACCCCCTCCTCTCTAAAACCCTCAGTTTGTTTCGCAGAGTCCACAGTCTCTCATGGTTCATCTCTCCCTCTGATGTCTCCCCCTTCATTTTTCCCTTCCTTCTCCTAATGTCCACCATGCTATTCCTTATGTTTCACAAGTAAGTGAAACCATATGATAATTGACTTTCTCTGCTTGACTTATTTCACTTAGCATAATCTCCTCCAGTCCCATCCATGTTGATATAAAAGTTGGGTATTCATCCTTTCTGATGGCTGAGTAATATTCCATTGTATATATGGATAAGTTACCATATTGAAGAGGAAATAGAGACAATAGCTCCTATTTTTTAGAAGAAAAATCCAAATTACTTGGACTTGATAGTTCTTTCTGGGGCAGCCTCTGCCTTCTAGCTTCTAATGCTGTGGAGCCCTAAGCACTTGAAACTGACCATTGGTTCAAACCTCCCAGCAGGTCATGGAAATTGGACTCACTGCCCTAGACTTGGCATCTTCCCTAAATAAGGTAAGCTTGAATTCCACAATTCTACTGAGCCTCATTCTTGATTTAATTCCCACCATGTTTGTCCTGTCAATAGGAGAGATTTTTGCCTTGGTTTTTGCCTATACCTGAGGTACTGAACTCTAGAGCATTCAGTTGTGGTTTTGACATCCAGTCTATACCTTACCGTTTGACTCTTTTCCCTCAACCCATGCCTAGGGTGTGTCTTTAAACCAAACACATCAACTGGGACCACAATGCTGACTCCAACCCTCATCATCTTGTAGAACAGTGGTTGCCAAACATTTTCTGTTAAAAGGTCAGATAGAAAAATTTGGGGTTTTGTAAACCCTACAGTCTCTGTCAATTCTACCACTGTAGCACGAGAGGACATGTGTTCCAATAAAACTTTATTTACAAAAACGGATCATGAGCCAGATACCACAGACCATAATATCTAGAAAATCTTGTGATCTTGCTCTTTTTGCCCAAAAGTTTCCACCTTGATATCAATGCTGGCCTAGGAGCTCATGGGAACCACATCTTTTTTACTTGTTATGTTGATGGCTGCTTCATGCCCTCATTAGGGGGTCAGTCCTATTTTACAATCTTGGTGCCCTAGTCTTGGGCCTGGCAGTTCCCAGCTTTCTTCTCTTTTCCTCCACCAGCCTCTGAGGTCCCAGCATGTCTAGAGGATGAGCACACTCAAGTGAGTCAACTTCTGCTTTTGTTTCCATGCTACAACCAGGATCCACCCTCTTTCTTTCCATAAACACTATCTTAAAGACTTAGTTGCCTGTGCTTTGGACTGGTTCTGTCTCCTCCTTGCTCTTCTACCTGAGGAAGCTTTATCTTTCTATCACTGCTGCATAATAAGTCAACGAAACTACCAACAAGAGCTAGGCATGGTTTGCCTTATAATAGCTATGGATTTAGAGAAAACCATTCTCTCTTAGATAATTAAAAAACCCTGGCAGAACCAGGTAAAAGCAGCCAGGGCACAGTTTCAGGGCTACCCACGTAGTGCTTCAGCATGAAGAAAAATCAACATCAATTGTATTGATGCTGCTATTAGAAGTAATAATATGACCTTGGAAAGACGTTATTGTGTGAAAATGCAAGGCAGATTTCACAAGCAACTCAATACATGCATGAATAAATCTACCTATTCACAAGGGTACTTTGGGACCTAATGAATGAATGTTAAAAATAATGTTTTAAATAAGAAAAGGACAACAAGTTTGAAAAAACTCTGCCCAAACCTTGTCAATAATGTTGATTGACGCTGGTTCCTGCTCTGGGTCAGTCTGACCCCCTTGTTCTACATGTCCTTTTACTTTATGGGATAAGTGTTTCTCTCAAAAGTTGAGTGCAGTTAAAGGTTTTGTAAGCCAAATACTATTTTAAATAGAGAGTTCTAATTTTGGAGGCTTCCTTCCCTCATTAAAAAATTGTTTCTATTTCTTTTATTTCATTATAACAAATTTCCAATAACCATTATACCTCCAAATTAAAACTCTCTATACTTTCTCAGGAAAGAGTATCTTTGAATTATCTTTTTGATAATTATCTGAACTCCTTCAAACCAGTCAAGTGTTACAATTAATTTTGATGGCTTTGGGAGAAATCTAAAGCTATCAGATTTTTACATTACTGTTATTCTGTGGTTTGATTATAGCTGATAGTATCAGACAGATGCTCAACAAATACTACTTGAGGTAGAGTTCTGTAATAATTGTAATCGATGGTCAAAACTTTATTATCATAGACTTTTTAAAAAAGTGCATTTTTGATAATTGTCCTACAATGAACTGCACACATTTAAAGCATACAGTTTGATACACTTTGACATATGTATAGGCCCATGAAACCATCACTACCATCAAGATAAAGAACACATGCATCACCTGCCAAAATTTGCTCATGTTCCTTTATAATCCCTCCTTCCCATCTCTCCCCATCTGTCCTTCAACCCTATCCCCACAACCACTATTCTGCCTTCTGCATTTTCTAGGATTTTATGAGAATAGAACCATACAATTTGGATTCTTGCTTGTCTGGCTTATTTCATTCAGTAAAATTATTTTGATATCAATCCATTTGAAATGTGCATCAATAATTCACTTCTTTTTGTTGCTGTGTAATCATTTGATAACTGTTTACCCACACACCTGTTGATGGACATTTGAATGGTTTCCACCTTGGGGTTATTAAAAATAAAACTGCTAGGTCTTTATATGGTTGTACACTTTCATTTATCTTGGGCAAATATCCAGGAATAGAATGGCTGGATCACACACTAGGCGTGTGTTTAACTTTTTAACAAACAGCTGAACTGTTTCCCAAAGTGTTTATACTACTTTGAATTCCCACCAGTCCTCTGTGAGGGTTCTAGTTTTTCTACATCCTCATCAACCCTTGGTATGGCCAGACATTTTTCATTTTAGCCATTCTAATATGTGTGTAGTGATATTTCAATATAATGTAATTTGCATTTCCCTAATGACTGAGAATATTGAGAAATTTTTCATGTGCTTATTTGGTATCTGATATTTTATGTGGTAAATTGTTCAAGTATTTCCCCATTTTTAAATTTCATTTATTTATTTTTTAAAAGATTTTATTCATTTGTTTAGGAGAGTGAGTGAGAGAGACAGCACATGAACAGGGACAAACGGAGAGGGAGAGAGAGAAGCAGACTCCCGGCTGAGTGCAGAGTCCCACTCGAGGCTCGATAAGACCCTGAGATCAAGACCTGAGCCAAAGTCAGATGCCTAACCAAGTGAGCCACCCAGGTGTCCCTCCTCTACGTACATTTAGAACCTTACCAAACAATGATATAATTTTTGCCTCAACCATCGAACATAATTTAGAAATCTCTAAAGGAGAAGGAAAGTCTATTGTATTTACTCATATGTATGCTTCCATGTCCATTCTTCTTTCCTGGTGTTCCAAGATTCCTTCTTTTATCATTTCTTTTCTGTTTACAGAAATTCCTTTAGCCATTCTTTCAGGGTAAGGCTGGCAACAAATTCTCTTGTTTTTCTTTATCTGAGAATGTCTTGATTTTCTCTTTGTTACTGAAGGATATCTTTGTAGAATATAAGATTTTGTATTGACAGTTCTTTCAGCACTTGAAAAATGTGTCACTTCATTTTGTCCTCCATGGTTTCTGATGAGAAATCCACTGTCATTTGAATAGTTTTCCCTTTGTAGGTAAGGCACTGCTTCTCTCTTATTGTTTGCAAGATTCCTTGTCTTTAGTTTTCAGAAGTTTGACTGTGGTGTATCTTAGAGTGGATTTATCTGAGTTATCTTGCTTGGGAGTTTTCTCAGCTTCTTGAATCTGTGGATTTGTATCTTGTGCCAAATTTGGGAAGTTTCCAGCCTCTAGTACTTTTTTTTTTTTTTTTATCTCTGTTCTCTTTCTTTTCTTCTGGGACTCTGATGACATAATGCTAAATCTTTTGTTACAGTCTCACCAACCCCGAGGCTCTGTTCACTATTGGTTTTGCATTTCCCAGGATATATCTCTCTGTTGTTCAGGTTGGGTAATTTCTCTTGCTTCATCCTCCAGTTCACTGATTCTTTTGTCCTCCCCATTCTTCTGTCAAGCTCATCCACTGAGTTATTATTTCAGGTATCATATTTTTCCAGTTCTAAAATTTCCATTTGATTCTTTATATTTTTATTTATTTGCTGAGACTTTCTATTGCTTTGCTGAGACATTACATACTCTCATTTGTTTCAAATATGTTCCTAACTGCTCCTTGAAGCATTTTTATGAGGACTGCCATACAATCTTTGCCAGATAATTCTTATATTTCTGTCATCTGGGTGAGGGTATTTATTGATTTTCTTTTTTCATTCAGTTTGAGATCTTCCTGGTTCCTGGTGTGATGAGTGATTTGTATTGAAACCTAGATGTTTGAATGTTCTAAGACTCTGGATCTTGTTGAAGCCTTCTGTCTTGGCTGGCTTCTGCTGACATCTTTCTGGCAGAAGAAGAGGGTAGGGTCACTGTCTCATTACTGCCATGTTTCCCACTTGACCTCTGCTGATATCCAAGGGGGACTCCTCATTATTGCTGGTCAAAAGTGAGTGTTCCAACTCCCTACTAGTGTTCACCTGTATCTCCCTGGTTAGGAGGAGTAGGAGTGTCTCATTGCTGTTTCCTAGGTAGCCTCCAGTGGTACCATAGGAAGAGTGGCCCCACACAGCCACAGTGGAAGGGCTTATTCTTCACTAGGCCTCCTCTAACACCACTCCTGTTTGGGGGACCAGTGGTGGCACCTCATTACTGCTGAATGGGGAGGCAGGGCTGGGCTTCCCACTGGTACCCACTGATACTGTAATAGGGTTCTGATTACCACCTGGCAGGATGAAAGTCCTGGTTCCCTACTTAGCTTTTGCTAACACCACCCTGACAGGGAGTTGGGGAGGTAGGGGTGTAACGTTAGGGGGCTTTGCTACAGCCTAGTGAGGGTGGAGTCTAAGCTTTCCACTAGATCTTTGCTGTTATGAGTGGGAGTGGGGTCATAGTTGTTTTTTGTTTTGTGGTGTTTGGCTAAAGTAGAGCTGTTATTATCTAAAAGTTCTCTATCTTCCTAGGCTATTCATTTCCTACAATTTTGGCTAGAGGGAGCAGACTTTTGTTGTGGCTTTTTTTGTCTGTGCCTATTGGCATTTCCAGGTTGCCAGCTTTTCGGCTCCAAGTCTGGAATATATGAGATGAAAACTCACCAATGTTTTGTTCCATGGGTCCCAGTGTTCCTAGACAATCTGCCTTCTCTCGCATTTTAGAGTCTTCTTAAACTTTTTTGATATATGTTGTCCAGGGTTTTTTTTGTTGTATTTTTCACTTGTTCCTCCAGGGAAGAATAGGGAAAAATATATCTATCCACCTTCCCATAAATGGAGTCACTCATTTGGTTTTGTTTGTTTATTTTGGAGTTATTCTCAATTTTTTGTGTGGAAAATAATGTGTTCCAGCAGGTACTATTTTTGTTCTAGGTTTAAAAAAGCTACATGGTACTCCTGTTTGAAAGCAGATAGTCACTTTCCAGTTTACTAAACCTTTCACATTGGGTTTTCTTAAAGTGTTACATGCCTGTCCAGAAAAAGAGTTCCTTTGACGACAGTATATTCTACTAGGCAACTAGTGGCATAATCACTCCCCCAAAAGATTCTTTAGATGACAGCTATTGTTCAGACATGGGCTCATCCCCAGAAGTGCTGAATTCAGCAGCAGGTTCTAGATGCAATTATAGTTGATCAGGAAATACAAAAGAGATGATTGTATCAAGACAAAGTTACTCTACAGTGGAGAACCATCCTCATTGGCCTTTCTAGGTGGACTGGCCACTGGCTGCTATGTTACCTACAATGGTCAGTTGGTTCTTTCCTCATTTCTTTCAACCACAGAGCTTATCAGCCCAAACATGCTCTAACTATTTCCACCCAGTTTTCACCAATAGGATTATGTACTGTTTAAACTTTAGAGTCAGATAGATTCATATTAGAATTGTGTGATTTTTCTCACTCCCACTCTTGCAGCTGGATGTATACTAGACCCTGTGACTTAGCACCTATAGGAAGAGAGAGAGAGAGAGAAGAGGAGAGGGGAGGAGAGGAGAGGAGAGGAGAAGGGAGGGGAGGGGAGGGGTAGGAAAGGGAAGGAAGAGAAGGGAAAGGAAGAGAAGAGAAAAGAAGAAAAGAGAAGAGAAGAGAAGAGAAGAGAAGAGAAGAAGAGAAGAGAAGAGAAGAGAAGAGAAGAAAAGAGAGGAATGGCTTCTCCCTAACAAAAGATGCTGAGCAGCTCAGCACAAAAGACCATCGCACTAGCTCACAAGGGAGAGTGTTAGTCCAAGTCTGAGATGCAGAGCAGGCAGGTTGAAGACCAAATCAGTTGATAGAAAGTTTTCCCAGGATGGAACAAGTAGGCAGCAAAGGTGGTAAGGACACCATCAATATGACAGTGGACATGGAAAGACTGAAAACCAGTTCAGGAACTAACCTTAAAAACATGATCCAGTCACTGTGGCATCCCTCTTATGCGCAGCTTGATGTGTGTTGTTAGGGAAAGCACCATCCATAAGAGTCTACATTTGTCAGCGGTGATATAGAAGAAAGGCAAAGAGCTGGAGGAGGTCAGCAAGGCCTGTGCTGATGAGATTTGTGTCAAGCTGGGTCAAATACAGAGCTTTCGCTAGAACTAAAACAGAGCTAAAATAAGGGCAAGCAAAGGACTACAGTATAGATTTCATTCTCTAAGTCCAGGGAAGTAATATAAAAAGAGAAAGTGTCAGCCTACATTGCTTTCTTTGGACCTTCATAACATCATCTCTCTTAAGAAGATGACATTATCCACTTTTTTTCCAAACAAGTTCCCGATAGTGAGTTTTAGACCATTCTCTCAGGGACAATGTCACAAAGACCTCCCCAGACAGTACATGAGATCATGGAAAAGGGGGCCGGTGAGACAACCAGTAGAGGCTATTGGGTAGACAATCAGTAGAGGCTGTTGTTGGGGCAACTGTGCCATTTCTTCAATTTGTTTCCCTCATAGAGGCAAAACCACAACATTTGAAAGGCATTTCAGGAGACATGATCTGCATTCATGAGATCATGGGTAATGCTGATGTTCTAATTCAGGGGCAAGCAATTCCATTTTAAAATCCAGCTGTGATTCTCTAAAAAAGAATATTTCCTAGGTTACATGTAAAAGCAAGTCATTAAAACATGCAACTCGCCTTTATTTCTATGTTTAGCCTGTAGTTAATCAAACCTCACCCTCTGGGCTGGGAGCCCACAGATATCTCATAACACTTACTAAAGTGTATAATAATTTGGATGTATTTGTTTATTTCTTTGCCTCTCCCATACTTTTACTGTAAGACACATCTGCTTTTTCTCCATTCTTTCCATTCTCCATTCTCTCCATTCTTTGGTGCACACAGCACCAAACCTGGGTAGTCATTCAATAAAAAGATGTCAGATGAATAAATGAGTGAATGAAAATCTTGGATGCATAAACTATGAGGTAGCTCTTTGGAGTAGAAAAGGTACCTAATACTATCAATGTCTTTAGCAAATTTTGCTTAACACAAAAGACTGTTTTTAATTCTTGCCTCTGTGGGTTCTGCTGAGGAGTGCCCTGATACCCAGTAGGGAACACTGTGAGGAGAAGGGCTAACAAAGTCACCCTTTCCACTGACTTCCATAAGTGTTTGCAGGTGGAGTTTGGACACAGCAGAAACAGTTGCTTTCTTACCAGTTATAAGAATCAGTGAATTGTAATTACTTTTGTTTTCTAGGACCCTGGTTGAAGATAAGAGGAAAAGGGATCTCAAACTCCTGAGTTTGTATTGCTGTGTGCTGAGTTCCCAGAGTTGACTCAGGGAACCCCATCCTGAAACAGGTGGGCATCAGCTGCATAAGCATCGCCTCTGTTTCCAGGTGGTGGGTTATTTGGACCACTTTCCCTCTTGGGTAGAAAGGCAAAGAGTAGAGTCTCTAGTGAATTCAAGAGAAAGGGAGAATGGGAGGCCTCGAGACAGGCACCCGCCAACTGGGACTTCAAAGGCCATGGATTAGCTATGTCTGTCCACTGTTCCTTTACCACAAAGAAGAAGAGAGAAGACAAAAAAGAATCAACTGAGAGTGGGAAGGAGTGGGTAGAGAAACCAAGTATATGTTAGAATCATTTAAAAGAATGGCAGCTAAGGTGGGAGAATGATGGTGTCTCTGGAAAGTGAGATGGGGCGCTGGAAAGTTTATGTCAATAAACCCCATCTCTGCTGCTATTGTTTCTCCAACTTCCCTCCTGTGGGTGCTTTTCTTGGCTGGGGCTCCCTGAAACAAGTCCTAGGGAGCCTGAGAGGTGATAGTAAAGCTGAGGAAGGGAGAAAATTGGGAGGCACTCGAGAGCTTCTTCCCCAAACTCTTCTTCATTTCCCTTGTCATCTACTCTTAGAAATAAAGGGCAACCATGGCAAGAGGTTCTGACTGCAGCCTTCCAAGGCTCCCGTCAGTCATTTCTTCTCTTTGCTCAAACCATCAAATCCTGTAAGGTTTATATGAACTTTCTAGCAGAGGCCCTGCTCAGATGATGACTCACTATAAGGGGAATGGAAAACATTATGAAAGGATTTTCAGCTAATGGGTAAAATGTGTAGGACGGTTCCTATCCAAGCCCTTGCTGCCTTGGAGGGCCCCTTCCTCCAGCCCTCAGTCTCTAGCTCAGTGTGAAAGGATGTCTTGCTTGTCCAGGGACTAAGCACTCTTCTGGAAGAGCAGAATACCCGAGGTTGGACCTGTAGACAGGCAAAGAGAAGACCAGAGGAGAAGGCCACGGCTGCTGGCAAACCTGTACTAGGATGGAGAAGCTTGCCTCTAGGTTGCTAGTTCAAACCTCAGCTGAATTGGGGACAGGGAGAGGAGGAATGTTAACTGGAGAAAGTCAGTTTCCACTGAGTTCCAATTGCCAGGACACTCACACCAGTAATGAATCAACCATCTGGCACCAGGCAAAATGGGGCCAATCCCTCCAGCATGAAGATATCCCCTTCCTGCAGCTGAAGGAAGAATTTAGGGCAGGGCTGATCTTAGAGGGCCATTCCTTGGACAACTTCTCTTTTCTGACTATATCCCCTCCCTAGGTGATCTCATTCAGCCTCGTGGCTTTAGACACCAACACCCAAAGTTCCATCTTCAGTCCCAACTTCTCCTTTGAGTTCCAGCCTTGTTATCTCGAACTGCATCCTTATAATCTCCCCTTGGATGTCGGATAGACACCTCAAACTAAGCACATGCAAACAGCATTTTGGAACCTTCTACCCACACCTGTCCCACCCACATGTCAGGTGACAAGAACTCTGTTCTTCCAGCTGCTCAGGTCAAAAACCCCAACTCCTCTCTGTCTCACAACCCAAACGGTAAACCCTTTTGATCTCTACCATAAAATATATCCAGTTCTCGCTGTCTTCACTGCTGGTCCAAGGCACCATCGCCTCTCACCTGTGTCCCACTGTGATGACTTGTTTTGCCCTGCACCCTCATCTGTCTATTCCCTCCCAGATCCTGAGTGACTCTTAAAATTTAAGTCAGATCAGGTCATTCTTTCCACTCAAAACCCTTTAGGAGCTCCCACCTCACTCAGAGGAGAAGCCCAAAGCCCTTAGATTGGCCTCGGAGGCCTCGTGATCTTCAACTCCCCTCTCTCCTCTGGTCTTTGCCCACTCCCCTCCTGCCTTACTGGCCTCCCAGCTGTCCCTCCTATCTCAGGCTCCCTCTGCACAGGGCACCTTTCTCCCACACAGCCACATAGCCACTGGTCCTCTCCTTCGGGTGTCTCACCTTTGGGTGAGAACTTCCCTGACCACCCTCCACACACAGCAAAACCTTACCCCTGGCACCCACTATCCCACACCCCCCTGCCTTATGTTTCTGCATGGCATTTGCTCGTTTTTGTGTGTATTTTCTATCGCTACCAGGACAGGACCTTTTCTCTTTTGTTCACTGCTGTATCTGCAGTGCCTAGAATAATATCTGAGTTGCGGTAGTTGCTTCATAAATATTGTCAAGTGAATGAATGCATGAATTTCTGATCCACATCCACCCTCTGATCACAGGATGAGTATTGTTCCTAGACCCAGCATTTTAGCATTCTTACCCACAAAGTGAGGGAGGGCAAGGTTTGGTGATTTTATTTGAAGGTAGTGTTTTTTAATGACCTCACAAAGACATTACACTTAAAAAAGAATCTGTGAAAATCCATTCAATTTTTTCCATTGTGACTGACTCATTTGATGAGAACAAGAAGTCCACGCAGTGGGGAATGGGGGAGTGATGTCGGAAACAAGGAGGGGAGGAACATTTTGTCATTTATTAAAATGAGTATTCCCCCTCAAATTTCATTTCTTTAAATGTTTCTTTTTTTTTTTTTTGAAGATTTTATTTATTTATTTGAGAGAGAGAATGAGATAGAGCATGAGAGGGGGGAGGGTCAGAGGGAGAAGCAGACTCCCTGCCGAGCAGGGAGCCCGATGCAGGACTCGATCCCGGGACTCCAGGATCACGACCTGAGCCGAAGGCAGTCGCTCAACCAACTGAGCCACCCAGGCGCCCGAATTTCATTTCTTTAAATAAACCATCTGTCTTAAGTAGAGCATCCATACAGAAAGGTACACAATCTTTAAGTGAGTTATTGAGTTATTGCAAAGAGAACACACCCATGTACCCACCTTCCAGGTCAAGAAATAAAACATTACCAGCACCCAGAGTTCACCTCACATCCCTTCCCACTACTGCCTTCTTTAAAAGGATCACTATTCTAACTGGTAACACCATAGATGAATTCTGCTAGGTTTTGAAGTTTATATAAATGGAATTGGACAGCATGTAGTCTTCTGTAAATAGCTTCTTTCATTCCACACTATATGTGTGAGATTCGTCAATGTCGAGTGTAGCAGTGGTTAACTGATTTTCATTGTGTATGTATTCCATTCTATGAATACACTACAGTGTCCTTATTTGTTGCACTCTTGATGGATATCTGGGTTGTTTCTATCTTGAGGGTATTATGAATAATGTTACAAAGAACGTTTTCATGCAGGTCTTCGATAAACTCTCATTGCTGCCAGATAAATATCTGGGAATAGATTTGACAGGTTTTGGACATGTCATGTTTACATGTAGCAGATATGTCAAACTTTTCCTTAAACGGCTATATCATTTTAAATTCCCACTGGCAAAGTTTGTTTTCTAGTTGCCCCACATCCTCACCAACACTTGGCATTGTTCATCATTTTAATTATTTTCACTCTTGTGGGTGTTTAATGATAACTCAATATAATTTTCATTTGTATTTCCCTGATGACTAGTTGAGCACCATTTCACATGTTCGTTGGCTATTCTATTTTTGTGAGGAACCTACTCAGGTCTTTTGTTTGTTTATTTTCAAATGAGGTATCTTTCTTTTCTTCTGTAAGAGTTCTTTATATACTCTAAATTTGAGCCTTTTATCAGTTATCAGAATATCTTTCTCACTCTGTAACTTGACTTTTTAATTTTTCTTACCTTCTTAATAGCATCTTTGGATGAACTAAGATTTTTAACTTTAATAAAATTCAATACATAAATATTCTTCTTTATGATTAGTACTTTTTGTGTCCTATTTATGGGTATTTAAGAGCTATTCTCCTATGTTATCCACTAGAAAATTTCATCTACAGTCTACAGACCACAGAGGATTGATTTTTCCCTAGCATGAGGCAGGAGTTGAGTTTTATTCTTATTTCTCCATTTGGATATCCATTTGATGCAGGACCATTTATTGATAAGACTGTCCTCTCTCCAGGGGCACCTGGGTGGCTCAGAGGGTTAAACGTCTGCCTTCGGCTCAGGTCATGATCCCAGGGTCCTGGGATCGAGCCCCACATCGGGCTCCTGACTCAGCAGGGAGCCTGCTTCTCCCTCTCCCTCTACCTCTCCCCCAGCTCATGCTTGCTCTCTCTCTCTCTCTCTCTCTGTATCTCAAAAGAATAAATAAAATCTTTAAAAAAAAAAAAAAAAGACTGTCCTCTCTCCACTGTTCTGAGGTCCTACCTTTTTCATAAATCAAGTGCCTGCACATACATGGCTATGTTTTTAGACTCTGTTCTGCCCACTTGTCTATTGTTGTGCCAATGCCATATTGTCTTCAGCGCCATCACTTTATAAAAAATCTTGTTATCTAGCTAAGTCCTCCAACTTTGTTCTTTGAGGTGGTCTTGCCCATTCATGGCTCTTTGTATCCCTACCTTACTTTTACATGGGATAGAAAGCATTTTTTGAAGTAAAATGTCTTTCCATTTTGGTGGAGCCCCCCATCGCCCAAGTTACCAGCTTTGAGCTGCCATCCTAAAATCTGTCACTCACTTCATTCCACAAGTTGCTTCTAGTGTGATCTTCACTGCCATGCCAGGCGTGGCCTGGTCCATCCTTATGTCTCCTCCTTTCTTTTTTATCCAAATGGCACTTTCTTGTGTAGTAGAGCAGTGCACCACAATGTTCTACGAGTTTCTGCTATTAATACTACTCTATTACTTCTAATAATAAATGTTCTTCCTATTATGTCAGGCACTGTGCTAAGTGCTTTGCATGCATCATCTTAGTTAATCCTTCCTCTCATCATCATCTCAAGGATCCTACTTCCCCCACTCACTGTTCCTTCTCTGTCTGCTTCAACATCTCCACAGGACATAGTTTTCCTGAGCTAGAAGGAATCCAAGAGATATTTGACTTTGACGAACGAGGAAATTAATGCCCAGGCAGGGAACTGATTTACCTAGGGCCTCCTTAGCTGGTTAATGGCGGTAAAAGGACTAGAACTTAGGTCTCTGGCATCCCAGTCACGATGCTTCTCCCACACACACGTATGCCAGCTCTAGTGCCCAGCAAGCAGACTGCCGGGCTGTTCCCCACTTTACTTCTTCCCCATTTTCATTTAAATTTCTTCAAAGACTTGTCTATGATATTAGCTATTTCCACTTCCTCATCTCCCTCTGTCTCCTCGACCCACTCCACTCCTACTTCCTCACGGAAACTGCTCTCATCAAGCCATCTGCCACTTCTATGGCACCTAACCCAATGGTCTCCTCTCTCACACACATTACTAGACCTCTAAGCTAGTTTTGACCCACCCGATTGTTTCCGTTTTTCTTGCAACGGTCTCCCCTTATTTTGCCTTGATTCGCTACACCTCTTCAGATTTTCTTCTACCTCACTGACTATTCTTTCTCAATTCTCCTCAGCTGGACCCACCCCTTCCTCTGAACATTAGGCTTCAGAGTGCCTCAGGTTTGCTCTTTGACCCATATTTCTATCCACACACTCTCTCAATGTGACTGCATGATCCTATGGTCCCAAATGCTGTGCACCTTCTGATGTTTCTCAAATTAGTAGTTCTAATCCTAACTTCCTTCCTGAGTTCTAGACTTTTAACTTCTTAATTGACATCTTCACTTGGATGTTGTCTTAATTGAGTCCTTCATAAAACAGAGCCCAAGGGAAGGATTAAGATTCTGACAGTTTAATTGAGAGGTGCAAGTCCTTAGGTATTGGGTGTAGAAGAAAAAAGGAAAAGAGGCGAAGGTGTGATATGATGTGATGAGCTGCATTACCATCCTGGCTTCCACCTCAGAACGCTGCCAAGGGACCCAGAAGGTCACTCAGAATTTGTGTTCACTCAGCATATGGGACTTCTCTGGAAGAGGTGTCTGAAGATATTGTATCCTTGAGTAGTCTATAGGAGAGGGAAAAATGAAGACTTTGACTGGTTCCTTTTTAGTTCCCATTTCCCCTTGTTCATGGTTCACCTTCAGGTTGCTAACTCCGTACTTCCTGTAGGCATAAATTAAACCCTTGCTGGCATGCAGGAAGAGACCTTGCAGGATGATCTGCCATTCAAGTCTGGATGTAGGGGAGTGACACAGAGCTGATGGAGCACCGGCTGGGATTGAAGAAAAGAAGGAGGCTGCACAATGTTTGTGGCCCAATGTACCACATAAGACATATCAAAATGAGCATAACCAAATCGAACTCTTGATTTCTTTCTTCCAACTAAACCTATTCCCTTCTTCCTCACAGGCTTTCTCATCTCAGAAAGTGGCGCCATCGTCTCCACTGCTAAACCTTAGTTGAGGAAACCATCACCAAAATGGCCTGTGAAGTGGTTGCCTCACTTCTATTCTTGCTTCCTTTCAATGTATTCTTTACACTGCAAGAGTGACCTTTCTAGAGGTAATACAGCAATGCTCTTCTCCCCAGCTCTAGGGCTCTGTTCCATCATCTAGCTCGCAGATCAAAACACTTACTAGGAAAGGCTTTTCCTGACTTCCCTATCAAAAGAGTCTCCCTCCCCTAACACTGTCTGCATTACTCTGTTCTACAGTATCCTTAGCACTTACCACTCCATGAAATGATGTCGTTATAACATAGCTCCATTCAGGTCAGACAGAGTCTATTATCTGTCTTCTTATATCCACAGCACCTACTACAGTCCTGGGTACATAGGAGGGGCACCATAAATGTTCACTGAATGAATGAGTGACCTAATAAACAGTAGGTGAACCGAAGACCTCACTGTGTGACAAGGAACACATCCGTTTGCCTGACTTCTCATCTGGTCAGGTCTTTCTACGACTAGAAATTCCTTTGAGCAGGGAATATAGGAAAATTGAAGAGCATTATTCAGGTCTTGCTAGAGTTCAAGGTGAGTCCGGGGATAGTTAACAGTCTTTCTCCTGTCTCCTTTTGTTTTAAATTAAACTTTTATCTGGAGATAGTCGTAGATTCACATCCAGTTTTAAGAAAGGATTCAGAGTGTTCCCTTACACTCACACTTGGTTTCTTCCAGTGGTACACCTCGCAAGAACTATGGCAGAGTATCACAACCAGGACAGTGACACTGATACAGTCAAGATACAGAAAATTTCCATCACCGTAAGGGTTCTTTGTATTATATTTTTATAGCCACAGCTACTTTTCTCCTGCCCTAACCACTTCTTTAACCCCTGGCAGCTCCTAACCTATTCCCCATTTCCACTATTTTGTTATTTCAAGAATATTACATAAATAGAATCACACAGTATATAACCTTCTGGGATTGGATTTTTTCACTCAACATGCTTCTTTAGAGATTCATCTAGGTTGTTGCTATGTCAATATAGGCATATCTCATTTATTATTATTGTTGTTGTTGTTGTTGTTGTTATTATTATTACAGATTGAAGGCTTGTGACAACCCTGCCTTGAGCAAGTCTATCGGCGCCATTGTTCCAACAGCATTTCCTCACCTCATGTCTCTGTGTCACATTGTGGTAATCCTCACAATATTTCAATCTTTTTGATTATTGTTATATTGAATTGCTGCAATCTCAAGATAAAACTTGAATGGATGAGCAGTTACTGCTTATGGATGAACAAGAAAGTGGTCTCAAGATGGAACCTACTCCCAGGGAAGATGCTGTGGAGATAGTTGAAATGACAACACAGAATGTAGAATGTTACATAAACTCAGTTGATAAGGCAATGGCAGAGTTTGAAAGAAGTTCAGCCGTGGGTAAAATATGTTATCAGACAGCATCACATGCTATAGAGAAATCGTTTGTGAAAGGAAGAGTCAATGGATGCAGTAAAATTCTTTGTTATTTTCTTAAAGAAATTGCCACAGCCCCCCCAACCTTTAGCACCCACCATCTTGATCAGTCACCAGCAAGGCATCTTCCACCAGCAAAAAGATTATGACTTGCTGAAAGCTCAGATGATAATTAGCACTTTTTTAGCAATACATTATCTTGTAATTAAGGTATATAGATTGTTTTTTCAGACATAATGCTACTGCACTTTTAATAGACTATAGTGTACTATAAACATAACTTTTATATGCACTAGGAAGCCAAAATATTCATTTGACTCACTTTGAGGCATGCCTGCAGTTCATTCCTTTTTTAGTGCTAAGTAGTATTCCATTATGTGGTTATGCCACAGTTTAACTATTCACCCATTGAAGTACATCTGGGTTGTTTCCAACTGGGGGATATTACCAAATACAACTGCCATAAACGTTGGAGTACAGGTTTTTGTGTGAAAGTTAATTTGTCATTTCATGGGGATAAAGGGCAAGAGTGCAATTGCTGGGTGGTACGGCAGTTGCATATTTATTTCTTAAGAACTTGCCAAACTGCTTTCCAGAGTGGCCGAACCATTTTACACTCCACCAGCAGTGTATGAGTGATCTAGTTTCTCCACATTCTCACTGCACTTGGGAAAATCGAGGGGGTATTCCTTAGATTCTGCTAGAGTTTGATTCACTAACCAACCTTTTTCCTGCCCTATTTTTCTAAAGAGGTTCTGTCCCTAGTTTTGATCAGTTGGAGATTAATGATAAAAGCCAGCTGTCATCTAGATAGAACAGCCCACCAAACATTTTCTTTTAAGAGAGGATGACAAGAAAGGAAACTTACACATTTCCTGGCCTCTCCAATCCATCTTAAATAACATCAGAAATGATGACCACTGCTTGAGGCTTTGGAGGAATAGTCTTGGGGCCAGATTTCCATCAAGACCTTGATAAGCCATAGGAAAATCACTCACTCAAGTCAAATCCAGTGAGTACAGGACACCCTGCCAAGCCCTGTACAGATCCCAGGGAGAGAGTTCTGCGGACTGCCCGCAGCAACAGCAAAAACGCATGGTACCTTGCCTGAGCCCACCCCGGATTAAGGCTGCTTCTAAGGAGGGGAAAACTGCGCTCTCCTAGTTGGGACTGGGGTCATGCTGGGGTTTTCTCTTTGGGGGCTTGACAAGACAAAACTGAGAAGCACAAAAGTCTGCTGTCCGCTCCTGTCATGATTGCCCACAGTGTCGTACTCTGGTTTTCTCAGAGACCCAGCACCACTTAGTCCTCCCTTGCCTTTCTTTCGCCTTCTCAAGGTCATCTGTTTCTAATACCTTAACTCTTTGTATTTTATTCAGCGCATACTTACATAGTGCTTCCTATTTTTCAGGCATCGTTTTATATGTATTAGCTCCTTTAAAACTCTTAGCAACTCCATAAGGTAGGAATCATTAATGTCCCAATTGCACAGATGAGGGAAATTAGATACAAAGAAGTCAGGTAACTTGCCCAAGGTGACAAAGCTCGAAAGTGACAAAAGTGAGATTCGAACCCAGGCAGCCTGGTTCCAGAATCCATGTTCTTAATCACTATATTATGATGACTGTCTATTATTGACAAATATGCTTTAAATGATTCTTTTTTTTTAAGTATTTAGTAAAGGTATTTTAGTAAAGGTTGGGGCGCCTGGTAGGCTCAGTCCGTAGAGCGCGTGACTCTTGATCTCAGGGTCATGAGTTCAAGTCCCACATTGGGCATGGAGCCTACTTAAAATAAAGATGAAAAAATAATAATAATAGTAAATAATAAAAAATTGGGTGGGTATGTCAGTAAGGAAAAAAGCCTTCTGCCAAAGGAATGAGACATTTAGATGTGGGACTTCAGACAGCGAGTAAAAAGACATGTGGGGGCACCACTGCCTTTCTGTGCTTTTTATCCAGATCATAACCTGTCACCCAGGCTAAGGCATGTACGGGAACCCCCACAAGGAAGAATTTACTGCATAAAACAGCATTATCTTGTAGAGGTTATTTCAAAGAACTACAACTAAGGTTTAGGTGGTGTTACTATGTGCCAGAAGCTGGGCTAGGAGCTGTAGGTACATTGTATCAATAGCGGTGTGGGACACGGGCTATTTATCCCCTTTTAGAGATGAGACAGTTGAAGCATCGAGTGGTGACTGGCCGAGGATTTGATTGAAGCCAGACAACTTGCAAAAGGCAGTCCTAGCTGGGTCTGTCTGAACCCAGTCCTAGTTCTGTCTGGTCTCTTCTTGCTACACAGAAATGACTAAAGAGTTAAAGCTGCTAGTTTTGTGTTCTTTATTTTTGGTCAGTGTGTCAATTTTGGCAAATGAAGGTAAGAATAAAACCTTCTATTTCCCTACCCATGAATCGGTTACTCCCCAGGTTTTCATGTCACAGAATATGGCACCGCCATTAGCCTAGGTACTCAGATAAGAAGCCCAGCACTTGGCCTTTGTTACTCCTTTATCCTACCTCCTTTCTGCAATTTACCAGCAAGTTCTGTCAATCCTATCTCCAAAATGCATCCTGAGCCCATGTACTTCTGTCCACATCCACCAGCAGCCCGTGAGTCCAGGCTACCACCATCCATTGCCTCAACAACGCCTTCTGAGCACACCCCCCTTCACCTGCAATTTACCTCCAAGTGGAAAATGCGTATGGTCTTCTTAAGATAAGAATTTGTTCTTGTCCCTCTCTTGCTTAATATGCTTTCAACTGGATTTGATGCCCTGTCCCTGCTCTCTAACTAACCCCCAGCCACAGCAGAAGAGGCCATGCTCCTCCATACTTGGGGCCCTCCACCCATGCCAGAATGGTCTCCTCCCACTCTTCCTGTGGCTGCCACCTCCTCAAAAGGTCCCACGGAATCTGCATTAGACATCCTCCCTCTGCTAAGATTAAATGTGTCAATCTATCCACGCGAAGACTCAGACCAGCACCTGGCATACGGTGCACTCAGTTAACGTTCGTTCTTGTTACTGCTTTGATCATTGTTCTAGTAGATACTCTAAAAATGCAGGCGTGGGTGATTAGCTAAATGAAGTAGGAAAGAGGAATAACGTCACTATCTGGGCCCCGAGGAGCCCCTAAGAGAGGAAAGTTAGATGTTTTTAGAGGAAAAGGAATGTAGCCTTGTAAATTCTTTTCTCTGCCTTAAAATATGAGTTATGACTGCTGTTGCCATGCACACAGTTAACTTTGTGCCTAACGGAACCATGTAAAACGATAGCAACATTAACTGTATTTTGAGAAAATACAAGAGTGCTTGGTATATTGTTAAAAGCAATATCTAGACTTGTCTGATCTTCTTACATAAATCTCACCCTGGCTCTTAAAGTCCCTCATCACATGTTTTTCTATTACTTAGCAAAAAGTACCTAAAACCAACTTTGTCCTCTTTTTAATTTTCCGGTATGCTTGCTAACAATCCAAGAAATAACTTCCAGAGACATGAGAAGAGGGGAAAGAGGGAAGAAAAATTGGGTTGAAATAACCTATGAAATGGATCATTAGACTTTGTTCAATAAAGAAGAGCTTTTTACCAGAGAGAGCTGGGGACAGTGCAGAGACCTCACGCCCGACGGGTGGCGAGGCTGGACTCTTCTTCGACAGACGGTGCTCTGGTTTATGCACAAAGATGTCCGTCACAGCATTCCCTGTCATACTTCATGTCCAATGTCGGGGCCTGCTTCCACAGGCTAGGGAACAGCCATTTGGTGAAATGTTATAAAGCCATTACAGTGACCCTGGCAAAGAAATTCCAAAACACGGGGAATGCCTCACATTACAATTAAGTGCATAAAGGAGGCCTGTGAATGGTGTGCGTGAAGACCTGTCATTGTGGTAACTGTCCCTGTGACACTTTCACTTCATTTGGGGCATCGTCCCCACATGCAAGCAGATAGGACAGGAAAGGAGTTAGGGTCAGCACCATGCCATCGACCCCTAAGCTCTTCCTCCTGATCTAAAAGCCAGGATTGGAGACGCACTGAAATATTAATATGGCACATCATTGCAGACTTTTTCTTTTTTGTTCCTCTGTATTTTGCAAATGTTCTAACACTTAAAAAAAAACAAAAACATTTTTGTTCTCTTTTAAAGTTACCCTGGAAACTTCCAAAAGGCAGCTGCTGTCTCACATCATCCCCTTCCCACCCCCACCCCCCGCCAATGTGTAAATAAAGCAACATCTCTACGTCTTTAACTTATAACAGCTAAACTTTCCCCCGTAAGCTGATACGCTGACCAGAAGTCTGTGGGTGGGACGGGTGTTGTGTTTTTTTGGCTGTAGCTTCTTTTGGCTGATAAACCAGCACTTAAGTGTTTCCCTTTTCCAAACCCCCAAATAACAAGTGTCTCTGTGGTGAGGTGGCAGGCCAACCGTCATTGCCAACATGAACGGTCCTGGGGACACTTATTTTTAGTTTGCTGTTTTAAACAACGGTTAGGCTGGGTAATCGGGGGCTGCAAGGCCCAAACTTCTACGATCCAGAGCATGGAGCTATTAAAGAGAAAGCAAGGCGAGGCGGGTAGCACTCTTCAGGAAGGCCCGAGCACCGGCTCTCTAGGTGGGCCAGGGGGACCAGGCAGAGATCTTGTCTTGGGTGAGAAGATTGTCATCCACTTTTTGCATGGGCGAATTTTATCAAGGATGCAAGAAACAGAAACATTTGACTCCACTGGGACGAATGCAAATCCAGGCAGCCTCGGGGAACTAATTATAGTGACGAGGCTAATGACGAAAAGCAGAGACTGTAGTAGACATCTGTTCTGTGGCCTGTTCAGCATTCTGTTCACCCTCCTAACAAAGCCCGAAGCAAGGTGTCTCACCTCCTGCGGGTCAAGTAGTTGGCATGGCACCAAGCAAGGTCAATTAACTCTCCCCGGGGAAGACGAATCCTGAGTAAAGTGACATAAGGGACCTCTGGCTAATGGGGAGTCCATTCATTTCTCCAACCTAATTTTCCCAGCTTCCTGTCCTGTACGAAGCCAGAGTCCTTAGCTTTTTATTTGACTCTATGAGCTACTCTGTGGCCTTCTAATATGTATGTGTCTGTGGTATGATATGTATATGTGTGTGTGTATTTTTTAATTTATTTTTTGATTAAATTAGCCAAAGTCGGTTTTTCTATGCTTGGAACAAAAGAACTCTCCCTCAACTGAGAACCTCAAATATTTTACTGTATATGTAAACCTCTGTCTGGCTCTGGACAGAAGGTCAATTTCTCCCTCCACTTCTTCCACCCCAATATCCCAGCCCAAATACTCTCAACTTAGGGAAAAATGAGTCTTCCCCCTTAAACAGGAGCTGTGACATGCTGGGTTTTATGAAAGGATCGGTGACTCCCCCCGCCACTTCCTTCTTCTATGAATGCAAGCTTCTTACTATTTCCTAACCAGGGGCAGCCCAGCAACTCATCTCAAAAGGACCCTTCAGATAGGAGAGGGTGGGAGGGTCTCTTGGATTGCTGCTGTAGGACCTGGCTTTGCTCATCCTGTGGTCCTTGAGCTGGAAAGCAGGTGCTGGTATTGACCTCGGAGATTGACCACCTCTAGCAGAAGCACCTCGGACTCCATGAGAGAGGTGTGGGACATCAAAAAGTAGTGCTCTCAACAACATGGGGTTCTGTCACAGGCAGCGTGGAAAGAACTAGCCGCACCCATCCCAACAGAATCTGGCTCCTCCATCACAGTACATGCAGAGGCAACATCAACGTAAGTGGCGTGGGATGGGCAATGACCCCCTCCCACCGCCATGGCCACTGCTGCTATTCTTTGCACAGCCTGGACAAGATCTCCCATCCCCATAGGATATATTCACGTTTCAAGGCATCTCTTACTTCATTGGATGCATCTCAAAGTTCCCTAAGGTAGAAAAAGCCAGCAACCTTGGTCCCATTTTATGGATGCAGAAACTGAAGTACGTGCTAGTACGTCACATTCAATCTTGTAAGATTATTACTGACAGTAACAACGGTGGGCATAGTTGTCGAGTTACCAGACCTCTTTCCAGCACAACAGAAACAAGAGCAGTTCGTATTTACCAAGTGCTCCCTATGGGCTTCAAATTTATTGAAGTAGGTGCAATTTGCAATTGTCCTTATTTTTAAGATAAAGGAACTGGGGCTCAGGAAGATTAAATAATCTGCCTACAACCACATAATCAGTAAGTGGTTGAGTCAGCCTAGGGACTCAAGCAGTCTGACTCTAAAGTCACGTCCCAGACTAGAAAGTCACATGCCTGTTAGTCCATTTTTAAAGAAAAAAAAAAATCCATTAGAGTCAATTGGCCAGACCCTTAGGCTTTGTTCTGTTCTAATCTGACCCCCATTTGTAACACTTGTTAGTCTGAGAGTAAACATCCCATACCCACTACGGGCAGAAGTGGCTCTTCATAAATATTTTCAGCTCAGAGTGAAAAGGTGCAAGAACTCAAAGGAGAAGATGTCCAAGTCCATCCCCTAGACCCAGATGGCTTATAGGACTTGGGTAAACACTCAGCTCAAAAATGCTAACAAAGTTCCCAGTCTTGGCTGTTTACCTCAACAGAAGTAGTAGCCTGGAAAATGTCAAGGATCTAATCAGTTCATGCTGAAACCAAACTTGACTTCCCTCTGCAGTGTGTATCTCTGCCATGTCGATCTGCACGGTCCGGCAGACACCCAAATGTGACAGGAAACCCAATAGCCTAGGCTAGCAACATGTTCTTTTCAAAGTGGTGTTCAGAGGATAGGGAGGGAGGGCAGGTCGGGCAAGATCTTATGAGTGAAATAAGATCAAAGATTTGAGAAGACTTGGTATCATTCAGATGACACCCACAGACATTGGAAAGGTGTTTTGCTCACCTAGGCAACCCGGGGCAAACTGGTGAGTGCAAGGAAGCTGGTCATCAGCAGCTCTACCGTCTCTCAGTGCCCCTTCTTCTCTTGGAAAGTCTTCTTCAGACACTCACTTCTCTCAGCTACCATTGCTCCCCAGAACCAGGGCCTCTCCAGTGTCTTCCACACAATTCTGTCCTGCCTGGCCAGCCCCTGGGCTGGTTTTTATAAGAAGGGATCTTAGGTGTGTTTCCCCCATAGCTGTTCATTCCTTCAAAGTTCTAGTGACTAAACCAAAGCTGGTAAGCTAATTCGTGATCTATATGCTATTGGGTGATAGTGACTTAAACAAGACTCTCAGGGAACTTTTGAAATTTACCCTGATAATAGCCAATGGAATTTTCTGGCATTCTGGGAGGCTGGTGTGGTAAGGCTATTGGGTGCTTGCTTTTATGCAGCTCTCCTGTCCTTTCAGACAGGGTCATGTGACAACAGCCTATGTGTCACATATGGACAAAGGCATTTAATTCTCAGTGAGAGACCTTCCAGCATGCTCTCCCTCTATTGTGAGAACTGTGAGTCATTTGTTGAAATGGAGGTGTCATGAGAGTAAAGCAGACTGGATACCTGAGGCACCATGTGATGTCCCAGAGAACCATCCAGACCTACAATGGATTTTGGGTGAAAGTAATAAACTTCCTTCATATTAATCTACTAATATCTTTGTGATATTTGTTATAGCAACATAATCCAGCATATCCTGACTGTTACAGCTGGTAACTCTTGACCCCTTTCAAAGCATAATCCATAGTGTGGTTCCTATCTACCATTAAGAGAGGTGTTGAGGCACCTGGGTGGCTCAGTTGGTTAAGTGGCTAACTCTTGATTTTGGCTCAGGTCATGATCTCAGGGTCCTGGGATGGAGCCCCACATCAGGATCCACGCTCAGTGGGAGTCTGCTTCAGGATTCTCTCTCGCCCTCTTCCCCTCTCCCTGCTTGCTTGCGCATGCATGCTCTCTCTCTAAGATAAATAAATCTTAAAAAAAAGAAAGATGTGTGTCACTTACCTGTGTGACCTTGGACAAGCTATTCTCCTTTCACAGATTGAGTCTCTGTATTCTGTGTAGGACAGGATGGCTGGTCTTTTGCAGATGTAAGATTTCACCCAAATGGCAATCCATAGTTGCATGATATCTGTTCTCCAAAGATAACTACTGTATGTTAAGGCATGGTGACTTGTCCCAAAACAAACAGAAATGGTTAACCCAAGCCAGATACGTTCTGCCTGGTTGTCTCTATAAACAGGAGGATCAAGATCCCAGGTTGACAATACATAAGCACATTTTTTAGGAGGCTTGAGATTGTACAAAAGGCCACATGATATCCCATTCCCTTTTAAAATCGGCCATTCTCGCACCCCTCAGCTATCAATATTTGTCAAACTAGAGCTGCTCGACTGGAGCATCAGGCAGATTTTCTCAAAGTTGACTTAGAAGTTATATGAGAAATTCCCAGTTAAGATGGGCCACATCATCTAAAACAGTATTTCTCAGCCCTTTGCATGAGGACTCCTCTGCAGTGCAAAAACTTTCCCTCGATGTGTGTGTGTGTGTGTGTGTGTGTGTGTTTAACTTTTGGTGTCTGGTGATCTAAAAATGCACTATTTAAAAAAGTAAGTTTTGGTGAATTGTTATTCATATATTTGAAAAATAACACATATATTATTCAAAATATTTAAACATATGATGTATTCATGCCACAAGCATGTGTGTATATTTGCCCACCCCTGGCAATAACTCTGAACCTCCCCAGGGGCTATTCGCACCCAGGGGCTGGGAGCTGTAGACTTAAGGAATCTAAGAGAATGTTGCAATCTGTATTTGCTTCTCATTGCCTCCTCCTTCCCCGACCCCCCAGCAGACTGGATACCTGAGGCACCATGTGATGTCCCAGAGAACCATCCAGACCTACAATGGATTTTGGGTGAAAGTAATAAACTTCCTTCATATTAATCTACTAATATCTTTGTGATATTTGTTATAGCAACATAATCCAGCATATCCTGACTGTTACAGCTGGTAACAGTTCTCTGGGAAGAAGATGCTAAGACAGAATTAGGAGTGCATAAGGTTTGGCGAGGAGTAGCACCCGTGAGAAAATGTGGGAAACAAGAATGGCCATGGAGGAAGCCACCTGATTGGGATACTGTCTCTGTTGGCCCAAAAGGTTGCTCCAGAGCAAGATCAACTGTTGGATCCAAGTTGTCATTGGGCAGAAATGGCCAAGTCTCTGTTCTATGGCCCCATTCATTTATTGACTGGGGCCACTCAGGACAGAGTGTGGCTTTGGCTCAAAGGTTGCTCACAGAGGAGACTGTGAGCGAGCTACTGTCCCAGCAGCTGGGCGGTGAGCCCTTTCTTGAAGGGGGATCTGAGTAGTGTATCTGTGTCTGCCACACCCCACCTTTCCCCCTAATTCTGTGAGGCAATTTTGCCTCTCACGGTTATTCATGAAGACAACATAACTCTATAAGTGACAGTGTGAATTGCCCTTGGGAAATAGGTCATCTTTACGCCAGCAAAATTAGAAAGGAAATTATAACCAGATGTAAGCATAACTGAATCAGCTAAAAGGTGAGGTGCCCCTAGGATATGGGACTGTGTTTTGTTTAAGCAGAAGCTCCTTCTGCAGAGGGAGCGCACTGCAAATCTGAAAGATCAGAGAAATGCTTGCTACAGCAAGCTGGTCATCCTCTGCAGTGAACGTGAACACTCGTGTGTCCGTGAGTACGGACTGCTTACTCAGGGCAAGTCCCTGTGCTAAGAAAGACAAAGCAGTCATGGGATAGTGGAAAGCAGCCTGGGGAAGGCACCTCAGGGAGGAGTCTATTCTAAGTGTCCGTCCCTTCACTTAGCCTGGGCTCGGAGGGGGTGTTTAGCACATGGCATGAAAAAAAGACTGAGAGGGACCCAGCTACCACATCAAACCTGAGAATGGGGGGCCATGTTCTGTTAGTCCAGTTTCAAACATGGAACACTTGACCTCCAAAGATTCATCTTTCAGAAGCTATCATGGTGCTTTCCAAGTGAGAGTTTATGCCGACCAAGGAGAGCAGAGGGCAGATAGAATAAAAGGAAGGTTGGGCCATCCCCTGTCGTTGCCTCCAGCCTCCTTCAGAAGAGGGGTCCCATCTTTATCTGTTGTACCTATTAGGATCTCGTGTAGGGTGACATTTAAGGAAGGGTTCCTTAATGAAAATAAATGAGTCAGATAACTACAGTTTCCTCGGCCTCCCCTGAAACCTACTGAAATAGAACCTCCCAGGAATGTGTACTTCCAAAATGCTGCTCAAGATACCTCCTGATAGGATGGATAGCTGGATGACAGATGACATAGATAGATGATAGATAGGTAGATAGATAGATAGATAGATAGATAGATAGAATAAATTTACCAATATACTAATATATAATGCACTTTGTACCAGACACACACAAGTAGAAAATTTAAAATAAATATAATAGAGGCTCTAATATTTTCCTTCTTGCCCCCCAGGGATCATCCTTGATTTCCCCTGATGCAGGCACACCTTACACTGGAGCATTCTCCCCCAGTCTTGTCTATGATAGCAAGAATGTGTGGGAAATGAGGGGATGACCCACCACTGCTTACAGATGTAAATCCACCCCACTATTTTTAATGGCCTCTGAGCCACTGAGATAGTGAGTGGTACCCTCCATCCTAGCCTATTCCTTCCTCCGCTCCAGGACTAGGGCCTGGGGGTAGAAAAAGTACATAGTGACTGTAGTTGATGACTACAAGGTGGGGAAGAGGAACATGTCTTTCCAAACCAGATGGATTCTTCCCCTTTCTTCCCTTTGAGCACAGATGAAATCCAATTTAAGCAAAGTGGCTATTTCAAAACTGAGCTCTAGTCAATCACCCATGTTTAGAACAGTGAGGGGAGCTGCTGACATATTAGTTGCTGGAAAGCCCTGTAGCTCGACTCTGAAAGTCAATCGTGGACATGCAGTCACCCATAGCTGGGACAACAACTAGAGAAGGACAGGTGTGAAGGGTATTGACTCTGGCCAAGGGGGTTGGATGTCAATGGAGAAGAGACTGCAAGGCCTGAGCAGGCAAAGGCCAGGCTCATCAACACCCCGGGGACTGAGGAGGCAGGAGACAGGCCCCGGATGTGTTTCCGTCACTTCTGTGACTCAGCTTCTATTTCAACTACTGATAAATAAAGGACTGTTTCCAGGTATGCTATGTTTGGCTAAGCCCTAAACTTGGACATTAAGTATAGCCCTAAGGTTCCCAAGACTACATTGCTCTAAACCACAATTATTCCACACACTTTGGGTTGAAAAGAAATTAAAATTAGAAGCATAAAGAAAATGAAATAAATGCCTGAGGGTTTCCCACACAACCTACAAATCTCCCTTCACTAACAATACAACGCAGCAGTTCTGCTTCTGTTTTGACAGCTATTTCCACCTCGGGAACCCATTTTCAGTACTATTTCCCCAGTGTGGTTCCCCCCCACCCCCGCTGTGTTCACTTACAGTCTCTCCTCCCCACACCTTTCCCTCCAAATTCCCGGGTGCCAATCTGCTTTTCCAGCTCCGCCTCCAGATGCATGTACAGGCTTTGCCCCGAAGCCTCCCCAGTGAGCAATATCACTTTCTGGGGATGGTAAGCACTGACTCATTGCCTCCTGCTTACCACAGTTTCCAAAACACAGTTTTATTTCACCCTTGTCTCTACCCAGATCTCTGTGAGTCTGGGCCACCACGTACGTAAACAGTCTCCTAATGGGGGATTCCCTGCTCATCTTCCCAATACCCTCTCACTCCCCATCCCTCCTCTGATGACTACCCTCTCAAAAGTCTGAAGAAAGCAGAGCTTAAAGAACTAGGACCCTTCAGGATCCATCTTTCTCTGCCTCTCAGACTTTTGGTCCACAGAGGAAAACACTTCTGCTGTTAAAATAAGACTCGGAGATCCTCCGAGAAGATGGCACCATGAAGACAAGATGGTACCCCCAGTAAGTTCCATCTTAGTGTCACCACCTGGGCAGGAACTGTATAACCTAAAAATGAGCCATGATTTTGTCTGAAGTGGGTAACTATGTGAATTTGACTCTTGTTCTCCCAGCCCCAGTGAGAAATAGCAAGAGATTTAAATGTGAGTAGCTGAAGATGAAAGTTCTCAGATTTTTATGTTAAATACCAGAATATTTATCCCTTGATCAGATCCATGCAAGGCAGCTCCTTGAAGACACTGATCTGTGGGGTGCATGTTCACAAAGAGAAAGATGCTATGCAGCAAAATCTATCAGATTGCCCTCTTAAATATTTCCAAGTTGAAGCAGCTTGAACTGGGTGTTCCGACCTCTTTCGATCCTCCTCCTGCTGGAAAATCGGTCTCCTGGTGACTCAGAATTAGTTAAGGATACTCCCCCACACCCTTACTGTCAAGATCAAGCCTGTTCCCTACTGATTTCCAACACTGATCCCACATGCCCTCAGGTTTCCCCTGTACCAAGGTGTGCATAGCTTTTTATTTGGGAAGCAGGGGGCAGCATGTGGAGCAAGCAACCTGTGCCTTTAAAACTCCTCAAAGCTGATGAACAGCTCTGCTCCGGCCTTCCTGGAGGAATTTATGGAGAAATTCCTTAGTCCACCACACCTTCATTTTCCAGAAGAGGAAATGCCTTCTTGTCCTCTGGAAGTCCTGCTTATCTTGGCTGAGATTTTAGAGAAAGTGTGATCTAGAACAATTAGAAATGCATGCTCATTACAAGATCACTGAAATAGAACAAACCAAACCAACACATACAAAAAGGAGGTGTGTAAAATGTCCCCTGTGAATAAAATGGGGTGTTGCCCCTGAAATGATGCTAGAGGGGGCTGCTGTTGGGACAGGGTTCCTGCAAGGAGTCTGCTTACCTGGTCACCAGGTCTCAAAGAAGAATTTGCTTTCCACAGGGCCTCCAGATGGTGTGCTGCAGATGATCTAATGTTCCTTCTGCAACATGTTCAGCCATATTTGGGAATTAGCATCAAACTCAGGAGCTTCCCAGCAGTATGGAAGCCTGTTTCAGGGTTGATCTGTGAACATGACATAAGCCCAGTGCTAGGCAGTCATAGTGATTCAAGTAACCAGAGGCAAATCGATCTCTCTTCTGCCTTCATCTGCCTCCCAAACAGGGTCTGTTGCTGCCTCAGATCCCTTTTCTGATGCCATTCTTCCGGAACATGTGAAGGAAGCAGAGCTGAAGGAAATCAGGACTTCTAGAATCCGGTTCTGCATCTCAAGACAGTGATCAGATAGAGTATTCGTGCTGCCAAGGAAGACCCCTAGGTAAATGGTATCATAAAATTCATAGTAGTAGGTACAGTCATTTCCAACTCCACTTCTCCACCTGGGCAGGAAACTCAAAGATGAGTTAAACTGTTCTAAAGAATGATTTCACTCATTCATGCCTTCATTCATTCAATTTATTTTATCTTTGTGGTCATGCAGATCTGAGGAAAACAGCCACCGGTGCCCACAACTCCTCCCATCCCCTTGGAAAGCAGAGATTTTACAGGCACTTCTCTGGCTTTTTGCTTGTTTCTATTTCTTTTTTTTCTAAAGCCAGTGACTTAACTGTGCCATTGAGAATTGAGGGTTAATTCACCTCCCCTATATTGTATGATCCAGAATTCTTGAGCATAAGCCACAGAAATCAACTCTGGATAAACTGAAGCAGAAAAGACATTTGTTGGAAGGGTTTGGGGACGTTCACAGAAAAACCAGGGAGGCAAGAGAGTGAGGCTCGGGGAAATGCAGAAACTAGAGCAGATCTGGGGATACAGGGAATACTAAGCACCATCAAGATCAGGTCTTAGGAAGAACTTGTTCAAGACATGCTGTGGATGCTATCAGTGGTGTAGGTATCGCCTCCTTCTGCTGTCGCTGTCATTTCTGCCGATAAACATATTTCTGTGAGTCCCTGCAGCCTACGCCATGATCAAGAGACTCCATGTCCCGCAGAGGAGCATCTGATTGGGTAAGGGGAGGTTACGAGCTCACGCTGCCAGAACTCAGAAATTCCCTCTTGCAGCTTCTACGGGAGGAGGTAGGGCACTGGATTCTACCAACACAAAACACATCGGGGTGGGGAAATCCCCCCAAAAGGGGAGTAGGAAGATGGAGAGCCAAAAAAAAAAAAAAAAAAAAGGAAGGAAGAAAGAAAATAGTGAGCATCCACCATATATTTCAATCTCCTCCAAAAAAACACAAATCTATAGTCACTTCTTGTATAGCTCTCTCTCCAATCAGATCTTTTAAGGGTCTGATTTACATATAAGAAAAAACCCTTATCTCGAAGAAATAAGAGAGGAAGACAAACCATGGGAGACTCTTGACTCTGGGAAACAAACTGAGGGCTGCAGAAAAGAAGGTGGGTGGGGGATGGGGTAACCGGGTGATGGGCATGAAGGAGGGCACATGATGTGATGGGCACTGGGTGTTGTACGCAGCTGATGAATCATTGAACATTGCATCAAAAACTGGAGATGTACAAAATGTTGGTTAATTGCATTTAAATTAAAAAAAAAAGGAAAGAAATACCCTTATCTCAAAGGACCCACTTTGAGCTATAGAGTGTAGTTCATATCTCACATTATTTGGTCTCTTCTGCCAAATTCTGGCACAGTAAATACATTGTGCTCATATCTAATATTCCCTTGGACACTTCCAACAAAAATTTGATGTGGCTCACAAAATTTAATATGTTGTCAAACAGGTCAATGAAAAATAAAAACAAACCAGCTGGGACCCTGTGTGGTGGCCACTCCTCTCAGTATTTCCAGGGAAGGGGGACACCACTCAGTATTTCCAAGGAAGATGGGGTCAGTCTGGACTCTTGCATTCTCTTGACGGGTCAAGTGGGGGGCGCTCTGGGCTGATAAGCAAGGTTTCATAAAAAGGGCTGAGGGGTTGGTTGGGTCCACAGGTATGGAGCCTGCTCGTATGTGTTCAGAACAAACAAGAACTAGGGTAGTGAAGGGAACTAGAGTCATGGCAGGGATCGACCAGGTGGCCAAAGCAGGACCATGGATAATGGGCTGCAGGAGGAACCCCAGCAGGCCTGCTGGTGGTTAATTAGTCATGGCTGAAATCAACAGGGTACGGACGCAAGGGTTAAGGTGAGGTCAGAGGACAAGGCTGGGACTTCACCCAGAGATAGGCTTCCTCTGGCAATGGGTGCTGACAAGTGCTACCCCTTGGAGGGGAAGCTGCAAGTGGTTCTTCCGAGGGTTAACCAAACCCAGAGCATTCAGGATGGCAGTTCTGAATCTTCATCCACATATTACTCTTTAATCAGAAAACACACACACACACACACAAATGTTGTATTTTGAAATGAAACTTCCAGACCGTTGGATATGGTAGAAAGAGAGCTGACTCCAATTTGAATCCAGCTTTCACTAACTAGCTGTGTGATATTAGGTAAGTCAAATTTCTCAAGGCCTAAATTTCCTCCTATTAAATGAGAAGATGGGGCTAAATATTGCTTAAAGAGTCTCCTAGCTTTAGATATGGCTAGTGCACTTTCAAGCGCCTGAGTGCACACACATGCACACGTGCGTGCACACGCGTCCCAGGGCATGCTCAAGTGTACTCCAAGAAGGAAGTCTCCAAACACCATCCTTGCTGTGCATCTCCTCTACCCTGAAGCGGGCTCTGAGAGAGGCGGACTTCCGCACAAACCACAGCTGTTGAAATGGCTCCAGGGGAGTTGTACTTAATTCCTGTTTCCTAACATCCTGGCCGTGGGGCCCAGCAGAACCGATAATGGGGTACTTCCCCCAAGTTACTAACCACAAACTGAAAGGGGGAAAACCATGCTACCCAAGGACTTGGCCAGTAGTGGGTAACTGGGGCCAGAAATAAGAAGGCTGACCTGAGACCAACTAGCTCACAGCTTGAGAATGCACAGTGGTAGCCCAGCTAGGATTTCCTTTTTTCCAAGACAAACCATGTCAGCTCTGATTAATCTCCTGGTTGTGGCTAAGTGCCCCTCCCTCCCTCACATCAGTATTCCCAAGATTGTACGGTGCTCCATCATCAGGGGTTTTGGGGGAAGTCTTTGAACGTATTCAACCATTCTAAGTGATGTGCATTTATCCGCCTCTCTGAATGACTGGCTGTGTCTAGGTCTTGTGCTGGACATCAGGAACACCCCAGTAAACAAGACTGACATGGCCTGTGCCTTTATGGGACCTATAGTCTTATAGGGGAGATTGAAAGCATACAAGTAAATATAAACCTCCAAACTTTTTTTTCCCAATTCAATAAGAAAGCAATACGAATTTTAGACAAGAATAATGATTATCTTATTTCCATTTTCTGTTTGTTTTGGGGACAACAAAATAATAATACAAATAAAATTTGAAGTAAGAAGTCCAGGTAGGAGATCATTATAGTTCAGTGAGGAAAGGGTGAGGACCTGAACTCAGTTAGTCGATTCAGTCCTCTAGGGGACACTTGGCAGTCGTGTTTGGAGACATTTTTGATGGTCATGATGGGCAGGGGGGAGGGCAGAGTGTGCTACTGGCCTCTAGTGGGTAGAGGCCAAGGATGCTGCTAAACATCCTAAAAATGCACATGACAGCCCCCCAAACAATTATCCAGGCCCAATGTCAGAAGTACCAACGTAGACAAACCCTGGACTAGGTCATGACTGGAGAAATGAAAAGAAATCATTGGATTCAAGATGTATTTTTAAGCTGAAATAGCAAAGAATTCCAAAGAGATTAAATGTGGAGCTCGAGAGAAAGAAATGATCCAAAGATGGCTTTCAGATTTCTGTCTTGAGCAACATATCATGAAAACACGTTGGATGGATAGGCATTAAAACTTCTGTCTAGTAGATAAAATCAATTGCACAGTTTAAAATTCCAGGTCTACTATTTACCAATTGTGGACTGCAAAACACACAAGCATTCTGTCTCTGTCCCCCTTTTGATAAAATGAGGATTACAATGTACCTACTCCAAAGGTATGTGATGAAGATCAATGATTCCATCATGTAAAGCGTTTCAAACAGGCCTGGCATGTGGTCAACAGTTGGGTTTTAGTTACTTTTGCTGTTGCTACTATTGTTAATATTATTATAGTCTAGACCTCATGAGAACTATCCACCCAAGTGGGACATATGAATTTGGGAGCTATCAACATAGAGATGGTTCCACCAACATAGACAGCCTTTAACGCCTTGAAATGAGTATGTCCATAGGAAAGGTCCAGGGCTGACCTTGTATACCCTATGGGTTAGGATACTGGGGGGGTTAGGATACTGGGGGGATGTGAGTGCCACTTGCCTTTCCTTCTCCCTGAGGCTGCTACAAGGACACGGCCGTAAGATGGTGAAGTGGTGTTGAGAACGGTGTCTGTGTGCAATATTCATGACTGAAGCCAACTAAGGCCCCTTTATAAACTTAGCAGATTCAGCAGCAGGGTCCATTCATCTTGCTGCTGCCCAAGTATGTCCCCTTTGCTTATTAAAACTGCCACTTTCCACCCTGGAGTGGTGGCCTCTTTCTTTGGTCTCTTCCTGCCCTCTGCATAGGGAGGCCAGCTTCAGGTTACACCTGGGGAAGCTCCCAGGAGGCTTACAGACTGACAATGACTTTCACAAAAATGACTTCAGTTAAGAAGTGGGAATGGAAAGCAGTCTGGACTGAACTGAAGCTTAAGCAGGGGAAGATATGCAATAGAGTATGTGGGAATTTGGGGGAATTTTGGCTAAGAAGAGCAGAATTGATGGGGGGGCTGTTAGGTTAATGGGGGACTGTTGTTTTTTTAAGATAAATACTATTACATTATATTTATGTAATGATGGGAATAACATGGCAGAAGGGGAAACATTGGGGATGCAGGAAGGAAGGCCGTAGGTAAAGCACCAAAGTCCTTGAGAGAAGAGAGGAGGCAGGAGAGAGTGGTCTTTGGTGAAATGGGAGACAATTTGTGTTTTGAAACAGGAGGTTAAGAGGAGATGGATGCCATGTAGACAGGTTTGTAGTTTTTTTGTTAGGGGAATGAAAGTAGGACATGTCTGGTCACTTATATTTTCTTAGTGAAGTATGGGACAGGCAGGACCCCCAGAAAAGGTAAAGGAAGAGAGTACAAAATAGTCACCTGGGAACTACAAAGCCTAGACTTCTAGAGAAAAGTGGGAGGATTGTTTTGAGACTTTTGATCATGAATTTTAAGTGACACCAGTGAACTTCATTCCTTGATTTTCTCCTGTGATGTCTAGTTGTTCAGATAGAGGCATAGAGAAGGTGGGAGGTAGAAGGTAGGATTCATTGATGAGTTGGGCTTTTGCCAGACGAATAGGGCACAGGGTGAGGCAGGGGAGTTGGGGGTATTTGCAAGGGAGTGATTATAATGGTGGACCCCGGAATGTAGGCTGAGATAAGAGAGGATGAGAGAGAGAGAGGTTGGTTAGCAAGAGAGCGTAAAGGGGCAGGAGAGAATGAGAGGACACTTCCTCCCCACCTGGACTGAAGTACACAGGGTGTGAGCCAACAAACAGCCTCTGGTTGACAGACCTGAAGTGAGTGGTGGACCCGTGAGCTGCCAGGTCTTAGGGCAACCAAGTGGAGTTCAGAGAAGAGGTCAAGCCAGCTTCAATCCCTATTTGCTTTGTACACAGCAAAGTCTTACACAATCTGAGGTCCAAGCCTGCTTGGTTAAAGCTTCTTCACTCCGATCCCCACATTTCCCAATTCCAGGGCAGGGGGAAGATTTTCAAAAGTTTGCAGATTAAAAATAACCATAGAGTAAGCTAATTAAGCAGCACCAGTGGTTTAAACAAAAGCCCATACTTAGCACCAATGTGGATTAGGTGGAGGCTGTTTTTATGAAATCCACATTGTTTTGAGAGCATCCCCCCCAGACCCCCCCCAGCATTCAGTTCAAAACATACTTTTAAGTTTTGTTTTAAATACTTTAGGTTCAAAATGCCTCAGGTATTGTCAAAAAGAAAAAGAGAGAAAAGTTGTCCAATTAACACCCTGTTTGCTATGTCCAATTAACACCCTTTTATTTATTTTTATTTATTTATTTTTTATTAATTTTTTAAATTTAAATTCAAATTAATTAACATACACTGTATCATTAGTTTCAGAGGTAGAATTTAGGGATTCATCAGTTGCATACAACACTAGTGCTCGTTACATCACGTGCCCTCCTCAATGCCCATCACCCAATAACCCCATTCTCCCACCCACCTCCCCTCCAGCAACCCTCAGTTTGTTTCTTATAGTTAAGAGCCTCCCTCTCTGTTTTCACCTTATTTTATTTTTCCTTTTAAATGCACTCCTCATCCTTACATATCGCAGATACCCCAAAGCAATTCATGGTAATAGTCCAAGAGCAGGGATAGCACTGCAATTAGTTAACATTTATTTAGTGCTGACTGTGTCTCAGGCATTGTTCTAGACCATGTTCCTTTGTTATTGCATTTGATGTTCACAACATATTTATGGGTTTTTGTCCTATTTTACAAATCAGGAAAATGAGAAATTGAAGAGGTAAGTGACTTGTCCAAGGTCACCAGTCATGAGGGGTAGCGATGAGAAGGTCTGCAGAGCTTGCACTCTTAACCATTTGGCAATGCTACCATATACTGCAAATATACAGCATTTACTCTTCCTTTGTTGTCCAGAGCAGACACCACTGGCCTGTCACAGAGCCATCCCACCAAGCTTGGTCCCTAATCTGTTGCTCTGGAAGCTCTAATTAGCTGATGAGTATTGACACCAGAAAGAAAAGATAACTCTCTGCTCTTCTAGGCCTAGACCCTCCTCTCTTGGTCGTTCCTATTCTCCCTCAAACTCTGCCCTGCTCTCGAGGTTCTACTTGGACTCTGACCCTCTATACTCAGCACATGGTCTTGGTCTCTTTCAAGTTTGACTCAGGCTGAGACTTGTTCCCAGGTCCCTCTGCCCTTCTTCAGGTTCTTCCTCACCCTCACCCCATCACAAGCTATCCCAGGGAGTGATTCGATAGGTGTTGATAAGGCATCTGTGGTGTGGAGGTGAAGTAGTGGCAATAGGCAGGACAGAAAGGGAAAGGGCTCAGAGCAGGATCATCCTCTGACTCCTGAGCTTCGATCATGCTATAAAAAGTTCTGTATGAATGGTAGAGATCCAGAGCTTTAGACGTGGCATCATGTTCTGAAGCTGCTACAGTTGGAAACATACCACTGGATTATCCTGTCCATATCTTCTTAAATGGCCCCAAAACACTCCTTCAGTTTTAGTCAACTGAATGGGAAACACAAGAAAATCTTTTAATTTTGGAGAAAAAACTTGGATATTTATTGGACATTGAAGGTGTTAATTGGGGGGCTGGAAAGTAGTGAGTTCTAATTAGCTGTGCAATGTTGGAAAACTGTTGAGCCTCTCTGAGCTGTGGTTGGTCTGTAAAGCAGGCCAATTAAGTGGACAGCCTCTCGGGTCCCTTCTAGTCTCAGCACTTGGTGTCAATGCAGCCTGGGTTTCAGAGGCCCTTGTGTTCTCCCCAGTTACTCCCAAGGGTAACCCAAAGATGCTCCACATATGCTGATGGGACTTCTGTCAGTTTCCGCAGGTCAGATGACATCTTATCTCTCCTGCTGTGCTCTGCCCTTTCTTTCCCCCACTGCTCTTGCCTATGGTGTTCCCTGAGTTGCTGGTTCTGTGGGGTTTAAAGTCTGTTTACCTATCACCACCATCATGGCCATGGGGTATTCATGTCCTCGTGGTGCCAAAGCTCTTTTAGGACTTGTACACTCTAGTGTTGAGACCTGAAGCAGAACTACCAAACTCTACCACTGACATCTGAACCCTGGGCACACCTGCTAAGAGGTATTGTTAAGTTACTGTGAAAACTTTAGAGGCCCCACTCAAACTCTGGAGTGCATGTCAATCTCTCCTCCATTTACACAAAGAACAACATGGGTTGGCTGAATACCCAAGACTCACAAAATACAGGATTGATCTAATCTGTCCCTGGAAACCATTGAGACAAATCCATTATCTGAGGAGCCAGGACAAGTTATAATTAGAAGTCCAGTGAGTCATGGCTCATGGGAGTTAGCTCAGAGGCTCTCACTCATAAAATGACACACTAATTTGACGTCTGTTGGGCTCATCCTGGGCATCAGAATTCAGCCTGGTACAGGGACGGAGAGAATTTCTTGGAGACAAGTAAGATTTATGGAGCACAAGAATATTCATGCTGGGCCCAGTCTCACCAGGAAGACAGAGCATCAGACACAGGAAGTACAGACAAAGTGATAAAAAATGTTTGCTAGAAAAAAAATTCCCTTCACCGCACACAATTTCTCTTTAATTTTTCTTAAGGAAGTACAGTTGTTAATTTAAGCCCTTCACATACTTTCCCAGCAATGAAGTGAATTCATGAGTTTATTGTACATCCTTCCAGGCCCCGTGGATGCAGAGGGAGAATGAATTTTAAAATCCCAGCTCCATTACCTACTTGCTGTCTTTGTGAGTGTGAATAAGTCTGTCAAATATTCTAAACTTTTGTCCCCTTATTTACAAAATGGGGTTTGTATGAACATAAAAAAAAAACAATAATGCATGCAAAGCATCTGGCTCAGGATCCCACACATGGTGTTCAGTCAGTGTGAGCTTCCTCCCTAGTGGAAATCACCAGATGATACCAGCTCCAGGTCTTCTGTCAGACACAGAACCCACCCATGCAAAGTGCTAATGCCGGTTCAGCTCAGCAGACACCTTGTCTCAGGAAAGCCATTAGAAATCCCCAAAGTACTATATTTTTCTCCTGGTAAGTAGCTCACTTCCCACAACTTCCCACCACTTTATATTAAGTGAGCCCAACAAATGAGTCATGCCACTTACAGACACAAATTTGGGAGCCACACCCCAAGCAGAGGCATCTTGGCTTTTCACAAGAAGCTGTCAACCCCACCAAAAAAGAGGGCCTAGGGGACCCACAGTTAGAAAATCTCAAACTCCCAAGCTACCTCTGAATTCATCTGCAAATCCAAAACCTTAGCTTGTTTTTCTCGCAGTGAGTTTTAATGACAGGTGAGAGTCACTGGAACATTCAAACTTTTGCTGAACTTGCTGTTTGAGGGTGGGTGGTGTGGGTACAGAGGGTCCAGGAAGATAGGCCATTCACTTCCCCTCTTAGGTAAATGGGCAATACCAAATTAAATTTAAAATAACACCCTACTTGTTGGATCACTTAGAAGGTGATTATTTAGTTTTGAAAACATCTACGATAGCATTTAAAAGATGACTGATTTTCATGAAAATTTTCAAGAGTTTATCTATTGTATGAAAATACAATTATTTGTATAAAAATGCAAAAACAGATCAAGGAAGCCTGGCGTGTGCCAAGGTCATAGCTGAAGAAAAGAGTTGCACTTGAGATATAAACACTCCCAGCCTATAGAAAACACAGGTGTGAAAAACTAATGATGTAATGTATGGTGACTAATATAACACAATAAAATAAAATTTAAAAAATTAAAAAAAAAATAAAAAGAAAACACAGGTGTGGTATTTGAATTTATATCTCTTATGTTGGATGAAAAGCCTACCCAAGGAATTAGTATAAAACAGGTATAGAACCACTGAAAGCCCTAGAAGCAGAAACTAAAACAGACATGGGCCTTCTGCTGAAGATAAGCTCACAACATCAAAAGAGGAAAAATGATAAACTATGTGAGTAAGTAAATACCATTAGAGAGAGTCATCAGGTTTCATAAACAAAAGAATTAGCACCTCAGGTGTTGAACTTGGTAAAACAATCTAGAAGGGACAAAAAAAATAAGTATGTTTCAAATAACTAAAGAGTTTTAAGAATGGAGGAAGGAAGAAATAAGATCCATAGTGAAAGCAAAGGACAGTACAGCAAAAGAAAAGACAGATTTGCAAAAGAATCAAAAGAAAATTCAGTCAATAAAATAAAGAATATACAGGATATTAGAGCTGCTGAGAAAATTAGTGAATTGGAAGACAGAGCTGAGGAAACTACACGGATTATATCACAGAGAGCAGATGGCAAATACAAAGGAACAGATAGGAAATATGAAAGCTAGATTGAGAAAATCAGCAGATACAAAATCAGGCTGCCATGATGCATGATTCTAAAGGTTATTCCATTCACCAGGAATCTAATATAAATGGTGTTTTTTGGATTTTTACAATGTATCAGGCTTTGTTTAATAAGAACTCCAAAAGGTAGAAATTGAGAAGAGAGAAAATGGGGATAAAGTGATAATTTAAAAAAAGATAATAGATCAGAAATTTCCAAAATTGAAGAAAGACACAAGTTTTCAGTTCTCAGAAAATGTACAGAAAAGTCTTGATCAGGATAAATAAAAATAAATGCACACCTAAACAATTTGTGAGGAAAATGAAAAATGTCAAAGACAATGAAAAACAACCAGAAATAAAAGAGATTACTTGAAAAGTAATGAGCAATCAGGATTACTGGCTGTGTGACTGTGAACAAACTTGTCAGACTTTCTAAACCTTGGTCCCCTTATTTATAAAATGGGGTTTGTATGATGACTGAAGAAAACAACAATGTATGCAAAGCACCTGGCTCAGGATCCCTGATTTTTTATCAGCAACAACGCATGCCAGTAAGCAATGATATAGTATCTTTAAAATGCTGAGGCAGCAGTTCTGTCATTTAAAAATTCTAAATACAGGGGTGCCTGGGTGGCTCAGTTGGTTAAGCATCCAACTCTTGGTTTCAGCTCAGGTCATGATCTCAGGGTCACAGAATTGAGCCCTGCATCAGGCTCCTTGATCAGTGCGGAGTCTGTTTGAGATTCTCTCTCCCCTCCTCCCTCCCCCCCCCCACAACCTGGTGCACTCTCTCTCTCTCAAATAAATAAATAAATCTTTAAAAAAAATTCTAAATCCAGAGACATTTCATTCAACAATAAAGTAATGGTTCATTCACACAATGGAAGCTCACAATGGAGAGAGCATCATAATACATTCTTAAGTAAAAAACAAAACAAAAAAAACCCTGAACAAACAAAAACAAAAACAAAAAAAAAACTTTTGGGAGGGAAAGAGGGAAAACGGGTATATCTTCAGTTTATAGTAATAGTATATAAAACACTGGAAAGCTACCCAACAAATGAATATTCTTTGGTTACCTGTGGAAGAAGGGAGGAGCTGAATGGATAAGAGTGAAAGCAAAATTTCTCACCAATTATACCATTGATTACCTCTTTAAAATTTGTATTTAATGGGCAAATTCCTGAAGCACAAAACCTACCAAGATTGAATCATGAAGAAGTAGAAAATCTGAACAGAACCCTAACTAAAAAAGAGATTGAATTAATAACCAAAAACCTTTTAACAAAGAAAAGCTCAGGGCCAGATGGCTTTATTGGTTGATTCTAGCAAACACTGAAAGAAGCATTAACACTAATCTTCCTCAAGCTCTTCCAAAAAAATAGAAAAAGAGGAAACATTTTCAAATTAATTCTATGAGGCCAGCATTATTCTGATAACAAGGCTAGACAAACCACAAGAAAAGAAAACCATAGACCAATATTGAATATTAATGCAAACATTTTCAGCATAATACTAGTAAACAGAATCCAACAGCATATTATAGGATTTTACACTATGACCAAGTAGGATTTATTTCTGAAGTGCAAAGATGGTTCAATATATGAAAAACAATCAGCATAATCCACTACATTAACCAAAGGAAGGGGGGAAAACCCAAATGATGTTCACAAATAGGACAGAAAAAGCCTTTGACAAAATTCAAAACCCTTTCACAATAAAGAAAAAGCTCTGGACAAAGTAGGACTAGAAGGAAATGACCTCAACATAAGGAAATGATCTCAACATAATAAGGGGCATATATGAAAATCCCACAGCTAATACCATACTCAATGGTGAAAGACTGAAAGGTTTTCCTCTGAGGTCAGCAATAAGACTAGAATGCCCACTTTTGCCACTACTAATCAACACAATACTAGAAGTCCTGGCCAGAGCCATTAGACAAGAAAAAGAAATAAAAGGCATCTGAACTGGAAAGGAAAAAGTAAAACTATCTTTGTTTGCAGATGGCATGATTATGTAGATACCCTAAATATCAGACACACAATGTTGGAACTAGTAAACAAATTCAGCAAAGTTGCAGGATACAAAATCAACACACAAAAATCAGTTGCATTTCTATATACTGACAATGAACAATTTCAAAGGAAATTAAGAAAATATTTCCACTCACAATATCATCAAAAAGAATAAAATACTTAGTAATAAACTTAACCACAGAGGCAAAAGACTTAAACACTGAAAAATACCAAAATATCGCTGAAAGAAATTAAGAAGGCACCGATAAGTGGAAAGACATCCAGTGTTTATGAATTAGAAGACATAATGTTGTTAATACCATTCAAAGTGATCTACAGGTTCAACATTCCATTGAATCCCTCTCAACATCCCAATGATGTATTTTCCAGAAATAGAAAAATCCATAAAATTTATATAAAATCTAAAGGAACCCCAAAGAGCCAAACAATCTTGAAAAAGAAGAACCAGGAAGTCTCACACGTCCTAATTTCAAAACTGATTACAAAGCTGTAGTAAACAAAACAGTGTGAGGTGGGCATAAAGACAGACAAATAGTCAATGGAATAGAATAGGGAGTTCAGAAACACATAGAAGATCAAATGATTTTCGGCAGCAGTTCTCAGACCATTCAATGGGAAAAGGACATTCTTTTCAATAAATGGTACTGAGAAAACTGGATATCCACATGCAAAAGAATGAAAGTGAACCCTTTTTTATATCATCTATAAAAAAATAACTCAAAATGAGTCAAAGACCTAAATATAAGACCAAAACTTTAAAACTTTTAGAACAAAACATAGGGGGAAAGCTTTAAGACATTGGATTTGGCAATGATTTCTTGGCTATAACACTAAAGTCACAGACAACAAGAAAAAAATAATGGGACTACATCAAAGGACACAATCAACTAGAGTAATAAGGCACCCCAAAGAATGGGAGAAAATATTTGCAAGTTATATATCTGATAAGGGGTTAAGATGCAGAATATACAAAGAATGCCTACAACTCAACAACAAAGAGACAAACAACCCAATTAAAAATAGGCAGAGGACTGGAAAGAAGAGATTTCTCTAAAGAAGATACACAAATGTCCTATAAGCACATGAAAAGATGCTCAGCATCACTGATCATTAGGGAAATGCATATCAAAACCACAATGAGATAACACTTCATATCCATTAGGATGCTATTATAAAACAAAATAGAAGATGACAAGCATTGGCAAGGTTATGGAGACATTGCAACTCTGTGCACTGTTGGTAGGAATGCAAAGTGGTGCTACCACCATTGAAAACACTATAGCAGCTCCTCAAAGAATTCAAGATAGATCTAACATTTTTACTTTTGGGTATGCACCCCAAAGAACTGAAAGCAGAGAATCAAGGAGCTATTTATGTACCCATGTTCATAGCAACATTATTCACAAGAGTCAAAAGGTGAAAGTGATGTGTCCATGGAGAGATGAACTGATAAACAAAATAGCAAATACTTATACAATGGAATATCACTCCACCTTAAAAAAAAAGGAAGGAAATCCTGACACATGCTCCAACATGGATGAACCTTCAGGATATATGGTAAGTGAAGTAAGCAAGTCATTAAAGGACAAATACCGTAGGATTCCACACACATGAGGTACCTAGGGTAGTCAAATTCATAGAGACAGAAAGTAGGATGGTGGTTGAAAAGGGCTGGGGGTGGGGAGGGAAAAATGAATAGCTATCTAATGGACACAGAGTTCAGTTGTGCACAATGGAAAAAGTCCTGGAGACGGATGGGGGTGATGGTGGCACATCACTGTGAATGTGCTTAGTGCCGCTGAGCTGTAGTCTTAAAAATGGTGACAATGCTCAATTATCTGTTATGTGCCTCTTACCACAATTTGAAAAATTATCCAAGTATGCTCCACGGAAAAGTAATTCAAGAGGCAGAGGTTAACCCAAAAGTCAATATAAAGTATTTCTACCCAAGTGGGAAAAAAAATGTTTGTTTTTATTAAAAAGCAGTTAAAAAAAAGAACACCTTTGAAAATTTATAATACGGCATAATAAACAAATGTTCATTGTAGAAAACTGACAAATATAGGCCAACAAAAATAAGAAAATACATAAAAGATCTGTGGTTTGCCATCCAAAGGTAACTGTGGCTAAATTTTTGGTGTAGCTCCTTTAAATATGGTGTGTGTGTGTGTGTGTGTGTGTGTAAAATATACTAATGAGAATTGTTATCTGTGGGTACAGATGCAGCTGAACAGACAAGGGGCGTCCTTTCTACCCTCTGGACCACTATACACATGAAAGTTGCTTAATCCCCCAACATTTTATTATAAACATTTTCAAGCAAATAAGAAGTTGAAATAATTTCATAGTGAGCACTGTATATCCACCACCTACATTCTATCATTACCATTTTCTTATGCTTATTTTTTCACATATATATCTATTCTCTTCATCCATCAATCTACCTTATCACCTTATCTACCTACACATCACCCCAAATACTTCATCATGCATATTATGGTGTTTTCACATATAATTTATATACAATGAAATGTGCAAATCTTAAGTATACATTCACTGAGATTTGACAAATGCATACAGATGTTTAACCCAAACCTACCAAGCTATAGTTCATGACCATCACCCGAGAAATTTCCCTCCTACCCCTTCCCAGCCATCTCTGCCCTCACGCTCCAGAGGCAACACATGCTCAGATTTCTCTCCACCATAGGTTAGTTTTACCTGTTGCAGAATTGCATGCAAGTGGAATCAGGCTTCTACTCAATATAATTAACATGTCTTATTCAAGAGCTCAGATAGAGGGGGTGAGGGACAATTTAATTCCTTCTGGTCTCCAGTGATGGTGGGACCCCCGTTTGATGCTGTTCCCATCCCTGCTGGCCCCTTGATGTAGCAGTTAGCTGTGTGCGGGACTTGCCAAAGTCTATGAGATGGATGACAATGCCAGGCCACCATTCACTGAGGTCAGAGGAAAATGGAAATCATAGGTTAGGGATTTACGAATTATGTGCGGGAAATAGCGGCTGCCCAATTCTACTGAAGAATTTCTATGGAGTAGTCATAATGGCCTCGTGCAGTGATTTTGTCATTAATCATAGAGTATAAATCTACAACCATTTATTTTATTGTTTGGCAATACTTTAATTCTTTTTTAAAGATTTTATTTATTTGAGAGACAGAGTGTGTGTGTGTGTGAGAGAGAGAGAGCACGCTTGAGCATGAGCAGGGGGAGGAGCAAAGAGAGAGGGAGAAGCAGGCTCCCCACTGAGCAGGGAACCTGACGCGGGGCAGGATCCAGGACCCTGAGATCGTGACCTGAGCCGAAGGCAGACGCTTAACCCACTGAGCCACCCAGGCGCCCCTGCAATAAATTCTTTTGGCAACAAAAAGTCATAAATTTTTAACTAAACTGAAAGTGTACATTTAGTGAAAAATTAAATACTAAACTTCTGTGTCTCAAGACAAATTGATGATGATAAGATGCACAAAATACGTTTGGCATTTACTCTCCATGAAGAGTGTCACACGAAATCACCAACCACTCAGAAACCCGAAGATACAAATCCGCTGCCGAAGAAGCCTCAGCATCTACGTAACCCTAGGTGGGATTGAAAGAAGAATGTGCCCACATTAAGACATAAAAGGCTACTCCTCATATATACTGCACATGCAACCACATTGGCTGAGATGTGCCAGGTCTTCTGAAGTGCAAAGGTAGGAATTTGAACTTCATTTATGATTTTCATGGACCAAGAGTCAAAATCAAAACACAATCTCCTGTGTCACACTGAACTTGGAAGGAAGTGTAAATAAGATATGCCCTGTGTTGAACAAAAGCTGCTGGAATCCAGAAGACTCTTCTCCTAGCCAAGGACTGCCTTTGAGTTTCACGCCAAAGACCGAACGACCACTGGGCACAGCTGGTCTAATTTTGAATATGTAAAGCACTGCAATTCCAGTCCATGAGCACTAATGTAATTTGTGAAAACAGTACACCCACAATTGGCATGGAGCTCAAAACTTAACAAGATCTCTTTTCTACTAGATGTATTGTTGGCTAATTGCTCTCAGCCATTAGCTGGAAGAGATACATGGGGAGAAGGCTTTGGAGGCACACAGAGAACCAGGTGGTTTAATTATTTCTCACATTTCTCTTTCCTTGGTAGTTAATTAGCAAACATTCCTTTCCCTACCTTCTCTCTTTGTTGAGGTCATATCAGCAAATATCTGGTCCAATTTTTGCAAAACTATCTGATTAATTCATAATGCAGAAGAGCTTATCAGCTTGCTTCCATTTCCCTTCGCCCAACAATGATGAGCAATGAAATATTTCAAACATACAGAAAAATAGGTCAATAAAATCACCTAGCTTTAACAGATGTTAACACTCCACTGTACATGTTTATTGTAATATTTTTAATAAAGTTCTTCAGTCATCACTGCCCTGTTTACAAGAATATTTGGCCTTTTGCTATAACGTGTCGCATGAACACATCTTGTGTGAAAGTCTGTCATATTTCTCTGGAGTGCTTGCCTGGCTGTCAGCCCCGTGGTCTTTGCTGTTCCAATATGGCCCCCTCTGCAGGGCAGGGATGAGACCAGATGGTGTAGTGGTTGCAGCGTGGCTTTGGGGCCATGCAGATCTGATTTCCAATCCCGGCAACCAACTCAGTGGTGGGCAGATGTCTGTACCTATTTTCGCATTTATAAGATGGGAATACCACCTACCTTGTAGAGGTATTTTGAGGTGATGTTAGTAAAGCATGGGAAGGGTAGCTAGCAGAGGGTAAGTGGCTGTTACCAGATTGTATATCTGTTGTACATGCCGAGCAACCCCATTAATCTTGGGTCTATCTCTAACTGAGGCTGTATTTACCAGGAACCAGCCAACCACTAGCCAGATAATTAACCACTTATTTGTGGACTAATGGACACCAGCTTTCCATGTGAGCCTCAATTTAGTCAGTAAAATGGTGGTCCTTTTTTTTTTTTTTTTACCAGCTGGAGGTGACTTTGCCCCATGTGTCTGATCTCAAAAACATAATGGAATTTTACAGAGTTTTATAGCACTTACCTTTATATAAAGTCAAAACTAGTCCATGAAATAAGGGAGCAGTTGGTTATAATCATGAAGCAAGCCCTCTTGTGACCATGGGCATTATTTGTTATTTCTGTGAGCATCTTCTCTTGCTGTCCTTAGGTGTATCTATTATTTATCATTAAAGCAAATTGCCTTTAAAAGACCACATTGTTTAACATAGTGGTTCTCAACCATGGCTGAGCCTCAAGATCATCAGTGTTTTTTTGTTTTTTTTTTTTTATCTATCTATTTATCTATCTATCCATCCATCCATCCATCCCAAGGCCCCCACCTAAGACATACTGGGAGTCTCTGGGAATGAAATCTTCATCTCCTGGATGAAGTGGAAGGGATTAATGTTCCACCCAGGTGAGGCTGTTATAGACCCAGGGTTGAGAATCACACCGGGTTAACTACTTGAAATGGTACCTATCTAAAGGGTAGTTGAAGATTTTGGAATAAATAAGGAAATCTTTTTTTTTTTTTAATAATTTTGCAAGAAAGATGCTTCTATTCCAAGTCTTCTGTTGCAAATTACGTCTTCCACAGGAACGAAGCATACACATGGTCCATCCAAGCACAATGTAAATCAAAACACATGTCCACAGCTGGAGCAGAAGTCTTAGGACCGTCTAACTGGATTCCATTGGAATGAGTCTGCGTGACACCATGTCAAAGTAATTGTGCACAATTCCCCTAAAGAAAGCTACATGAAGGATAGCCAAAACACAAGAAATAATTGGATTTAACTCAATTTTCTTAAAAAAAAAAAAAGTATAATGCACACACTATCTTTTACAAACAAAAGCACACCAAATGTCAGAAAGTGACTTAAGACTACATCGTTTTCCAGACTTATATTGACCAGTGCTTCCAATACTCACCTTCCCTCCCCCCTTTTCTTTATTCCAAATAGCTGTCTGCTCTCTCAGGTAATTGGACAGAGAAGTGCATCTGAAGATGGAGGCCATTAAGAAATCATGCTTCTCTTTATTTATTAGTTTCCATGGCAAGAGCAAAACAAAAGACAATTGTGTTTCAAAGCAACAACAGTAAAAGAAGCAACATCTCTCTCAGGCAGATAAACCTCAGAGGGAAAGTAAAAGTTACACTGCCCTCCATGCCTTTCCCCAAACCAAGGGCATGATTTGTAATGGCATTGGCCGCAGGTAGATGCTAAGTCCAGACACCGAAAAGCTACTCCTGGAAGCTACTAACTTTTGTATTTTCCTTGGGGATTCTGTTGCTAAGCTTCTCTTTCATTTGACTCCCAGAAATCAGACAGTGAAATCTCGGGGGCTTTCCAGGCCACCTAATTCAAAGTAATCAGGAACCTGAGTAGGGTCAGGATGCTGGCTGACTTCTTTCAACAAACAGGGATCTAGAATGTGGGCTACTGAGATATTTCACCAGCTCTATCCCTCAAGACAGAGTCAGCAGGTGAAATGCCCCAAATGGTTGGGTTTTGTAGTGCTCGAGGCAGGCAACTCCAAAGCTAGATCCCTCTCCCTCTGAGCAACGAAGGCCACCACATTCATTAGTCACAGAGTGGTCTACTCCTGCACTGCAACCTCATCCTTATGGGTCCCCTCTGCCTGGCATTCAAGTGCCTGGCCCAGGTCAACTGCAGCAGTTTGCTTTCCTTTTCAAATAAAGGCTCCAGTATCAAATCATTAGTTTCCTCAACCACCTAGCACGATGACAGTATTCTCTTTGATTAGTGTCCACAGCCCTATGTTAGAAGAGTGGGAAATTAGGCACAGGTAGAATGGTGAAAGCAGTAGTTTCTAACCCCCTCCCCCCTCCTTTTTTTTTAAGGGAGGAAATTCCCTCAGTGGGTAATCCACTTAGAGCAAAAATGGTATCACAGTGTTGGGCTTGCCCCTACATTCATTCATGTTGGTACTTTTTATTTAAGTTTTTATAGTAGGTAGGTTCCCCTCTGCCTAAAAACCCAAGGGAAAAAACCCAATTCTTTAATTTACTCACATCCTGCTATGCTTTCTCAGGCTACTCATTTCCTTACCCAGCCTCATCTTCAGCTACAAGGAAGCTGGGGTTGGAGGAAGCGGGGAGGCAGGTCAACTGGAGGTTGTCCTGACCTCTGAGGGAGAGGACCCTGGTCATCAACACCAGGGCTGCCCTGGGCTATTTCAAAATGTCAGCAGGATCAATTCTAGAAAAAACAAAACAAAACACCATTTGCTTCCCAGTAGGCTGGGGCTCAGTGGGGCAAAAAGAATAAGTAAATTAACTGACAAAATTTGGCAATTGCCGGTTCCTGAGAACTTGCGAGAGAAACAGTTAAGAGGTATCCTCAACCTTCAGGGCCATGAGGAGACTATCTTGATGCAGTCAAAATAAAGGAATGATGTGCTCTGCAGATTTGAAGACGTTCTCCTCTCTGGTCCTGGGGGTGCCCCTGTGTCCCTGGCTCTAGGAGACCATCCAACCCGTAACATCGACAGCTCCTCACAAAAGCAGCATTGCCCTTGCCCCACTTACCATTCGGGCCTGTGGACTGCTTTTATTCTAGGGGTGATTTTAAATACTTCTCTTCCTGCCATGGCTGTTGTCCTCTGTGCCCCATCTCGATCTTTGTATCCAGGTTTGATTACACGGAAATGAACTCTGAGCATCGTCAAGGAGCCACAGATGCTGCAAGGAGGAAGAGGCAGTAAAGAGGGGCCAGAATGCCTACTTGGGTTGACAAGGACAGTCATGGTCTTGGGGTGGGCTGGGGGGATTTTGTGTAGACAATATGTGAAACGGGACCATAAAATAAAGGCGCCCATGTCACTGGCTGGCTGGTGAAGCCAACTTCACTACTGTGCTGCCACACTATATATGCACATGCAACACACAGGTCTTTATTTTTAGCCCTTGCTGGCAAATCCACTTCTAGCTCCTCCTAGGCAGCCTCCCTCGATCGCTACTTAGCCATCAGTTACCTCCAAAGTCCCACGGCCCTCGAAGTATGGGAGCTCTGGCCACTTGCCATTTCTAATGTTGCCCCTGAAATCTTTATGTCTTCTTCTGAGCTCACAACGCTTGGATTTTGGCATTATATTCTTAAACTATAAAGTCCCCCACATTATGGCCATTCAGAAGGTCTAAGCAGGCAAGACTGGTTCATCTAGGAAATGTCCAATTTAGTCCATGGAAATCTGTTCCTTTCATTGCCCAGGACCTGTGGACAGCTAGTTCTCAGTCTTTCCCTAATAGCCATTTGACTTTGGGGAAAGACCTGTCTTTCCTCTGGATTTTAGTTTTCTCCTCTTAACAAATGAGAAGCTGGCTAGATAATACCAGTCATATTTCTTTCAGCTGTATGTTCTATGCTTTGTAACTGCGAGGTTGAAGATCGGAGAATTCACGCACTCCCAAAGGGCGTAAAAATAATCGTGCCTAACACACAATTTCCATGTATTAAGTCATTCAATTCTCTTTAGAATCCTATGAGTAAGTATTATAATCATGACTCCTATTTGTTGGGTGAGGAAAAAGGCATAAAGAGGTTGAGTAGCTTAAACTGTGTCATGAAGTAGCAGTGCAACGGGGTACAAACTCAGGCAGTCTGGCTCTAAGCTAAGTTCTAGAAACCATGACAGATACAGGGTAATAGGCAGATCTGAGGACTGAGCTTCCTTGATGTGTGTGTGTTTAGGTGAGAATCAGTTTATCTGCCAGTCAGTAGCAGTTCCAAGGAGCCAAGACCAGAGCTAGCGGCCAGCGCCCTCTCTACCACCTGCTGAATTCTCCTGCATTATTTAGGGCATATATTACCACAGACAAACACAAGCACTTCGTGGCAGTGGTATAAATTAGGATGATTCTGCCAGCAAAAGCCTAGAATCATGAAGATAACATGACCAGCTTGGGATCTCTTTGCCACCTACTGACCTGTCAGTGTATTGATGCCGTTTGGGGTAGAAAATATTCAGATGATCCTGGATGAGGAGAGACCAGGCAGAGAGCCATTCCCAAACCTAGTTTAGGGAAATAAGCTGTGTCTCCAGGGATCTTGAAAACACAGCCACTCTGAGGTTCCGACTGCCCTATTCCAATGTCCCAGCTGTCCTCCTCAAAAGCAAGTGCCTTAGCACCTTTCACCGAGGCCAATCCTAGCCCCGGGAGATCTTTGCACAGAAAAGACAACGTGCTCATTCATTTTTAAAATAGGTCCATTAAGAATCCCAAACTCAGGGCGCCTGGGTGGCTCAGTCGTTAAGCGGCTGCCTTGGGTCATGATCCCACGGTCCTGGGATCGAGCCCCCTATCAGGCTCCCTGCTCTGCAGGAAGCCTGCTTCTCCCTCTCCCACTCCCCCTGCTTGTGTTCCCTCTCTCGCTGTGTCTCTCTCTGTCAAATAAATAAAATCTTTAAAAAAATAAAAAATCCCAAACTCAACAAGACTCTGTCTACCAGGAGAGTTCCTGCCAGTTCACTCCAGAAAGGTAGTAATGCAAATTCATAAGGCTATCTTGATTCTAAACTCATTGCCAGTAGGGCCCAAGGCCTAGAACTGGGCCTCTTTTCAGTGCTTATTTAAACATTGCTGAGCATTGAGTGTTGAATGTTTAGTTCTCTGCCCTTCGGGTCTTTTCCATCTTTAATCCTCTTGGAGCAGGGTGGGGCTGAGCTGGGAACTAGTGTAAGTCAGGTTGGAATCATCCTTGTGCAATCTAGCACATCCACAGGGTAACACCACCTTTGGGGGGAAACCAACATAAGGGAGCTGTTTGATAGAGCTTCTGGCTGCTCGAGGTCACTCAGAGGTCTATGGCCAACTGGGAAAGAGTTCTATACATTGATACTTTCTTTGACCTTTTCTACCAAATGGCTATGCGGCATACATGCTATCCTACTGAGTGAAATACCTTTCTTTCCCTCGAGCTAAAAGCACACTATTTTAAGAAGCTATGGATTCTTTGCTGCCATATCACTGATTTACCTACTGTACTTTGTAACCCAGAACTATGAATCATCCTTCCTAAATTTTCAGCTAACAAAACATGTTCCCTTAGATACAATCTCTTCTTTACCTAGATTTATTTGTTCTGAATCCTGATGCATTCTTAGGGCATTATTTCTTACTGAAGGCAGCTCTCCCTCAGTGTTTGTTTAATGATAATTTTTATTTCAAGCTCTTCATGAGTAGTAGGCTTGTCCTTTCTCAAGCCTTTATATTCCTAGGACTCTCTGAGTCAGTTGTCAGATTTCTGGCATTCGTCAAGTACAGGCAAGGGGGCTGTATTTCCTTGCCTCTCTTTCATGGGTCACTGAACAGTGCTAAAATTCTGAATTCCTTAGGAATAGAACTCAGAGACAATCTCTTATCTTCCCCCCCCTCCTCTTATTCATTAGTTTTAATTTCTAAGTAATGAAACAGATCATTTATTCATTCCAACACTGGTTGAAGAATCACCATGTGGCAGGCACTTTGCTGGGGATATAGAGATGGTCTGCTGTCAGGAAGCTCACAATATGGTGAATAAGATCAGGTCATGATTGGAAAAGCAGTATGTGCTCCAGGGTCTGCAAGGCATTTATTTAGAGGTGTGCAGATCCCAGAAAATCCATCCAAAAGCCAAGAGATACTGCTTGACCTGAACTGCAAAGGACAAGTAGCAGTTCTTTTGGAAGAGTCCAAACAACGGGTAGATTGATGTGAACACAGCAGAGGGACAGAATTAAGGGAGTGGCTGGAGGGCCAGATCACAAAGGGCTTTGTCCCTTGCGCTAAGAAATTTGAACTTTATCTTAAAAAAGAGAAGGAACCACCAAAGAGGAGAGACAGCAGAATTGTGAATACAGAATGGTATCATGTATGAAAGAATGAGAGTTCTGCTAAGTTCACACAAGTTAGTCAGATTCTGTGTCCCCATGTGCTTGATCTGACACTGCTCTTTGGCCGCTGGGATGGCATACAGAGCATGTGGAGACTAGTCTCGGCTCAGTGCCAGTTCATGGTGCCAGTCTGCCTCTCCAGATTTACAGCCATGACCTTCTTCCCACTCCGAGCGAGCCGTGCTTGTTCTGTACTCGGCCCTGTACCAGGATCATCCGGGAAGCCTCACTGGAACATGGCCTCTTTGCAGAAGGGCACGAAATAAGGAATCCAGATGGTGGAGAGCAGTGTAAATGGCACTTGGGGACGGGAAGAGAATGTGTGTGCAGAGGCAGAGAAAGTCAGGAAGCCCCACGTGTGACATCTCAAATACAGGGAGGCAGGGGAAGAGGTGGGAAACGTGGGGAAAGGGACCAGAAGATCCATTGGTTCTCTTCCAGAAGAGTGCTGCTGCATGGAATATGAACCCACTTCCAAGCAGGAGAAGCTAAGGTATGAAGAGAGAGTAAAATGTCTCAGCGCAAAGGTGAAGCAGGAACAAATTAATAAAACAAGTCACATGGGTTTGCTTGCTTCCTTTTCCACTCTCTGTTATCCAGACCCAAAGTAGTCTGCCTGTCACCTCAAGTTAAACATTTTCCCTGGGAAATGATACAGTCGCAGAGCTTAAGTAAGCTTGCAAATGGAAATGTCATTACTTAATTTAAAAAAAAAAAATTAAAAAAGGCTTAAGTCCTGTCCTAATCACCTCCTATTGTTCCTCTCTGTAGCACAGCCCGTGAGCTAATGCTCTTCAGGCTCATCAGAGGGCTTGGAAACTGCTCAGGGGAACGATTTGATGCCTAATGAACCCTGAAAAATTCTTTTCATGTTTTTTCTCTGGACACTGACTTTTTACATTTTCCTTGAGAAATTCTGGGTACAGCTAATTAATATACATACCAGAAATGTGACGAGTGCGCGGAACTTAGTTTAATCTGGTTTCATGTCCGCTGGCTCCCTGCTCCACCACAAGCCATGATTTTATTCCTCTCACATAGATGTTTTATGATGGATTTCTCAGGAATTTAAAAGAAAAGTTTAACACTTTCACTCGAGCTGAGGTTCCTCAATTTTCATTTGTAAGTTCATTGGCCAGGATGTGTTACAGGGACAAAAGTGATTTCAAAATTGCTGGCTCAGCGACTCTCAGCATAGCAAAGAAGAAAGTCTTTCGTGTTGTTACTGTCCTCAAACATACCCTTTCTGCTCGGATGTCACCCCTAGTTCCTCTCATTTGGGCCACATTTCCTATTTCACAGCTATAAAAAGACAGGTTCTGGATACGGTACGGTAAAGGTAAGGTTCCTATGTGTAATGTATATAGGTGTATTTCTACAAAATATACATGAATAGGGATTTTGTGAGCACCAGTTAAAACTATGTGAAGGGTATTTTCTAGGGAACTTTCTGTGGATCTTTTCAAAAAACAAAAAGCCCTATGGAAAAATATCCATCTCTTCTTCATGTGAATTTCAGGTTTTCATGGACTAATTTCGAAAACTGATGGAGGTCACCATTCGTTTTCCTTTACTGAGCAAGCTCCACACCAGCACAAGAGTCAAGCATGCTTGGCTGTTAGGCTTTACTAAACAAAGATATCTGCAGTGTGGAATACTGAAACAGAAAACTTCCCCATGAGTCAGTAGCCAACCCCAGCAAAAGACCTCATGGTTCCAAATAACCAGCCCACAACCTTTCGTATCCAGTTCTGCTTTTTCAGTGGTCTCTACAGTCGAATTTCTAGTTAGGAACTGAAAAACTGGCTTGGTTTCGACTTCCGTAGGATAGGCAGTGGTGCTAGCCACCATACCCTGGGAGTTACAGGATCTCAAACACGTGAACGCTTCCCCACCTGAAGCCCCCACTCTAACCTCTGCCCCATGGGGCTACAAAGGGACACCATATATGAGCAGAAAAGAAGGCCAGGTAAGAAAGACATCTCGTTCGTGGGACTCCTGCCTCGAACCCTGAGAGCTAGCTTGGAGTATAAGCGTTCTCGTCAAAGGAATAGTTCCTAGTTCTCCTTAAGCATCTTAATCACCTGGGGAGGTCTGGGTTTTGTAGTTTCACGTCTCGCCTCAGACTGATCTCCAGGGGTAGGGCCCTGGATTCTGTATTTTAAAAGGCATATTGGCGTATGTCTGCCCTGTCCCCACCACCACGGGCATTAAGGAAGCGCGGGTCGGAGTTGGAGGGTGGGAAGCCAGGGGTGTGCTGAAGCTGCCTTGTACCAGCTTGGGAGAACTGACTGTTAAAAGCAGCAGACTGTTCAAGAATTTTGCAACCCCTTATTAAAAGTTAAATTATATAAGCTTACTATTAAATAATTATCAACACCAAAAATAATACCCACAGCTCATCACCTCCTACTCATTTACTATTATCTATGTTCTTGAGGTTTTTCCCATCTATTGTATCTGTACTAGTGGTGGAGAATGCTACATAATGGTACGCAGCCGCATGCACGTCCCAATTCTGCATTCAATGACATCACATTGGTAGTTTGAGATCACAGCATTTATATAATAGGCAAAAGCTAGAAATCAGGGCTTGATTTATTGTTGATTATCTCCAGGCTTAAGAAAGTGATGGGAAAATGTAAATAATGCAGATTAAACTTAAAAATATGTCACACGTAGGGGGTGTCTGGGTGGCACAGTCAGTTAAGTGACTGACTCTTGGTTTTGGCTCATGTCCTGAAATTGAGCCCCTGGCCCACTCCGTGCTCAGCGGGGCATCTGCTTCAGATTCTCTCTCCCCCTCCCTCTGTGCCTCCCACTAGTGTGCTCTCTCTCTCTTTCTCTCTCAAATAAATAAATCTTAAAAAACAAATATCACATTTATAGCTGGTATATTGTGAATAGCACAAAATTTGAGGAAATGTTCTTCCAGTATCTGAAAATGGTCCGATTTCAGTAAAGAAGTGACTCTCTTCATTGACAAACAAGTGAAATTCCAACATACGTCTTTGTTGTTCTAACCTTCATCTTAGTCTTTCATGTAAAGGAAAATATCAACCAACATTCATGCTGGGAATCATACTTATTCATCAACTGCAACCATAGTTTGGCTATAGATAAAAGAGTTCCATAAAATCAATGAATGCAGTCTGTGAGAATCAATGAGCTATATAAAAGCTTACAATAAAGAGGACTGTGTGTTCTATTATTATTTGTGAATTGTGTATTTTATTGCACTGTATTACTAATGTATTCATACATTATTGTATTTAATAGTATTATATATTCTATTCAATTTGTTAATTGTATATTTATTTGTATCTCAGTAAAATTTATAATAGACTTACATTTGATTATATGTAAATACACATTTTCCCCCAGAGAGCCAGTTGTTAAACATTTCCCAGCACACCACTGCCTAAGCCAAGAACAAAAACAGGTTGAACAGCTTCCTTGGCTTCTATCCTATAGGTCCACACCCTTATCTCAGCCGTTTAGTTTACCACTCTCTCCTGTCAAGAAAAACACCAAGAATTGTACAAGAACACAAGTCAAAAGAGATTTTCCTGAAGATTCAAAGCAGCTAATTTAATCTGCCTAATCCAACACTTCCTAAGAAGGCTGCCTTCCAAGGAGGGACAGCTTTGGGCTAATCTGACCACACTTGCCACTGGAAAAAAAAAAAAAAAGCAGAACCCCAACAGATGGCAGTTTGGGCACTACAGTCTAATAAATATCCTCCTCCTAGAAGCCACGTCAGATGGTTCCTTCGGAGCAGAGGAGAGGGGACTATGAAGGCATCCAAGTAGGGAACAAGAGGAATTTGAATCTTCCTGTCAACTGTGGTACGTTTGGGGTAAATAACAACAGGATCAGTGAGGATTTCCACTTTTCACCAACCTGAGTACACGTGCACGCCATGGCTTCTTCCATATTTAAATTGTCATTGCTTGTGATTTAAAAACGTCTTTCTAAACGTGGAATAAAACCCAGTTACCAAACCAAGATGTACAGAAATTTTAAAAATTCTGTTACTTGGGGGCACCTGGGTGGCTCAGTCAGTTGTGTATCCGACTCTTGATTTCAGCTCAGGTCATGATCTTAGGGCTGTGGGATTGAGTCCCATGTCTGGCTCCAAGTCAGGCTCTGTGTTGGGTGTGGAGTCTGCTTGAGATTCTCTCTCCCCCTCTCTCTGCCCCTCCTCCCACTTTCATATACTGTCCCTCTCTCAAAAAAAAAACAAATTCTGTTACTTGATAGTTTTGTTGTTTGGTAACTTTAGGCCAATGTCAATAGCCAACACTAACCACTAAGGAGTTTCCTTTAGTGTTGGAAAAATAGAATGCCACAAAATTTTCAAGTTTTCTTTAGAGTTTAAATAAAAACTTGAAATAAAAAAGTTTTCTTAAAAAAAGAAAGGCCTGGGGCGCCTGGGTGGCTCAGTTGGTTAAGTGTCTGCCTTTGGCTCTGGTCATGACCCCAGGGTCCTGGAACCAAGTCCCACGTTGGGCTCCCTTCTCAGCCGGGAGCCTGCTTCTCCCTCTCCTCCCTACTCATGCTCTCTGTTGCTATTTCTGTCTCTCTCTCTCTCTCTCAAATAAATAAATAAAATCTTTAAAAAAATAAATAAAAATTAAAAAATAAAAAGGAAAGGACTCGTCTTAAAAAAAAAAAAAAAGGCCTGTTCTCTCTAATCAAATCAGATTACTGACAGTCCATGTTAATCCTGGTCTTGTCTAAGTGTCTACTTAATTCCATTCATACGTTTCCATTTGTTAGTCTTACCCTACCTCACCTTCTCCTTAATGATCTTTCTCTTAAAAAACAAAAGAAGCAAAAGCCCATCAAATATCTGTTGTTATTATCTGAGTACCATGAACTAGAAACCTTGGCTAAAGAGCCATCCTCCATTTAAAGAGTGTAATTTTTCATTTATGAAAAAAAAAAAAAAACAAACCACAATTGATACAGATAAGGAGTCTTCAGGTAAGTTGCTTTTTAAAAAAAATATTTAAATTCAATTAGCCAACATATACTACATCTTTAGTCTCAGATGCAGTGTTTAACAATTTATCAATTACTTCTGAATGTCTTAAATATATGGTATTGCAGATGTAAATACACAAAGAGACCTCTCTGACCTTCAAATAGGAGAGGACTCTGCTACCGAATGTTCACATATCTATCCACCAGAAAGGGAGACTGGTCTCAGAAATCCTCTAGAGAGCATAATGTTATGGGTGAGTCTTGACGAATGTTAACATTTTTACTTCATCAGTATGTTCTTGAAACCTAGGCACAGAACTGCTCCAACAAGATTCCCCAGGCCATTAATGAAAGGAATGTGTTTGGTGAATGTCAGACCACACATTCAGGGATTGGGAGGAGGTAAGATGTGAGAAATCCAATCAGTCAGGAATCCTACAAGATGTGAGCCTTGTGTTATGTATTTTGAACTAACAGCCTTGAAGGTGATAATACGGATGAGGGGCACTGTGATAATCAAACAAAAACATATCCAAGACACTTGCAAAACAGTCCGGGGAAAAATCAAGATCTTTCTACTTACCTGGTATCTGGTATCTTACCTGGTATCTGGTATCTTACCTGGTATCTGCATAGAAAGAAGACGTACTTTCAAGTACAAAGACATTTATTATGTTTTTTAAAAAAAGGATATTTTTTTTCCCTTAACTTGTTATCTCAGAGAAAAATTAAAGAACTCTGGTCATCACTCAAAAACTTGCCCTGTAAATAAGAACATGGAGGTGTCTTCCTGTTTGACCAATTACTAATGCATATCAGCTACCACCCCTTCATGAATCAGAAGATTAAAGGAACATGTCACTCATTAATATAAAAATCTAGAGGACAATAAACATCAGATTACCGTGGCTTTAGCCAGACTCATTTGTATGATATTCCTGTAGGAGATGCTACTAAGAATAAGCTGTTTTCACTATATCAACACAGAGGCATTTCCTCAACTCGTGTCTTTGTCATGTGCTAAGCTCCAGAATTTCCTAATAGATCGACGTTTTTAAAAAGAGGACTCTTTTGCAAGGCTCTGGGGCCAGACTGTCTGCCTTGACTCCTGTCATCACTTCTTGCTGTCTGATCTCGACATGTTACCTAATGTGTCTTCTGTGAAGTACTGATAGGACCGATTCCTATCTCAGGCAATTGTGAGGAGTTAATGAGTTAATAATACTTTACAAAGCATTCGGAAGAATGCGCGGAATATATTAAGTTAGCTATTCGAATCATTATATTTTCATCGTCAGCATATGTGTAGTTGGAAGAAGAGAAAAAAGGTCCGCATCTACTTAACGAGAACTAAGTAAATAACTAGAAAAATTAAAATATCCGGTTGGAAAATAAAAGTCCTATAGAGGATTTCCCAAGTAAAAAAATACTTTGGGTTTTATTAATATATGTTTATTTCTTTTATCAGTTTTTCCATTTTTAAAACATTTTAGGAAGCTATTCTTTCCAATATTTCCCAAAGTCATGAGGATTCCTTCAGGAAGTGAGGAGACACACATACCAAAGCCCTATCACCCTATGAATACTGAATTTCTATTTTGCCCAATTCATAGGCTCATACATTCTCAGCATAAAGGAATAATGGCTTCTGAAAAACGGCCAAAATTAAAATTTTTAAAAGGAGGGTTTGATCTAAAACTAATGTTGTAATGTATGGGGATTAACATAAGAATAAAAAAACGAAAAAAAAAAAAACTAAAAAAAAAAAAAGGAGGGTTTGAGTCTGCTTTCAGGAACAGATATATCTATAAAACTTAACACATATTTTCATTCTTCTTAAGTTATATCAAAGCATTAAAAGTATAAGAGAATACCTGGAAACTTAGTTCTGATTAGCATTTAAATTAACAGGTTGAGATAAAATACATTCTTATTAATTTACCAATAATTTTTAAGATTTTATTTATTTATTTGACAGAGGGAGACACAGCGAGAGAGGGAACACAAGCAGGGGGAGTGGGAGAGGGAGAAGCAGGCTTCCCGTGGAGCAGGGAGCCCGATGCGGGGCTCGATCCCAGGACCCTGGGATCATGACCTGAGCTGAAGGGCAGATGCTTAATGACTGAGCCACCCAGGCGCCCCCCCAATAATTAATAGATGATTTGGTGTCAAAATGAAATGCCCACAGACTGCATAATGTATTAAGTAATGAAATTAAGTTAACTGGGGATAGGGAGGGAGGGGGCGGCATGGTGCTAGTGGGCGAATGAAGTTGGCCTCAGAACCTACTAATTTGATACTTAGCATTAAAGATATCAAATGGTAAAAATAAAGCTTGATTTTCACTTGCACCTGTCGTTTTGCTCAGTTAGCCAGAGAGCCCAAAGATGATCGTTTCTCTGGAAATAAATTTAACAGATGGTCCCTTGAGATGTGAAACAGTGAGCCTGGAGATACCTAAAGAAGTATCTGTCCTGGCCGATGACTTATTCCATTATCAGAAGGCATTTGCCGGCGCCTGGGTGGCTCAGTTGGTTAAGCGACTGCCTTCGGCTCAGGTCATGATCCTGGAGTCCCGGGATCGAGTTCCGCGTCGGGCTCCCTGCTCGGCAGGGAGTCTGCTTCTCCCTCTGACCCTCCTCCCTCTCATGCTCTCTGTCTCTCATTCTCTCTCTCTCAAATAAATAAATAAATAAATCTTAAAAAAAAAAAAAAAAAAAAAGAAGGCATCTGCACATTCATCTTCCAAAAAGCAGAGGTTAGAGAAGAGGTAAGGGAATGGAAGTAATATTAAAATATATTTCAATTAAACAGGACACAAGCGTTTATTCCTAAACTAACCTAACTTTCTTTAGGCATGATGACCTTGGCAAGAACATTTTCTTGCAGGTAAAGGGGTGTAAAGCTTTCTCTGCTCACGAACGGCCCCCATGGAGTAGCTTTCCTTCCAACTAAGTTTCTAAGCTCTGTTGGAGTTAAAAAGTTACTAGAAGGATATGTACAGGTACTGGGTCAAGGCCATACAAAGATGGACTGCTGATACCTGTACATTAGGTGTATAAAAGGTGCTAAATACTTGGCTACTGAAATTAGAGAAGTCAGAGACAAAGGGGAGGTGGGTTAAAACCAGTCAAAACCTGCTTCAAATGTTACCTGCTCTGTAAGTCTACCTCTCAACCCAGGCCTGACGCATATACTTTGAATACAGAAGTGACTGAGTTGCCTGTATCTGCAGTTTAAGCTGATTGAGAGTAAGGGCCATTAGCTATAAATCCTCAGTGCTGATGCACAGGAGATGCTCACCACTACTGAATGAATATTGAATTTCACATTTTACTTTTGTTTCACACTTTAATAACTGTCTCACCTATGAAATAGGGGAACTTATTTGAAATGAAGTGACAATATTTTCAGTATTATCTCTCGTTTAGATAGATTTCTACTCACAAAGCAGGTCTCATATAGACTGCTATGCCTGTCTAAGCTGTCTTATTATTTGGTGTTATTTCAAAAATGACATCACATTATATTTCCCAGACTTTCTGGTTGGGTTTATTGTGCCAGTTTTAATTCACTGTCTCTCAGCTTCAAATTTACCCTTCAGTGCCTGCTCCAAAACAATGCAGTTCTTTTAAGCATTTTTCCTTTCACAGCAAGAACGATGTTAGGCTTTCTCAGAAGACACATAAAGAACAAGCAGGTGTCTTTGCCCCTGCCATATGTCCAGAATGGCTCTCCCAACACCATGTCCCAATGGCCCTCTCAATATTTAGATACCATGTGCTCTAGGTCTCCCACCCACTGTGGCACCCTGACCCCCTCAGTATACCAGCCCAGCGGCTGAGGCTCACCTGTGCCCTGGAGGGCCACTTCCTATTTCCCTGGCGAATGTGGAGAGATCTGGCCTTGACAACCCAATGGACACTTCCAGACAGTGAACTGCAACCAGTGGTCCCTGACTGATAAGGTCGATATATGGGATTGGACCCTGACTGAGATGGTTGTCAACAAAGAAGTCTGGAGCCTCCAAAGGAAAAATGGGATAACTACTTTTGCTTCTGAACTTGGACCTGATTCTAAGGTATTTATTAAAAGTGAAATGTTCTATATATCATGTTTCTATCCTCAAAGGAACTAAGCCCCTAGTTTTAAGTTTATATTTTTCTAAGCCTTCCATTCAGAGGGAGAAGTTATAATACTTCAGTTCAGCATTTCAGGTTAACAGGAGTTGTCCATATAAAAACAAAAATCCCTCAGCACTTTCTGCATACAATTACCAGAAAGACACCAGGAGAAGTACTACAGAAAAACTATGAACTGATTTAAGAGTGGTCATGTAGCAAACACATCACTATTAGGACTGAGGAGCAGGACCTTCAGTTATTCCAAGTGGAAAATGCTATGTGTTATAAGGAACTAACTCAGCAACAGTACTACAATCTACAAAGCTCTATACCACACTGTGGCGAGCTTGAATTTGGGTGCTGCACGGACCTGGGTTCGAATCCCAATTGTGGCATCTGAGCTGTGTGCCTCTGGCCAAATGATATCATCTCTGAGTTTCTTGCATTGCCCTGCCTTGCAAGGATGATGTTCAAGTCGGATACAAGTACTTTAGAGAATTGAGAAGATATTAAACAAGATCAGCAATACCATGGTTAATTTTCCCTCCTGTTTCCTCATTTTCTAAGTAAGAATACCGAGGCACAGAAATGAAGTTTTTACCAAGAGCACAGTAGTTTATAAAGCTGAAAGCAGGCTAAAATGTTCTTGATTTAAGTGTGCAAACTTGGGCAACAAAGTGTGTACTGAAGACCAGCAGTTCTGTTGAAGACAGTAACTTATTAAGTGCTATCTTATACTTTCCTGACAAATGCCATTCTTTACCAAACAGACTGTGGATGAGCCACTGAAAAGAAGTATAGAATAAATGCAATTTATGTGATTAAACATTTAACAACTTACATTTACAGAATACTCCATGCTTTATAAAGTGCTATGACTAGTATTTCACCTGATCACAACAGCCTTCTCTTCAGAAGAACAATTTTTAGGGACATCTGGGCGGCTCAGTTGGTTAAGCAGCTGCCTTCGGCTCAGGTCATGATCCCAGGGTCCTGGGATCGAGTCCCACATCGGGCTCCTTGCTCAGCAGGGAGCCTGCTTCTCCCTCTGCCTGCCGCTCCCCCTGCTTGTGCACGCGCTCTCTCTGACAAGTAACTAAATAAAATCTTAAAAAATAAAATAAAATAAAAAATAAAAAAATAAAAGACTGATTTTTAGTGATAAAAATTCTTTAGTAATAAAGAATTTCATAAATCAAGAAATTTCAGAAAAAATAAATTTTATGTGTGAATAAAGGCAAATCATGACTAATTCACGATTTTGTGAATAATTTCTCAACTTTTAATAAAAGTCCAGGTTTCCTTATTTGTATATGTCATATGTAGTAGAGGGTAAGTTAGAGGTTTAAAAGTATCCACTTTCCTAGGAAGAAAAGGCTGCTTGAACTTGCTGCAAAAAATACAGATGAGTGATAAAATGTGAAAGTAAGCTTTACATATGACCAAAGAAATAAAAGACGGCTACTAACAGAGGCTAATCATCATTTTTCAAAACACATCTTTATGCCTTATAATTTCATTCAATATTACAAGTCTAGACAAACCACACCTTTCCTCCAACACTGTGCCTGTCCCCATCTGCTGAAACCAATGGAAGCACTAGAAAGTACAATGTAAAAGTCCACAAAACTATTTAAAATTATTTTACTGGAAGACTGCTGCTTTTTCCATTTATAAAAAGTTTAAATGGAGATATACCATCTGCTGTACATAACTAACCTTTTGGAGACTGGCGATGCACGGGCCGTGGGGGACTGTGATCTGGCCCAGGAAATTTCATCATTCTTGCCACATTGTACACGCCCGCCCCGTATATTCATAATATGCCACAGCAAACTGACATGTACAATAGTCTTCATTTTCTCCCTTCTTTAAAATCCCCTGACCTAGTGCAGAATCTAGTCAACTCACGCTCTCATTAATGCAAAAGTATCCAGATGGTTCCTGCTGCCCGCTGTCCTTGCCCTGTTTTGACCTGCCTTGCACACTGTGGCCAGAGACTAACCTCACAGCAATTCTGCACTGTTACTTCCTTCTTCAAAATTCAACAGACGTGTCCCATGAATAAGATCATATTTAAATTAATGGTTAATTCTTACCTGCAACATACTTAGTTCTTTTACTTCTTCACGTCACCTGAGACAAAGTCCATCGTGAGGCAGTGCGTAATGAAGACCCATTTCCCTTGAACGTGAAGATTTAAATGCCATTTTAGTTTTTCTCCCACACTCTAACTACAATCCCTTAACTCACAGCACCACCTATCTTTCAATTAAAAGGATGGAAAACTAGCTTTACTTTTAACACAATGCTCAAACGCCTGGCCTATACAATTTAGTGTGAAATTAAGTCCAAAAGGCAAAAAAGAAAGAAACATTCTAAAAATAACAGTTCCATTTGACACCACATGTAAGGTACCTGTTCCAGTCCATGTAAGTCTTTTATATGGACTGGAATGTTCCAAACGAAGGAGCTGGGCGAGCAGTATATCGATCTCACAATATAGTGAACAAACTCTATCTGTAAATGTCAACCAGAAATTGCAATCGGAGCAGGACCATTTGACTTATAAATTCTGATGTTCACGGATATTTATTTTCATGCCCAAGTGTTAACTGAAATGTGTGTCACCTTTTCCTTAGAAGTCTCCCCATATTTTATTCATTTTCCCTGTTTAAATGAGAATATAAATATAAAATTTAATTTTTATATTCTCTCATTGTGATAACTGTCAGTACTACAAATAAATATCTATTATACAGATACAGAATAATATATATATTTATAAATAAATAAAAATAAATAAATAAAATGGGGGAGGGAGACTGCCCGTGCAGCACATAGTTTGTTCTCTATAGTAACCCAAACCAAGTTTACTGTACCTCTTTCTCAAATCAGTGTTACAGCAATTTCCTTACATAATCAGTATGAATATTCGAGAAAATGCTTTTAGTCAGAATGAAAGAGCATTTGTACCAAAAGCTGAAAGGTCAACCCATGAAAAGTCAAAATGTCTTAAATGTATATGGCATTTCTCCTGTGCAGTTCATAGCTTTATAAAGCAGGCTGCGGTGCATCTCAGCACCCATTTCACTGACAGGGAAACAGATACATTACTGTTGATACACAACAGTCTGTGGAGAACAGAACTCCAAGCCAAGGCTTATTTATGGCTATCTTGTGTTCTGTTCCTCAGATATAAAAATTAGGGAAAAAATCGGGGTACCTGGGTGGCTCAGTTGGTTAAGTGTCCAACACTCGATTTCGGCTCAGGTCATGATGTCAGGGTTGTGAGAGAGCCCCACGTCAGGTTCTAAGCTCAGCTCTGAGTCTGCTTGAGATTTTCCCTCTCCCTCTGCCCCTCCTTTCTGTTCATGCTCTCTAAATAAATAAAATCTTTAAAAAAACCTAGGAAAACAAATAATTTCAGTTAAAACTGAAAGCAATGTAACTTATAAAAGTTATTTTGAAAATAGCATTTGGTTATAATTTTCAGTGTAACTGTAAATGTAACAAAAGTTTTGAAGGCTACTTTGGAAAAACAGCTTGTTGAAACTGAGTAATTGGGTTAAGCATATTCTTAACAACGGATGTATTGGGGCTCTAATTGTTTTAGAAGCTCTTTGGTTCAGGACTAAGTAGCGTGCTGTCATACCATACACCTTGTACCACATGGGTCTTTTTTTCTGGTGATTTCCGGCAGGAGATACCACCACAAGCCTTTCTGGGACTGGTTAATTAAATTTAACTGCCCAATTTCAGTACAGTTAACTTGCCAACTGTAGCAAAGTTGTTAAAAGAGAGAAATAAATTCTTCGAACTTTTACAATTAATTAGTGAAAATTTCATACTACTGATGGAATAAAAAGGAGAGTTCTTGCCTACTTCATAAGCTCTCCCTTCCACTCTCTTTCAAAGTTTTACATTCCATATCCATTGTTTTCCTAATGTCATATCAAGTTTAAATTCCTTCTTTCCTCCTGTAGAATTCCTTATAAGCTGTTCCAAGCAAATTACTAACCTACTTCAAGGTTTCGCTAAACTTCTTTGTTCCTAACATTTAAAATACAATAGAAATTTTTATATTTTCTCACATTTTATTGCACAATACAAACTTGATTAAAATGCACTAAAAACCCCCAACATTTTGTGCTTAAAGTAACACTAATTTAAAATGTTTGGTAGGAAATAGCATAATTTATTTTAATATATTCCAACTTAATATGAAGGTGAACAGTTTATTTCAGAAAATCTAGATATTTTAACTATAGTTTATTACTGAAAAAAATTTTTTGGTCTCTCTTATTTTTGACTTAATTCTTCCTCTTTAGAAGTTCACAGTGTCATAGAAGTAAAAAATAAGATTGACAGAAACCACTCTAAGACCTATGGCTTTATATACATAAAAAATTCAATAATGTTGCCATAACCCCTAATACAATGTGATCCTTATTTATTACTACTATCCAGAATAAACTGTACATATTAAACTGTTCAAGTATATCTAGAGCAGTGCTTATAAAAAGTGAGGTCCCACTGCTTAAATTGATGGGCTTCTCTTTGAAGATCACTTCTAATTTCAACATAATTAGTTCTAACAATTTTTCAATTTTACAATTTATCATACATTTTCAATAGTCTAAAATGCTCAAATGAGCCAAACATTTAATCTACATCGAGCACCAGAGGTTAAAAATGGATCTAACCAAATGTTCTCTTTTATTAGTTACAGTTTGTTATTTATTTCTATACCACTAAATCCAAACTGAAAATGAAGACAACTCGGGCCAAACTTGTTCACCTTGAATAAATAAACAACTCACCCACTTCACGCTTATATACCTAATTGTTTTCCTATAGTGTAGATTCTGGTAACAGCTATACAATAAACTAAGCCCAAGACCAACTTCTTATCTTGGAGGACTAGGCCAGTCGGATAGGATTCTCCAGGTTTGCTTTAAAATTTTCAAGAAACCTGGTAGCCAGTTCATCGTCCACCACTCGGCTGTCACTTGACATCGTGACGGTTATAAGCTGGTGCTGCTGCAACCTGGCATTCCCCTCTTCGTCCTGCTCCAGCTTGAGCACAGGTCGGAATCTCCCAACGGCCAGTATGCAGGCCTGAGGAGGGTTGATCACTGCAGTAAATTCGTCGATGCCAAACATGCCCAAGTTGGAAATACTAGGGGAAAACAAAAGGCTCTGAAGGTGGCATGTCCTCAGTCAAAGAACCCTTTCCCGGAAGCATGTGTTTACTCTACTAAAAAATGGTGACACGGAACCCTATACCAAGTTATTCAAAGACCAAAGATACCATGTACAATAGTATCAAAAAAACAACACACATATAAGCAGTGTATCTAATACAAACATTCATTCAGCATGAACTGGAAGTCCTTGGCAGTGGATTATGACAAGAAAGAGAAATAATTAAATATAAGAAGAAAGAAAAAGAAAAAAAGAGAAATAAAACAGTCAATATTCGCAGATGAACTGAATGTACACAGAAAATTTAAGACTCTATAAACTAGTAGGATTCATAATTCAGCTAAGTCACTAGATAAAAATGTCAATATAAAAATCCATTTTATATCTATATACAGGTTGCTATAGTTAAAAAATGAAATTTTAAAACAATACCATTTATAGTAGTAGCAAAAACCAAATATTAAGAAATACATCTAATGAAAAAAATGCAAGACCTCTGTATAGAAGATTATAAAACAGAACTGATAGGAACCAAAGAACTGAACAATGTTCACTGCCTGGAAGACTCAATGCTGTAAAGACTGAATCCTCAAACTGATCAAAAGATTTAATGCAATCCCAATCAAAACTCCAGCAAGGTTTCTTGATTTTGGCTCAGGTCATAATCTCAGAGTCGTGGGATCTCGAGCCATCCATCTGCGCTCAGTGCGGTGTCTGCTTGAGATTCTCTCTCCCTCTCCCTCTGCCCCTCCCCTCACTTGTGCTCTCTCCCTCCATAAATAAATAAATAAAATCTTAAAAAAAAAAAAAAACCCAAAAAACACAAACAACAACAACAACAAAACTCCAGCAAGGTTCCTATCTATGTGTCTGTATATGGAAAGTGATAAGTTGATTCTAAAATTTATTTGAAAATATAAAGAGCCAGGAAAGACCATCTTGAGGGTGAACAAAATTAGAAGACTTTCCTTACCAGATATCAAAAGTTATTGCTTAGTGGTATCGAGCAAGGGATGGACAAACAGGCCAACTGAAGACAGAACACAGAACAGACCAAACACATACACAGTCACTTTCTCAGTGCTATGGAGTAAGCTTTTCAATAAGTGATGCTGGGTCAATGTACTATCCATAGGGGGAAAAAAAGAATCTTGACCTTTATCTTCATACCACACACAAAATCCAGTTTTAGATGGATTGTGATCTACATGTGAAAAGTTATAAAGCTTCTAGAAAATAGCACAGAAAAATAACATCATGATTCTGGGATAGGCAATAATTCCACATAGAACAAATAGTACCAGCTGTAAAAAAAAACCCAAAAAACAAAAAACAATAGAATTTCATTAAAATTCAGAACTGTGTTCATTAAAAAAACACCATGAAGTTCCAAAGGCAAGGAACAGAGTGGGAAAAGATATCTGAAATAATATGTATCCTATAAAGGTCTGTGTATTTGAAAATAAACACCCACATATCATTTTTAAAAATGGACACAAGACATCAACAGGTACTTTATCTGGTAAGTTACCAGATACTCAAAAGGCTTTGCATTTCCCTGACCACAAAGAGTACCACTACACACTCCAAGAACTGTTACAATTTAAAACCTAACATTACTAAGTGTTGGTGAGAATATGAAGCAATGAGAATTCTCATACACTGTTACTAGAAGTATAAATTTGTATAACCATTTTGGAAAATTGTTTGGCAATATCCATGAACGCTTTTAATTCAGGGATTTCACTTGCAGATCTATACAACAAATATATTCACCATAAGATGCTAATAATATGGTGCCATTATTTGTCATAGCATCAAACTGTCAACAATGACAAATGCCCAACAGTAAAATGGATACTGGCATACTTATACAATATACTATAAAATACTGTATACTGTAATAATAATAAACTGCTTCACACTGCAATGTGGTTAATCTCACAGACATTAATATTGAGTAAAAGAAGTCAGACACTAAGGAATATAGAAAAAGGTAGCAAAACAAATCTATGGTGATGATTTTCAGAAGAGTGGTTACCTTGGCAAGGGCGATACTTAGGAAGGGGTAAAGGGAAGCTTCTGGGATGCTGGTAATGGTCTATATCTTGCTTTGGTTGGTTACACAGGTTTCTCCGCTTTTTGAAACATTCATGCTGTACTCAGTATATTACACCGTGTATAAGTGACACTTAAAAACAGAGCTGATGATAACTAAAGGGTCTAAGTATTAATGTTTTCCTCCAAAGTACCTTAAAATAAGAGATCACAAGTAGAAAAAGTTGAGGTTTATAAATGTATTTATAAATATATATTTTTTTAAAGTTTCAGAACCTGGATGTCATTCTGAAATACCTGAATGGGTTAACTAGCTAACCCTAATGGGTTCCTACTAGCCCTGATACGTTGCTTCGATTAAAAAAATTGTTTCAAAAAATAAATGAAACAGATCAACACAGACTTCTAGGTCTGATACCTGTTTGACGCTACCGATAATTAAGAGTTTAAATATTACCTAAAAGATCCTCCTTGGTATTCTTCAGGTAACAGTTTTCCATCTCTTGCTTTCTTTGATAGAGCCTGGGAAAGAAAAATACAAATACAGCATGACAACCAATACCATGTTACAGCCTGATTTTGTCACTTAAAATATTTGTAGAGAGTACATGCTCATCTCTCATGTGCCTTGATTTGACTTTATTGTCTCTAATACAATTAAAAAATGAACAAGTTAGAGCACAAATAGTCTAAGAAGCTGAAGATGTAAATCGAAACTCTACAAAAATTACTTCCCTTTAAAAATTCTTCAAGTATTAGAATTACCCTGTACGCCATTACTATGCAGAATGTTTCAGTGTTTTCTATAGATACAGTGAAATTTGTCTATAAGAGTCTTTTCTTGTAAGACACAGAATATTAGAAGAAGCCATTCTTGTCAACCCGGTAGCTTTTAAATAGTTGTCCAATGGCAACAAACCCATAACCAATGTATTAGTTTTCACCTTTCAGTGTTCACTTCTTTTTTACATATAACATATACATATATATAACTTCAGAGAGTTGTAAAAAAAAAAAAGTAGAATTTTGTATTTCACTCCCAATATTATAAGCATCTTCTGGGTTGTTAGTCTTTATAAATGGTTTTTTAATGTCTGCTTAACATTCTAAAGACTACATCTGCCACAATTCAGTCATGTCCCCAGTGTTCTAATTTGGTTCACTGGTTTTTCAATTATTTCATATAAATTTTCAGAAGTGGAATTATAAAGCCCTAGAACATAAACATTTTCTTGGTTCTTGATTTACAGCCGAGGCATTTCCTGAATGAGCTAGTCCAATTTGCACTGCCATGAGAAATAGAAGAATGTAGTAATTTCATATCACTATTGGCAAAACTGATTTCTAAAAACTGACAGAGGGAAAGACAGATGACACTCTGAGAGTGACACTAAGTAGTTAAATTTTCCTTTACTTGCACTTGCAATTAACCACACTTACGTTAATTTTTATTTTTGAATGCTTCAAAAACAAAGGAACGGAGGTAGAGTCATTACATATGAAAAATTAATAATGAACTAATTTATGAGTGGAAGAGAAAAATGAAACTATTGTCATTTGGGGAGATGAAATAAATCTGAGGCTTAATTTTCGGTACTATACAGCTTACATAGGTACAATTACAATCACCGTTGACAACTGTGAAATTTTTTTTAAAAGATTTTTATTTATTTATTTGAGGGAGAGAGAATGAGAGAGAGAGAGAGAGAGAGAGAGAGAGCATGAGAGGGGGGAGGGTCAGAGGGAGAAGCAGCCTCCCCGCTGAGCAGGGAGCCCGACGCGGGACTCGATCCCAGGACCCTGAGATCATGACCTGAGTCGAAGGCAGTCACTTAATCAACTGAGCCACCCATGCGCCCCGACAACTGTTAAATTTTAAACCAGAGAGGACTTGGGCGCCTGGGTGGCTCAGTTAGTTAAGCGTCTGCCTTCAGCTCAGGTCATGATCCCGGGGTCCTGGGATCGAGTCCCGCATCAGGTTCCCTGCTCTGTGGGAAGCCTGCTTCTCCCTCTCCTCCCCACTTGTGCTCTATCTCTGTCTCTCTCTCTCAAATAAATAAATAAAATCTAAAAAGAATTTTTTTAAACCAGAGAGGACTTAATTTTTGAAAAATAAAAACATTCTTTAAAAGTCTAAAAATGATCTCAACATATCACTGTGACTTTCTGAGAGTTGAGAAAACTACATATTTATACCAGTTGGATGTAGTTATTTATAAAACTACTTGGATCCAAAATGAAAACTGAAAAGATGAACTTAGACTTGTGAGGTCCTTGGACTATCAGAAATAGAAAGGACAATCTACAACTGTGTTTTTTCTGCCTTAAGCAATGTGACTGTTCACATGATATAAACAGGCATGTATCATATGAACTTTGAAAGGCATTTCTTTAAAGGCAGATGATCTCAACAATCTTGCTGAGTTACGAGGCTAAAAACAAATAACACAGACATTCATTTAAAAAACTGGATTGCAAGCCCACATTAAAAAAAAAAAAGGAAAAAAAAAACCACCTCTGTAGACCCTAAACACATCAGCAGGATATTTCTACCAATGAACTCTAAAAGCTTGGAATAAGAATAATTCTGAGGACTACTGGTTTTGAAAATTGCTAATTCTCACTGGGATTTCCCAGCAATATAAACTTAAAATCAAAGCACAAGCTACCTGAAGCCTCCAGCTAAAAGGATGAAATATAAGATGACCAGCAAATATTTCTAAAATACGTTACATTCTTTATTAATTCATTTAAAAAATCTGCGTAAATAGAGGAAAACTTTACCTCTGTCTTTTAAGACTGTTAAAATTAATGAAGAATTAAGAATAACATGGGCTCTAAGGCTTATTACTATATTACTTTATATTTAGGGAATACAAACTTGAACTCAGCTGAGGCATGCCTTTAGTACCACACAATGACATCCCTGAGGCTTGTGAGGGTCAAGAAGTAAAAACTTAGTGCAGGTATTCTAACCTGGGTCCACAGATGGAGTTCCAGAGAGCCACAAACTTCTTAAAAAATTAATCTTGGTAAGATTTTTTATCGAAAATTAAAAATATAAATTCACTGAGCATCTATGATCTTCCACGCACTCTTGTAGAATTAGTTATATGGCAAGAACAAGACCCTCAATGTCAGACAGGAGGGAAGAGAGAAGGATCAACAAATAAACAAGGTAACCTCAAAGACTGATCAACTGCATAAAGACAGTAAAACAGGGAATGTCAGGAAGCTACTTTAGCTATGGAAGGCCTAAGAAAGTGGCATTTGAACTGAGAAATGCCCAGATTTAAATAAATCCTCACTTCTACTGCTTTCTAGATGCATCACCTTGGCAAATTTCCTAAAGGTACTATAACTCTGTTTCCTCAATTTTGAAATGGGGAAATTAAGGTTTCAACTATAATGTGGGGCTAATAGGATTAAATAAAATGCTTAGCCTAATGGCTGGTATATCCTAAGAACAGAGAGTGGAGTGTTCATCACAGACAGCAGGGTGGGAGAGAGAAGCAGGGAGAATGGGAAGCACAGAGTAGCCAGAGCGAAGTAAACTTTAAGGATTGCTGGGAATGAGAGGAAAGCCTCGAGGACCACCAGAGGCCGTGGAACATTCCAAAGGGTTAAGACTGCCCTTCCCATCGCTGAGAGGCTGCTCACACTGCCTCCTTACCACCTCAACGTAGGTTCTTCCAGGATACAAGGAACAGACTACGTATTATCATAGTAGAATTAGTAAATTGATCAAAATCAAAGAAACCTTCCTGGAATGGTTAATTTTAAAAATTTAATATACAAATATTAAAAATAAGAAAAATATATAAAGAATATATATGAAAATTCTAACTCTATAGTTAAATGTAATTTCATTTGAATTTCACAAAAACACTAAAATACACGAATTCTCATTGTTGTTGAAAACATTTGATGAACAAAAGGCATATAACTACCTTAGTAAACCAACCTAATTACTTTGACTTTTGAACCAGTCAAATTAATACCACCACTCAATTAAGAAAAAGTTACATTTTTATCTATAAAAACACACTGCAAATCTTTTCAAAGAGGAGTGAAGACCTAAAAATGTCTATTCCACTAAGGTCACCCTTAATTATATCTAACTGGAAGATTCCAAGGGTGTGCTTTTAAAAGTAGATTAATTTGTGTTCATGTATTTTGGGCAACTTTATCGCATCTGTATATACTGTCAGCTCTCCAAAGAAATCTTATGCTCTACCTTTAATTCCTCCTTATAACTGGTTCATCCACTATACATACAACTGGTCTTTGGTAAATGAAAAAAAAAATCACTTAAATGAACCTAAAATTTTTTAATTCTAACACTCTTATAAGAGCCATGAGACTTCTGTCAAAATGTACCTTTGGAAATTATAGTGGTTGTCAGAGCCGACCTACTGCCTGTGTTCCTGCTGATTCAATGGAATACTTGGGGGAAAATCAGACTCCTCCAATTAGAGCTATAAAAACTGCTTTTAAAGAAACTCAGGAAGGGGCGCCTGGGTGGCTCAGTTGGTTAAGCGACTGCCTTCGGCTCAGGTCATGATCCTGGAGTCCCGGGATCGAGTCCCGCATTGGGCTCCCTGCTCAGCAGAGTCTGCTTCTCCCTCTGACCCTCCTCCCTCTCATGTTCTCTGTCTCTCATTGTCTCTCTCGCAAATAAATAAAAAATCTTAAGAAAAAAAAATTAAAAAAAAAAAAAAGAAAGAAAGAAAGAAACTCAGGAAAAACTCCGTACTTTTGCTTCTGGAATATTAAGTACTTTTAGTGGTCTCAATTCTAGAGAGGAAATGAATAAAATAGAACAACTTTGAAGAATAAAACGCTGTGAACAGTGAGGTCTTTCCATTACCACCTGCACAGGAATATGGTTTCAGCTTTAACGTTAAAACCATCGTTAGAGTTGAATTCTAGACTTTGGGAAATAAAGCATTCACCTATAACTTGAATACAGTTGATCCTCATTTAACCGTATGTTTTTTCCGGAACTCTTGAATGTTACATGTTCTTAAAGTGGGTCATACCTGGATTAAAACTTAAAATCTCCATATAGTGTGACTCGATGATGTCACGACTTCACCGGAAAGTAAATACTAACATTTTGAAAGCATAGTATTTAAGACATACCTTTACAGAGTCAGCAATTTCCTGTATACCCTTAGCCGCAGCATCTTTTATGATTGGTGTAATTAAACCTTTATCTGTTGCCACAGCCACTGAAATGTCAATAAAGGGCAGCTGCTTTGGGCCCTCTCCATCCCAGCTTACATTAACATCTGGCATTTGCTAGGAAACAGAACCAGAAAAAACATGTTACTCTAAAGAAGCAGCTTTATTTTTTTTTTCTTAATTTTTTTAAAAAGCAGCTTTAGGCCAAAGTGGCTACAGAAAAATAGCATTATTATGCATTTTTGGAAGTGAGTATAGTAGACAGAAGCAAATAAATGAAGATTTGGTTTGAAACAATGGTTTGGATCTCTGTGTTAAATGCCATTTTCTGTGTTCGGGAAGAATAAACATACCACGCTTCTTCTTCTTCTTTTTTTAAATTTAATTTAATTTATTTAAATTTATTTTTTTATTTTAATTAATTAATTTTTTTATTCTTATGTTAATCCCCATACATTACATCATTAGTTTTAGATGAAGTGTTCCATGATTCATTGTTTGTGCATAACACCCAGTGCTCCATGCAGAATGTGCCCTCCTCAATACCCACCACCAGGCTAACCCATCCTCCCACCCCCCCATACCACGCTTCTTGAAGCAAGCTTGAGGAAACGCTGATGTACATGTTTTGATCTCTTTACAATAAATCATGGTTAAAAAAAGGTCTCCCTTTGTTAAACCTGATTGCTAAAAAGCACTTAACATTTGTTATACTTCCTGTCTCATATGCTGACCTAGATGGCCTTGAGGAGAGGAGGGGAGGGGACGGGGTAACGATTCAATCATACTATTCTGGTGGCAATGTAGAAAGCCCAATTTCCTAGTGCAGCCCTGGGAGATCCATCCAACCCTTAATAAGTGACTTCCCTCTTTAAGAAAGATTTCCTAGGCTTCATAAACATATGATAAATGTCTGAGCATGCTTGTATTTAACACACATACAACTACATGGAGGATGAAAAGAGCAGAAGAAATCAGTAAACGCCTGGAGACAGTATGTACGACACTGTTGCCAAATATCATAGAGAAACTGATGGTGAAAAACAGAAATCACAAACAAATTTCTCTTCTCAAAAATTCTTTGCTTTGATTAACAGCCTACCTAACTGTACTTCTGACCACTCCCTGGAGATGCATTCCCCACCGTACTTGAGCTTCTCATCGTCCTGCTATGTTCACTCCCACTGCATAGTTTTTTTTTTTTTTTAAAGAGAGACAGCACGTGCACGAGTGGTGGAGGAGCAGGCAGAGGGAGATGGGGAGAGAGAATCTTAAGTGGGCTCCACACCCAGCGCAGAGCCCAACATGGGGCTCAATCTCACAACCTGAGATCATGACCAGAGCCAAAATCAAGAGTCCGACGCTCAAACGACTGAGCCACCCAGGTGCCCCTCCACTGCACTGCTTCCATCTGCTCTTTGCACTTCTCCATCTCTCAAGGCTCCTTCATTCAAAGTAATCAGAGCTCGTTTATGTCAAAATAATTAACAGTGAAGTCCCAAACCCCCAGAAGATTTTAAATTCTTTATAGAGAACACTAAAGAAAAAGAGGAAAAAAAACCCTCCCAAGTGAGGAATATCTGGCAAATAAATGTAATTACAGAGCTATGTAACAAAAACCCATGGGATGTAGCCTCAGTTGTAGTCAGAGGAAAATTCATACACTTAAATCTTCTTATTCATATTCATAACTATAATAATTACACATTCACATTTCCTAACAAAATATTTTCAACCAAAGTCTAATATAATTCCAATCTAAAGGTAAGGAAATGACGGAAGGAATACATAAGGCAACAATATAAATGGACTGAGAACACCCATATGCAATAATAAAAGCAAGACAAAGTTTAGCATAATGCCAGCATTGAGGATTATAATATTAAAATATTATAAGAAGCAAATTTAAATGACTCTGGGCTAGTGAGTTTGGGAATCCAGATGAAATGAGTGATTTTTCTGGGAATACAGGTTTCCAAAATCGATTCAAGAAAAAGCTGAAAATTAAACCGCTCAATAATTATGGGGAAAAATGAGAAAGTTGCCAAGGCTCCCTCCTCAAAACAGAACTAGACTCAGATATTTTTACTGGTGAATTCCTTAAAGCTTCAAGAAATAAAAGCCTTTATAATACTGAAATAAGCACAGAGAAAGGAAAGGGTGGGAAGAATCCAAATTCACTTAAGAAGCCACTGATTTAAAAAAAGAAAGCCTGACAAAACTAGCACAAAATGTAAATTACAATTACTTATGGCTCCTGATACAAAATTATGAAATGAAATGTAATGACCACTAGAAATTCACTTAAGGAGGACAGGAATGATTCATAATTAGAAAATCACTAATATAATTCAAAATATTATTTGATCAAAAGACAAAAGCCATACAAACACATTATATGAATGGCTAAGAAAATGCATGACTTCTATTACTGTATTGTTCAAGAAATAAAAATAAATTCCTTATAAATATACATTAAATATAGCACCTAACACTCAGTGATCCAGAAAAATAGCCTAGTCACGGAAAGAAAGACAGGACAGAAAATGGTGCAGAGCAAGAAGGCAGGAAGGCTGGGTTTCAGATCCAAATCCAACTCTAGACTCCTACCTCAAACCTGCTCCTCTCCCACCTTCCCCATGTCAGTAAGTGGAAAACTCCACTCCTCCTACTGCTTGGGCCAAAGTCCTGGTTCTTCACCCCACATCTAATCTATCAGCAAATCTTGCTGGCTCTACCTCTGAAATGTATCCCAAATCTCACCTTCACCCCAGCTTCACCGCTAGCTGCCACCTTACCCCAAACCATTGTCCTCGTCCATAGCCTCCCCGGAGAGTGCACTGCTGCCCAACCCCCCACCCCCCGCCCCCGCTTCCCTGTGGGCTGTTTTCCACAAAGCATCAGAACAGTCTTTTCCTTTTTAAAATTTAAGTAGGATGTCAGTCCTCTCTCAAAACCCTCCAAAGGCTTCCTTCTCCTTCATAATAAAATCCCCAGTCCTTCCATGGTCGCCAAGGCTTCACCGGCTTCGGGGCCCTCGTAACTCCTCTCTCTTTCTTCTGTTTAATCTCATCCGCTACCTTCTTTCCTCCAGAAACAGTATCCCCGGCGCCATATCTGAATGGCAGTGTCCCCTTTCCCCAGCCTCTGTCTGCAGTTCCCTCTGTCTGGTGCATTCTTCTGATAGCTCTGTGGCTCACACCCTCTCTTCCAGGCCTTGGCTCAGTTACCACCTTGCCAGAGAGGCCTTCCTTGCCTAACTGTGTGCACCATGACACCCCTCCTATTCTGTAGCAGGGTCTTTCTCTTCCTCCTCAGCACTTTGACTATCTGACAAATATTGGTCTCTCTCAACTGGACTATAATCTCCAGGAGAGCAGAGAACATGTAGGCTTTTGTTCCTACTGTTTCTCTAAATGCCTATAATGTATTCAGCGCATGACAGGGGATCAGTTAGTATTTGCTGAATAAATGGTCTTTATTCTGCTATAATTAGTTGTAAGGCCCACTGATTCTCAGTTTCGTCTATAAAACTGAGGGAGTGAGATTAAATGATATAATATTTTTAGCAATAAAATTATACAATTTTTGTGACTTAAAAATGACAGTTCTATTTATCATATGAAAATCCCAAGACATGAGACCACTGTAGAAGCCGAAATGATCTGGGGTCTGCTACGTACTTTAAGGGTAACAGCTGCAGCCTTGATGATAAAATCGTTCACTGATACTTTAATGTCATCTGAAAGAAAACCAAGCGTATCAAAATTAGCGCTCATAATGAAACTTTAACATTGGCCATTATGATTTCAAGCTTGTTCATTAACAAATTATCATAAAAATATTATAGGTTTTTGCTGGTTCACTTAGTAAGAGTCCCCTGATTAGAAAAACTTATATGAGGTTCTGCATAAATAATATTAACCATAAATGTAAAAGATTACTTCTGCGCCTTGATTACAATTCTTTTAAATTGCTCAGATATCATACAAGAGAACCTGAAGGGCACATTATAACCATAATTAGAAAGAAAGGAACCAACTCCTATGTCTCTAAAAACACAAATGGTCTATGGTGATTCATTTTTTCCTCTCACCCTTTTCAAACGTCTTTATTCTGCATATGCTTTATAATATATCGATTATACTAGAACAGTGGTAACATACAGTCATTTTAAAGATATCTGTATCTATCTACATATCTACCTTTATCTAGAGAGAGCAATTTTTTACAAATGGAGTGTGGACCAAAAAAATTTACAACCACCGAGCTGCTTTGTCACTTAACGAAACAGGATACAGCAAAGCCAAAGATGAAGCAATGTTGGCACAGGCCCTAGTGCAATGAACAAAATGAGGTTTTCTGTCTAGTTTTATGGTGATTCCATTTGAATCAATTTCCTTCCAGTATACATAATGATTTCAAGATAAAGCCAAGGTCCCCTCCCTTCCCACCGAGCTGATCATAATGAAAGCACTTGATTTACACTTTTGCTTTTCCCGGTGGGTAGGAAAGTGTTGAAAAATGTAAACTACACTTGATTCTCTATCTTCAAGAAAAAAAATTTAAGATCAAGATCTAGTCAACGGTATGTGGCAAGATACACAAAGCCTGTTACTACAGTATCATGGAATTTTACATGAACGATAGCTCATTCCAAAGGCACGCTGGGGATTTCAGAAAGACATTAGATGTATTACCATAAATCCAAATACTGTCAAACTGTCATAGTAACCACCACCTGCTCATCCAATTCCTAGTTCTTTTAATCCAGATTTCCAGATATAAATATTTTTGTTCGCTTGTTTAAAACCCCTTTAGGAGTAGAAATAGAAGTGGATTTCCAGTGCTTACAGAATTTTAATGATAACCACATACAAAAGATATGGTCTGCATAAATTCAAGTATGTGGACATATTTGATGAACCCATTATGCTTACCTTTCATGGCTCCCTCAACCTCCTTCGCACTTTATCTAGCATCTATAGGTAGCCACAGTGAAAACTTCCCACACCACCCACCAGCTGATGATTCCCTATCTACTGCCGGAGTCCACAGTGCTCACCTAAATTCTCTGCCCTCATCATATCCAACATTTTGTACTCTGGAGCTGATCACTTTCTTCATCATGAAACATTTCTTCTTACTGGCTTCTATGTCACTGTACTCTCCTGTGTTTTCTTCCACTCTTTACCACTCACTCATTTTCCGTCCCTTCCTCTTTTTTTTTTTTTTTTTTTAAGATTTATTTTATTTTTGAGAGAGCAAGAATGAGAGAGAGAGTACATGAGAGGGAGGAGGGTCAGAGGGAGAAGCAGACTCCCTGCCGAGCAGGGAGCCCGATGCGCCGTCCCTTCCTCTTAATGGTGGCATCTTCCCAGGCAAGAACTTTCTGTTCCAGGGTTTTGATACCATTCATATGGTGATGATTCCTTCAAATGCTACCTCTTATCCTGATGCATCAGGAGTTTCAGACTTATATGTCCAATTTCTCACATGACATTTCTAACAGGCATTGAAAATCAAAAAAGTACAAGGGAGATCTTTTTTTTCAAGATCTTTTATTTTTAACTCTTTATTATGGAAATTTTCAAATATATAGTAAGGAGACTTGGTGACACTGAGAAGAATAGGAAATAGTTTCTGAGGGAATATTAAATATTTTCATTTGCATATCATTACAAAACAGTGTAAACATGCTTACAGAATGTTATATAACTATATAAGAAAGAGGACTGAAGATAAATAATGTGGGCTCTTTGGAGACCCCCTAGAAACTTCCTAGTTGCAAGGACATACAAAACTTGGATGATGAAAAGATACTAAACTAAGTCATCTCTCCACTGAAATAGTACTCTCTTCTGCCTCATGAAAGGAAGAAAGCAGGAAAATTATTCCCCTAATGATCTCTGTATCATGACTAAGCAAGTACACTTAAAACCTATAAGGGGAGCTTCCAGGATTAACTTTTTGAATATTGTTAATTTTCTCTGAAGTAAGCTTTCCATTTATTTCCTTGAACTTTTAAAAGCTGTCAGGTTGTCTTCATATGAATTCTTCAAAGTCTGTATTTAAACTGAAATACCAGTCCTGCTGTCTCTTAAGATGTAGAAAGCCACAAGAGAATGTTTTTCCCACCCTAATAGGGTAGGGGAAAAAGCAGGAGAAGTTACAAAATCATAACTTCTCTTGAGTCTGTTAGGGAGTCGAGGTTACAAGGCAAACAAGTGAATTGAATGTCAAGGGTAAGGATTCCCCTCTGAAGAAGGACAAACACATGAAATGATTAACCACTGTCAGAGTATGGGAAAATATGGGACAAAGTACGGGACAATGCACATGAACAGATGGGGATATCAGCAGAGAGATGGAAACTCTAAAAACATTCCAATGGAGAGTTAGGGGAAAAAAACATGCAATCAAAGATAAATAATTTTTCGTTAAGCTTCACAGACTAAACATAGCTGAGAAAAGAGTCAGTGACATTGAAGCTAGAGCAACAAAATTATCCAAACAGAAACACAAAGAGAAAAAAAAAGGATGAACAAAAAAAGAATACGGGATCTAAGAGCTTTGGACAATTCAAACAGTTGAACATTTATAATCAGAGTTCCAAAAATAAAACACATGGAGCAGAAAATATAGTGAAAACTAATGGCTAGGAGCTTTCCAAAATCAATGAAAGACAACAAACCACAAATCCAAGAAGCTGAGAGAAACCCAAACAGGATAAACACAGTTTGTTTGTTTATGAGAGAGAGAGCATGTGCAAGCAAGTGCACAAGCCAGGGGGTAAGGGCAGAGGGAGAGAAAATCCCAAGCAGGCTCCATGCTCAGCACAGAGCTGGATATGGGGCTTGATCTCATGACACTGAGATCATGACCTGAGCTGAAATCATGAGTCACATGCTCAACCTACTGAGCCATCCAGGTGCCCCTCATTTTTAAAATTCTTTAAAACACAGTTGATTTGCTAAAGCAAAAAAAACCCATCAAACATATATGCTGGGGCTTACACCATAGGTAGAAATAAAACATGACAACAACAGCACAAAGGATAGAAGGGGGAAAATGTAATATATTGTTGTAAAGTTCTTACATTACACATGAAGGGATGTGATAAAAATTTGAAGGTAGACTGTGATGAGTTAAAGAATTATATTGTAAACCTTAAGGAAACCACCACAAAAGAGAGAGAAAAGTAAAATAGAAATAAAATGGAATCAAAACTTAAAAACCAATCCAAAAAAAGGCAAGGAAACAGGGAAAAAAAAAAAAAGGAAGAAGAGATGGGACAAGTAAAAACAAAGGACAAAATGGTACAAAGGAAAACAGTACAAAGCAAAAAGAAAGGACAAAATTATGAAATGTGAATGGTCTAAATACTTAAAAGACAGTATAGGATTAGACAAAAACAAAGAAAAATTATATGCTGTCTGCAAGAAGTCAGTTTAAATATAAAGAGACAGATAAGTTAGCAGTAAAAAAAAATATAAAAAGATATAAAAACATTAATCAAAGAAAGTTGGACTAACTGTATCAATATCAGAAAAGGAAGGCCTTGGGGTAAGAAAGATTACACCAGGAGTGGACAGGGACATTCCATGATACATCTATTCATCAGGAACACATTTTCAAAACCCTAAGTGTGCTATGTGCCTAATTACAGATCTTCAAAATGATGTAAAAACTGACAGAACTCAAAGGGGAAATAGACGAATCCATAATAATAATTGGGAGTTTCAACACTCTTCTTCCAAGAATTGATAGCACACAGGAAACCAGTAAGGATATAAAGGGCATGAACACTACTACCAGCCAACCTCACCTGACATTTAAAGAACACTCCTCGAAAGTAGAATACACAGGGCGCCTGGGCGGCTCAGTCGGTTAAGCGACTGCCTTCGGCTCAGGTCATGATCCTGGAGTCCCTGGATCGAGTCCCGCATCGGGCTCCCTGCTCGGCGGGGAGTCTGCTTCTCCCTCTGCCCCTCCCCCCTCTCGTGCTCTCTCTCCCATTCTCTCTCTCAAATGAATAAATAAAATCTTTAAAAAAGGGCGCCTGGGCGGCTCAGTCGGTTAAGCGACTGCCTTCGGCTCAGGTCGTGATCCTGGAGTCCCGGGATCGAGTCCCGCATCGGGCTCCCTGCTCAGCGGGGAGTCTGCTTCTCCCTCTGACCCTCCTCCCTCTCCTGCTCTCTGTCTCTCATTCTCCCTCTCTCAAATAAACAAATAAAAATCTTTAAAAAATAAAAAAAGTAGAATACACATTCTTTTCAGGGGCTATCTGGGTGGCTCAGTCGCTTAAGCATCGACTCAATTTCAGCTCAGGTCATGATCTCAGGGTTGTGATTTTGAGCTCCACGTTGGGTTTTGCACTCAGTGCAGAGTTTGCTTGAGATTCTTTCTTTCTCTTTCTCCCTCTCGCCTCTGCCCCTCCCCCTGCTTATGGGCTCTCTCTCTCAAAATAAATAAATAAAATCTTAAAAAAAAGTAGAGGGGTGCCTGGGTGGCTCAGTCAGTTAAACATCTGCCTTTGGTGCAGGTCATGATCTCAGGACCCTGCTCAGCAGGAAGCCTGCTTCTCCCTCTCCTTCTGCCCCCCCCCGACTCATGTTCTCTCCTGCTTGCTCTGCGTTCTCTCTCTCAAATAAATAAATAATCTTAAAAAAAAAAAAAAGTAGAACACACATTCTTCTCAAATACACATGAAACATTCATCAAGATAGACCATATTATGACTATAAAATCTCAAAAAATTTAAAAATATTTCAATCATACAAAGAATGTTCTCTAAGCACAATGGAGCTAAGGAAGAAATCACAAAAGAAAGGCTGAAAAGTCCCCAAATATTTGGAAATTATACTTACATTCGAAATAATTCATGGATCAAAAAAGATATCACAAGGAAAAACAGAAAACATCTTGAATTGAATGTAAAGAAAAATAAAACACATCAAATTTTGTGGAATTCATCTAAAGCACTGCCAAAAGGGACCTTAAAAGCCTTATATGCTTATGTTAGGAATAAGGTTTATTATATTGATCTCAGCTTTCACCTTAAGAAACTAGAAAACAAAAGAGCAAATTAAACTGAAAGCAAACAGAAAAAAAGAATAAAGGTTAAGAGCAGAAATCAATGAAAAGAAAATTATAAAAATGGAGAAAGTTAATGAAATCAAACATGGCTTATTTGAAGAGATCAATAAAACTGATAAATCTCCAGCCAGCTTGATCAAGAAAGTAAGAAGCCACAAATTACTAATATTGAAAATGAGGATATCACTTCAGATTACAAAGATGTTAGGAGTATAATAAGGTAACATTACGAACAGCTTTATGCCAATACGATAGACCCCCTTATTCACGGTTCTGCTTTCCAGTTTCAGCCACCTGTGGTCAAAAGCCCAGAAGCAGATGATCCTCCTGACTTATTGTCAGATGGCCACGAGTAGCCTAATGCTATGTCACAATGCCTACGTCATTTACCTCATGTCATCTCATCATGTGGGCATGTTATCTCAGCATCACAAGAACGGTGAGTACAGTACAATATTTAGAGACAGAGAGACCACATTCACCTAACTTTGATTACAGCATATCATTATAATTGTTCTATTTTATTATTATTGTTAATCTCTCACTGTGTCTAATTTTTAAATTAAAGTTTATCATAAGTATGTATGCATAGGAGAAAACATAGTATATACAGGATTTTGTACCACCAGGGGTTGCAGGCATCCACTGGGGGTCCTGGAATGTATTCCTGCAGATGAGGGGGGACTACTGTAAATTTCATTACTTAGATAACATAAACAAATTCCTTGAAAGACAAAAACTACTAAAGCTCATTCAAGAACAAACAGAGAACTTATACTTACTTTTAAAAATTGAATTCATAGTTAAAAAATCTCCCCACAAAGAAAATCACAGGCCTAGATAGCTTCAATGGTGAATTCTACCAAACAATTAGAAAGGAAATAAACTAATTCTACCCAAACTCTTCAAGAAAATAAAGGAGAAGGAAACATTTCCAACTCATTCTGTGAGATCTGGTAACAAACACAGAAAAAAGTATCTTCAAAAAAAGGTAAACTACAGGGTTTTCTCATGTGCACAGGTATAATGATTCTTAGCAAATTTACTTTATTTATTTTTTTGAGATTTTTATTTATCTGACAGAGGGAGAGAGAGGGAACACAAGCAGGGGGAGTGGGAGAGGGAGAAGCAGGCTTCCGCTGAGCAGGGAGCCCGATGTGGGGCTCGACCCCAGGCCCCTGGGATCATGACCTGAGCTGAAGGCAGACACTTAACTGACTGAGCCACCTGGGCGCCCCAATTCTTAGCAAAATTTTAGAAAATGAGATCAATAAATAGATGAGAAAAATAATGATTAATGAGTTTTATATGGGGAATACAAGGTTAATTCAACATCTGGAAATCAACCAATATAACTGACCAAAATAACAGAGTGAAAAAGGAAAGATTATCTCAAAAGATGCACAAAAGCATATGATAAAATTCAACATCCATTTATGCTTAAAACTCTCAGCATATTAGGAATATAAATTTCCTCAACCTAAAATAAAGAATCTACAAAAAACCTACAGCTGATGTTAAAGATGGAATGTTTTTCCTAAGATCAAGAACAAGGCAAAAGTCCGCTTTCACCACAACATTCATTACTGTACCAGAGGTCTTAGCCAGCACAACAAAGCACGAGAATGAAATAAAAACCACACAGACTGGAAAAAAGAAAGAAAACATCCGTTCATGCTAAAAATTCGTTATGTCTCCCAGCAACCTTAGTTTTAACTGATTGCTGGGAGGTACACTGCAAATTTCATAACCTGAAAGTTCACTTTGAAGAATAAATACAAAATTAAAATCTGTATAAAGCAGAGGAATATCTAAGATATACATAATATCTAAAACATTAAGTTTGGGATTTTGTACTTTCTAGAATGTTAATAAGGACTGCTTTATTCAGGTATCGTACCAAAAAGCATGATTTACTCAGTACTAGGGAACCAGTTTGTTTCTTACAGGAAAAGTGAGCCAATTCTTTTCTCTAGCACTAAAATACATCCAGATGATGAAACTGAAATAAAAAGCTATACAGGGTGCCTTTACAAGTAAAGGATTTCATGACAGTTATGTGTATTGTATTAAGTAAATTTAACTTTACTAACCTCTGACCAGACTTTGTCTAGCTTTTAAAACAGCTCCAAGGTCACAGTCAGCAGTAGCATATGCATGTGGAACAGTACTCTTAGATTCACTTAACCTCTTGGCAATAACTCTTCGAATATTGCTAGCAGGGATCTCAGTGAATGTGCCCTGTAAAGAAATTGCAATTTGTCCATTAAGCCATAAATATGGAAGTGGAAAAAACAAACTCCATAGCTAAAATCTAGTCTCAGTGATTTAGCTTTTGTTAATAATTAAAGATTAATATAGGAAAAGTACTAGTAAAAATTCTTAGTATACGGAGGAATATAAGAAATCCAAAGAGTTGTTTTTTTTTTAAAGATTTTATTTATTTGACAGTGAGAGATACAGCGAGAGAGGGAACACAAGCAGGGGGAGTGGGAGAGGGAGAAGCAGGCTTCCCGCCGAGCAGGGAGCCCGATGCGGGGCTCGATCCCAGGACCCTGGGACCATGACCTGAGCCAAAGGCAGACGCTCAACGACTGAGCCACCCAGGCGCCCCAAGAAATCCAAAGAGTTTTAACTTTATAGTACATGATTGTAGAAAATAGTAAAATTCATGTTTTAGTTATAAATGGGTTGTCTTATGTTACTATGTTTAAGATGATCAAAAAGAAATCTTCCAAGTCATGAATAATTCTCCCGTGTGTGTGTATGTGTGTGAAACAGAGACAGAGAGACAGACACATACACATACCACCTGTAAGCAGCTTCTATTACAAATATCACTTCTTAATAAAACTCAAAGCATACAATAATTCAACAAACCTGTAACAACAGACAATTCTTACTTATAAATGGCATGCAGTAGAAAAAGATAATTCAATATATTTATAGGATAATCTGCCAAACTATTTCTATTTTGGATTGTTAATTTAAAAAAGAAATCACATGAGTACCCTATTTCCTAAAACTTCACAATATAAAGTATAGGTGAGATAATAAAATCTTCCTGTAACTCTACTGTAGCTTTTCCACTCTGTTCCTTGAACCTTTAACAAAAGCAGGATGGACCTTAAACTACATGTGATTCCTTCATTGTCCTTCGCTCCATTCTGGGACCAGATCACAATCACTTCAGAATAATAACTAAGCAGCTAAAAATACACGTGATTTCTTAGGAAACTAAACATTTTATTTTGGCAGAGTACTTGTTCAAATAGAATAAATACTCACTATATACCATTAAAATTTCAAAGTCAGATTTATCTTCTTAATTTGAATAACCTACTTCTTAAAAATGTAAGATTTGATTACAAATAAATGTTTTGTATGTGCAGTCATGAATCATGAATTTACACTAAAAAATTTTGTTTCCCATGAAATTTATACTGTTTGCAACTATTTTAAAATATACTGAAATATATCTCTCCATGAGAAAGAGCAGGATAGGTTTGTGTGTTTAGTTTCTAAGTGCCCATTCAGTTTTACATGAACCTGATTATCCTGCATTTCTTCTGATTGGAAGCAAATGACATGAAAGATACTGGGAGAAGGAGGTAAAAAGAGGCAAAAATGGAATATTTTGACAACAAATAAGGGGCTGTTACACTGCCTGCATCTGAGAAAGAATGTCTAGCAGTGCAGTCTCTGTAGTTGTTCATAGTGAGACTATCCATTCCCTCAGTCAAAATCAAACAGACACAGAAGAGGGCTAGTGGCAGCTACCAATTAATAGTACCACACCCAAGAAAAGCTACATGAAAAGTACCATAATTACAGAGCACACACATACAGCACTGAATTTGGAAGTTAGCACCATACAAACAAATCGGGTTTGCGCTAGGAGTCTGCAAAACAAAGCATTTGGAGTATTTCCTCTTTATCACTTTCAGCTACTACTAAAATGGACTGGTAGAACCACTTGTAAATGAGACAGTAATGGTTCTTGTTTTCTTTCTCACTGAAATCTGAAAAAAAAAACCCAAATCTACTCAAATGATATTACCGCTACATTAGGTTGTCCAGGAGTTGATAGCGGTGGGATCATTGGCCGTGGATAAGGTGGCGTAGGTATGGCCTGTGCGGGCAGAGGCACTGTGGGAGTGGCTGGAGGGGCTGGGGTGGGTCTGGATTCGGTAATCTTGCCCGTTTCTTTCAACTGGAACAGTTTGAGAGCATCCCTGAAGATTACAGATAGAGAACCATGATTAGCAACAAGGAACAGAATGTTCAGAAAGCAGAGATGAGGTGTGGGGGGAAGGTAGTGAACTAGAGAGATGTTAAGGCTAAAATAAGGCAAAATGAATGATTTGAGTTAAGCAAGCAAATCTTATCTGGTCTGCTGATTCACATTATTCACCCACTACAATACTTGGACATTTTCAAAAACTAAACAATTCAAAATTATCAAAGTATTGGGTGTAGGTATCTTTAAAAAAGAAACTAGTCTTTTTTTGAGGGGGGTATCATCTGATAGATGAACAATTCATAAATTAAACCACAGTCTTATTTTTTATACTTGTCAATTTTCACATGGCATTCAGAAAATGTCAAGTTCGTTACAACTTTCATTAGGATATTTACTAAATCATTGGATTTTCTAGTGCAAATTACCCTTTTTACGGCCAGGAAATCACACCATTTTATATTGCTCAATATGTTGTCAGCACCATCCAATGAAATAAACCTAACCCACAGCATCATTCAGAATGAAAGATAACTAAACTAGTAATAGACTTAACTTGCATTAAAGGTATCTTTGGTTTTTAAAAGGATTTAATTAGATTACTACATATATCAAGCTTTCAATCTATGCTAAGTTATAGTGGGTATGAAGTAATACAATCTCTTATTAAACAAAATGGCTTTTGCAAAAATTATAATATCTGACAATTCAAAAGAACCCTTTCCAAAAACAAAATTTTACATTTAAAAAATGTTTTCTTTTTTGTTCCCCCATTGTGCCATTTTATTTGCACATATGTATTACATCCCTAGAAAAAGTTTGTAGTAATTTGTTATGCAGTAATAGAAAACTGACCCAGGCAAGCATGTTCCAACCTGGGGCACATTATTAGAGGAACCCCCCCATAGTACTGATACCGTTTTTAGTTAGGAGAGTCCATGCTTTATACCCAGTCCAAAAAGGGGTCCATGGAGTTAACACTAAGAACAATGAACTTACTTGTTTCAAAATTAAAGAGCTGACATTTAACAAGAGAGGTCAGATTGACGGAAGAACTCTTAAATGTTTAACCATCTTGGATCCCTGATAAGCACTGAAAGTGGGAGTAAAAGTGGAGAAAATGAGCCTCTTCAGCCTGTACTGTGCTTATGTTAATTATGTAATCTTACACCAGCCCGGTGAGGGAGGTATTATTACTCCCAATCCATCGATGAGTAAGTAGGCTTAGAGAGGTTAAATTCTAAGTGTAAGTCAGTATTTCTCAAGCACCTCCTCTACTGCAGGTGTTGAGGATTCAGCGTGAAACAAGACACTTTATCCCACAGAAAAGTCTATATTAATCAGGCAAACAAATGACAGTAGTGATGTGCTATGAAGAAAATAAAGCAGAATAACGACATCAGTGACAGGTGAGAGGAGGGGCTCTTTGAAAAGAGGACGGATGGTCGGGGAAGGCCCGATAAATAAATAAAATCTTAAAAAATGAGCACTGATTTTTCTGTTGATTCAGAATAAATGCCTTCAACAAAAGATATTTAGCTTTTAAGAGCTCTTACAAGTCATAGCCTAACATTACTAGTCCCTTTCTATTATATAAGGTAATTCAATACATCTAATAAAACCTATTACTAATCTGGGTTTTAAATCAAATTAAAGTTTAGCATTAGAGTGACATATCCAAAACACATCCATTTCTTTATATGGGGATCACCAGTTTACTCTCAGGCATCAGTTAAAAATAAACAAACAAAAATAACAACTGAACATAAATACTAAAATATTAATGCCTGAATATGTCTATTTAAGAAAAGATCGGTCACATTAAACACATTTTTATTTCATTATCAGCATAACTAATACTATTTTATCAAGAAATAGGCAATTTAGTTTCATTCTTGTAGTAATTAAGATTCTTGGGTAAAACTGCTCTTGGTAAAGAATAAAAGTAAGGAGAAGTCATTAATCATTACCAAGTAAACAGAAAATCAGTTCTGGCCACCGCTTCACGGTAAACTTTCACTGCTGATTTTACACTTACATACCTCATAAAGTATAAATGTTAATTACTGTTTAATAACAGCCAACAATTTAGTTTCTATAATGCAGAGAATGCTTTTAATGATTTCTGTCCATGAAATAATGAATCAGATTCTACTTGAAGAATGAGGTGGGCATGAAAAGCTCTAAAAATTAGGAGAAAAACAAATATGTCACACTTCTGCATAAAGGCAGAAGATACCCTGGTAGTTCACTCAGGGTAAAACCTTCTTTACCAGGATCCCTTAAAGAGTAATTCATTTGGGTGGGCTATAACTTAGTTTTATTTATTTATTTATTTATTTATTTAAATAATTTCTTTTTTTTTTTTTAAGATTTTATTTATTTATTTGACAGAGACACACAGTGAGAGGGAACACAAGCAGGGGGAGTGGGAGAGGGAGAAGCAGGTTTCCCACTGAGCAGGGAGCCCGATGCGGGGCTTGATCCCAGGACCCTGGGGATCATGACCCGAGCCAAAGGCAGATGCTTAAGGAATGAGCCACCCAGGCACCCCTATAACTTAGTTTTAAAAAGAAATACTGCAAACCTGCTAGACGCTCACCTGTCACACCTATCAGTTTTGATGCTGTGATATGAATACAAACATTAACTACAGCTATGATTTAAGACACAGATACACAAAAGATGTTAGGTTACTGGCAAAGAACTTAAATGTATTCTGTCTCTAACTGTGGCCCCAGCACTAGCTTTCCTAAAATAGTTACATACACAGGCAAAGTCAAGTCTATATGCTTTTGCGCAACATACATTCTGAGCAATATGTTTGGGCAATATGTTTGCTCTACTGCAACATTTAAAATAGCAACCCTAACACTGAGGATTTACTTCATAAACACACTGGATCAGAGGCACTTCCTCAGCAGTTGGAACTGATTTTTCTATTCTACTTGCATTTTTAGTTGACAGTGAAAGAAGGAAGGATGTCCCTCCAAATTTCAAGAATTTGTGCTAAGGTATTTTGGGGGAAGCTCAGCCTGCAGTTTTTCAATCTCATCAGAAGATGACATTTTTGTAGGCGACAGTAAGCCAAAGTTTTTTCTGAGGTCCACCTTAATATTAAACTTAAAACACAGGCATCTTTAGTAGTATACAAATTAAAAATCCTAAATAATGCATGCCTTCAGGATCGATTTTTCTCATGAAATCTTTTGTAATATGTCAGATTTTGAAGACCAAAGGTTGACTCTCTTACGGTGCAGAGTTAAAGAATCAGGATAGGAAAGACAACTGGAAATTAGGAGGAGGAAGATGGCAAAAATATTAAAAATATAACTCTATTTTAATAGTGCTTCCTTTGGGTATGCAGCAAGACAATACTATTTCGTTTTCCTTAATAAATATTACATTACTATTATAACTTCAATTCAGGTTAAAAAAAAGTGCTATTTGTTCATCATATATATAGTAAGCACATATGGAAAGAGAAGGGAGAAAGGAAGAAAGGGCTATTTCATTCCTCTGCTGTCACACCACTGAACTGCCTTCTAAAATATCACCTAGTAACCGACTTCAAAAGACTTTTCTCAGATCACACGTTCCTTAACTTTTTATCCAGCTCCTAGATATCCTCCAACACAAGAAAAGCTGCCTTCTAAAAGTTTACCTCCTGATTATCTCAATTATAACTACTGCTCTACTACCTACCAAACCTCCCTCTCGAGTCCCGAACTGTCTCCTCCTGCAAGTAACCGTCACCTCACTGATCCTGATGCCTGTGGGCTTGTCAGCACTGACGACAGGCTTCAGAGCTAACATATCACTCACTCCACCAAGACAAATACTTTCCCAAAGCCCTTATTTGTGTTCATGGAGCCAAAATTTCATCGTCCAGACCAGAATCCCAAATTCATTCCTTGATTCGTTGCTATCCTGGTCTACGCTCCCCATTCAATCCTTCATGAAAGCTTCTGGATTCTGTCCTTATAACATTGTCTAGATCAGTAATCTCTACTTCTTTCACCTACATTCAAGCATTTTTTTATCTTTTATCTGAATTACTTTATAAGCCTATTAATTTATCTCCTAACCTCAGGTTTTTTTCTGCTCCAATGTATCTTCTACAAATATGCAAAATTAATCCTTCTAAGGTACAGCTATGATTACTTTACCAAAGATGTCACCAAATCTTGATCAATGACTAATGAATTAAGTACAGACTCTCCGCCCTATCCCTCAGAAATACAGGTAAGTCTATTTGGTTATAAAGAAAGTTGCTTTATCCCATTTTTATGGAGAGTTTACTAAAACATAGACTGGTAGATTAATAAAATCAAGGTACAAATAGGATGGATGTGGGGGAAAAACTAGGCTTAACTGGCTATGAGGATACTTAATTTTAACATTTTATGGCTAAGTGAAACTTTTTAAGCCCTTTAACTAAAATTTCACAATCTAGAATACTACTTTTCAGTCATAGGTCAGGACAGTTGATCTCCAACTCATGTAATATGGCAGGACTCACAGTGTGTGTTTAAGAGAACCACATACACATGTCTGATGAACAAATCAATAAGGCTGTAATACAGATAAATGAGGTTAGCTAAGAATTAAACCTGGATTGCTCGCCATAAAAGAAATGCCCCAAAATAAACCAGTGCTTTCTTTTTAAGATTTATTTATTTATTTACTTATTTATTGGAAAGAGAGAATGAGTACAAGTGGGGAGGAGGGGCAGAGGGAGAGGAGGAGGAGGCTCCCTGCTGAGCAGGGAGCCCAATGCTGGGCTCAATCCCAGGACCTTGGGATCATGACCTAAGCCGAAGGCAGATACTTCACTGACTGAGCCACCCAGGTGCCCTAAACCAATGCTTTAATGAAGAGTAAAATAACCCAATGAAAAAAAAAGAAATTTCCGTTGGTCCAGCACTGCCACTTAATAGTTTTATAACCTTTGCTCATCTCAACTTAAAAAATTTTAGCCAGTATTACTGATCACTTTTTATCAATAGTAAATGGGGAATAAGCATATTGCCTTAAAATGTTAGCTCAATTTGAAGAATTTAACATTACCGCCAATAGAAATGTAATACAGGGGTGCCTGGGTGTGCAGTTGGTTAAGCATCCAACTCTTGGTTTCAGCTCAGGTCATGATCTCAGGGTCTTGAGATCCAGTGTCGCTTTGGGCTCCATGCTCAGTGTGGAGTCTGCTTAAGACTCTTTCTCTTTCTCCCTCTGCCCCATTCCTTCTCCCTGTTCTCTCTCTTTCTAAAATAACACATACCTCTACAGAAATTTTACATTAGTCAAATGTCTAAAGGATTAATCTTTGCCTTCCCCACTGATTAAGTTTCAATAGAGCAGGGGCCATCTGTTCTCATACACTCTTAAAAGAAACAAAATGTAAACAAATGGAAAAACATCAGTGTTCTTGAATAGGAAGACTCAGGATCATCAAGATACCAATTCTTCCCCAAGTTAATTGTAAAATGTGATACAATCCCAATAAAAACACCATCATTCCCCTGTACCAGTAGGGCAAATGAATTGTTTAAAATTCATTTGGAAAAATAATAAAATAAGAATCAGCCAAGAAAACTGGTCTATTGAGAAAGAAGAACAAGGATAACTCGATCAAATTTTAAAACTTACTATAAAATATTTATAATTAAGAGTGTGGTACTAAACAATGGTGCCAACTCATGGACAGTTGACCAGAAAAGGAAATCCAAAAAGAGCCAACTGCATATGGAAATCACTTTGATCATACAAGTGACTAAAATCCAAACAGATAAGAATGAAATTATTTTTGAAAGTATATTTCCAGGTTTTAAAAAATTAAATGTGATTACAAGCTTATTTCAAACAAACGTAAAACAATATAAAGGTTCACCACTCTGCACTCTACACGTAATTTTTTGCATTTATCACCATTTCTAAGGATCTGGCTTAGTTACCAAATTAGAACCATTCTTCACTAATGCTGTAATTACTCTGAAACAACCCTTGCACAGAATATAATTTTGCACTCACAAAAGCAATTGAAAATACAAAAGAACGGTATATGTCCTCTTAAATCTTAACACTGAATAAGCTCTTCTTTAAATACTTTCAGAAAAAGCTGATCATGATAAATAATGGAATCGGTTGTTACAAAAAGCACAAACATACTCTTTAGTGAATATCCCCCGAGGACCTGTGGCTGTGCCCTGGCTAGCATCCAGGGCATGTTTTTCCACAATATTACGGGCAGCTGGACTTAAACGGAACCTAAGAAAAAAACGTGAAGATTAAGGAAACTAATAAACACTCATAATTTGAATCAAATATACCTAAAACATCAAGTTTTACCGATAATTAGCAAAATAAAAATTTATAATAAAGTTAAAATGATTCCCATAGTCACAAATAAATTAATCTGTACTAATCTGGTTTATTTTACTACCAAATATTTTCATACAAATTTAATTAGTTACTATTTCAAAATATTCCTTTAATAAGAGTAAATATTCAAAAGGAGAGAGCTTCTATTTTGATTAATAATTTTTCACATGGCTCTTCATCCAACACATCAATAAGGAACTAACTATACTGTTCCTTCATTTTTCTCTGTGTGGTAAAACATACAAAAAAATTACAATTTTAAACATTTTTAGGCATACAACTGAGTGGCATTAAGTACAATTAACCTGTTGTGCAACCACTGCCACCATCCATCTCCAGAATTTTCATTCTCTAATTGAAACTCTGTACCCATTGAACAATAACTCCCCATTCCCTGCCCCACCCCCTGCCCCAAGCAGCTAGCATTCCTGTCTTTACCAATTTGATTACTCTAGGTAACTCACATAAGTGGAACCACACAATGTCTGTTCTTTTGTGATTGGCATATTTTACTTTGCATAATTCCTTCAAGGTTCATCCATGTCATGGTACGTGTGTCAGTATTTCCTTCCTTTTCAAAGCTGAGTAACATTCCGTTGTATGTATATAGCATATTTTGGACACATGGGTTGTTCTCACCTTTTGGCTACTGTGCATAATACTGCTATACATGGCTGTAAAGTATCTCCTTGAGTTCCTGCTTTCAATTCTTTTGAGTATATACCCAGAGGAGGAATTGCTGGGTCATATGGTAATTCTATTCTTATTTTTCTGAGGAATTGCCATACTGTTTTCCATAGTGGCTGCACCACTTTACATTCCCACCAACAGTGCACGAGGGTTCTAGTTTCTCTATATCCCCATCAACATGGAAATTTACAACTCAGCACTTCAAAAACACTGACAAGAACTGACACTGGTAAACTAAAGGAAAAAAATTTTAAAATGGTAAGGGTCTGCATTTTTATTTAAATTCAAAAGTGGTTCTTAAGAGGACCTTTCTCAATGAAGAAGTTTTTCTTATAAAGAAAAAGTAATTTTGTATAATTATAGAGAAGGTTAAATAAATGAACTTGTTAAAATTTTCAGAATCCATCAATTAAAGCTATGTAAGGCTGAAGTGAAATGGTGTTTACTAAGTATCGGTGTTATATAGGGACAAAATTGAGCTCTAGTCTGTGTCGGACACTCAAATGCAATATAGTTGTAAAGGAATGCATGTTAAGATGGTAATTCCATTTTATGTCAGTTGTACATTTAAAACTGGAATTCACATTACAGTAACTAGAATTCCATGGACAGAAACATGATATGAAGTCTGGTATATTGAATTCCATCCTGTAATCCTAAAACCTACTTCAAGTTCAACGTGGACAAAGACTACTTGCTTTGTTCTCCACCGGGTGAGCAGGGCTTTCATACTACCTGGAACATGACACGTATTCAATAACTGTTTGTTTGTTGAATGAACAATGACAGTAAAAGAATCATTCCTAGGCCTCAGTCACCTAAGAAAAAAAGGGAATATCAGCCACTTCCTACATAAGGTGCAAAGATGTTTTAAATATAATGACTGAAATATCCTAAAAGCTGCTGTAACTTCTTTTTTTCTTTTTAACATCAGCATCCAAATAAGCATACTCACTGCAGTTTTCCCAATGTGTGTTCCTTTTTGACAGCAGGAGAAATTTGTGGTTCGGGTGGGGGACAAGGCACTGATGGTTTTGAAGCTGGTGATGGAGGACCTACATCTTTGGGGATTTCAACATGTTTCCAATCTTCTCCTTCTTCAACTAGCAAACCAATTAGTGAACCTAGTTGTATATTTTTAGATCCTTCTTCAACCTGTATTTTAAAAAGAAAATAATTGCAGAGATGGAAAGGCTCGTGACCATATGAAGTAGTTTAAATAATTCTGTACTGATTAGAAAGATCTCTTAATTTGAGCTAAAATCTGCTTCCAAGTCAGCCTGCCTCCTCCTTCTACCCACCACCGTCCTTTCTTACCTTCCCCCACGTATACCTTCCTTCACCACTCTTCCCATCCCAGTTATTAATGCTATATCCTAAAAAAAAAATCTAGAAATTCTCCTCTGACAGCTTCCAAATATATAAGAGCAATCATTACCATCTTCCTTTTGATGTCAATCAGTACAAATCAAAAACAGGAGACTGGTTTACTTCAACTATTTGTCTTTCCCAGATAGTTTCTTGTTATAATAGCTTAGAAATTCCAAGAGCTCACAATGAATTAAGTACCCTAAATTAGTCCTATTACTAACATTAATTTAATGTAAAATGTATTCAGTAAATTTAGTCTCTGGAAAAAAGTATATCCCATCATATAAACAGAATTGGTTAACTACTCTGGTTAATGTTGGTTTCTGTCTTTCCCTATACTTAATTTTTCCATATGTATCTATTTACAAAACCTGAGAAATAAAACCCCATGAATTTTTGTAAGTACATCAGAGACACGGTGGTGTCTCAGCTAATCAATCTTTCATAGATAATGCCAATTAAAAGGATAAATAAGATTGAAGTTTAAAAAAACAAACATACGTATTTCAAATATTTCAGCAGCATTAGCTTTTAAAGAAAGGGCTGATTTTTATTTACTTAGTAAGAGAAGTCCCTAGGGGACCTTCAGATGACAATGTTTTTAAATTCAGTACTGGAAGAAAATGTCATTCCTTTAAAATTTTTATTATTCTCTTTCAATTACATTAAATAAAGTTCATTACAGATGTAATTTAATGAATAATAGAATGAGAGGCTGTAGGATGTTCACTAATATAGTAACTGTAAGTAAGAACATAACTCCTAAAATGGACTTGACATTTCTGATTAACATTAAATTTGATGCTTATTAGTATGTGCACTATTCTAAAAATAAATAAGGCATAAGTCATGGTAATTAGGAAGCTTTGTAAGTTTACTAATTACTGATGGAGAAGAACAGAAATAATGCTTCAGTGAAGCAAAATATATATATAAGAAATGAGTACAGAATATAAGGACATGTAATGAATTACAAGCTGTGAAAAAAAACTAAACAGCCCAAGAACAATTTGTTTAGCTGTTTGTCACATCCTAAAAAGTTTTAGTTCTATGTACTACTCATTTTTTTTTACTATTATGTCAAAAAGATGAGTTAATATTATTTTAAATAAAAATTTTGTTTAAAAAAAAAAACAACACTCAACATGGATCAAGAGTGGACCTTCAGAATGTCCACTGGTAAGGGTTGGAAAGTGGCACCTAAAGGCCCAGCATGAGGCTGGCGGAACTGGGGAGTAGACAGCAACATGGGACAACAAATGGGAAACCTGTGGCACCTATTTCTCCAGACACCCATGCACGGGCTGAACTCCATCTCAAGGCACAGACCCCTAGGATAGAGCCTCTTTCTTTACAAGAGACATTCCCATAGGCTGACATGAATCACCTGCAAATGTGCTAAAGACTGCCCACCTAAGCTCACCAGCGCCCCGGAGGATGTGAGATGCTGAAGTCGAGAGACAAAATCTGTACAGCAGAAACTCCCAACAGAGAAATAGTTTGAGGGGATTCACTCCATTAAAGGTGCTGGTAAAAACTCTGTTTTGATTGTGATGTTAAAAAATAATCAGTAAGTTAAATAGTTTCTTCTGTAAGAGTTAAACAGTGTGAAAGCTGCTGACACAGAAGGAGCGCGCACGGCGGTTAATGGAGAGGAGCAGAGTCACATGACTGATTGGGTTTGAAAGTTTAGTAAAATATAATACGTTATATGTTAATAAAGCCTCTAAGACAAGATATCTAAAAAAAAAAAAAAAGAAAACTTAGTAAAACTTTTCTATCATGGTTTCAACCACTGAACGGTTTGAAACTGTCTATATTCTTTAAGATAAACATTTTAACTTATATGCAAATTAACTTTGGTCTGAAAGGAAGATACATAAGAAACACTGAAGCTGAAAACAAATCAACGACAAGTTAAAAATGCAGAGGGGGAGAAAAAACACTCATTAAGTCCTTGACTAACAGTTTGGCAGTCAAGTGCCAGGCACTGTTCTAGCACTATGTCAACTCATTTAATTCTCCTAACAACCTTAGGAGGTAAGTGCTATTATTATTCAAGTACAGATAAGGAAACTGAAGCACAGAAAGGTTGAAGGACTTGCTCAAGATCATAAGACCAGGAGGTATCCAGCCAAGATTCAAATCCAGTCTGACATTACAGATAGCATTCAGCACACCAAGTACCAAATCTGTAAACTGCATTCACAGGACCAAAATGATCATACAGCAGTTCAAGATCATGCTCCTACTTTAAAAAACAAGCTTAAAGGGGAGAAGATATAGACTGGGTTATAATTCATTTAGCTTTTAATTCACAGGGAACACAGACTCATTTACCATTTTAATGCGTCATTTACCCATTTCAACATGAAAATATTAGAACTGAGAATATCTCCCATTTAGTCAATTTGCTCTGAGCTTTGAGGGTTATTTTCTCAATTAAAAATGTTATAGTCTACAGAGAGGAATCAATTGAAGGTCTCACAACGTCAAATTTCAACCATAAACTTGGGAACAGTGAAATGCATCTTTGAAGGTGACTCAGGCAATTTAATGAAAAATAAGGGGGGAAAGGGACCTAACAATAAAATCATATTGAAAAAATACACATTCTTGAAAAAGAAAAGAATACATTCTTTAGAGAAACACTAGTGACACAGTATTAGAGTAAGATACAGCTAAGAAATTGATTGAAGAACATGACTAGTACCAAAAATAATTATTCTTTGTTATTTTTTAATTTTAGGAGTATCAACAAAAGGAAGCATTTTCTTCTTTTTTAAGTAAGCTCTCCCAAAATGGGGCTTGAACTCACGACCCAGAGATCAAGAGTCGCATGCTCCACCAACTCAGCCAGCCAGGTGCCCCTAAAGGAAGTATTTTTTAAAATTTTGCATTAATATCCATGGATTTTAGTTTTCAGAAAGAATTCTAGTCTTGAAAATTATTTTGAAAAATAATGGTCTACCAATATAATAAAAATCTATCAATGAATGTTTTGCAGTCAATAAATTAAAATGTCAAAAATTTATGTAAGTTTAAATAATCTTAATATCCTACACCCTTTTCACCCTCTAAAGTATCCTGGTTTGTAACAAATCATATAGTAACCCTAAAATGTTAGAAGCCAAACCAGACAATCTTTAATAAATTCTCCAAATAGGGGCGCCTGGGTGGCTCAATCAGTTACGCATCTGACTCTTGATTTTGGCTCAGCTCTTGAGCTCAGGGTTGTGAGACAGAGCCCCACACTGGGCTCCACACTGGGCATGGAGCCTGCTTAAGATTCTCTCTCTCCCTTTCCATCTGCCCTTCCCCTTCCCCCTCTAAAGACAAAACAAAACAAAACCCCCAAATATGTCATCCTAATAGTCTACTTTATTAACATCATTTAAAATGCCTGCTGTCCAATTTGCTGAATAAATTTAAGACTAAGCTTATGAACTAATACCTGAGTAAAAATTTAAGGTTTTCTGTACAATTTACTAGTGATTAAATAAGAATTTAACAATTTTCTCATTAACTGAACTAAACTGGAAATGGATCATAAAATTATCTACACTGACAGCAATTATTCTTTAACATTATTAAAAACTTCTAAGCTTTTTTCTGGTTCTAACTGAAATATAATAAGTATTATTTTATATAAAATGGAAATCAGATGCAAAAATTACGAATGAGAACAAAGAGATATGAAATTGGGCAGGGGGAGAGGAAGAATACAAAAACCTTTCCAAGACTATGCAAACAAATCTCCATGAAGAGCAAGATAGGTAATAATTTCTAATGGTTTCAAAAATGTGCACAAGCTAAAAACTAGAGCTTTATATCATCACTTGCCTTTTAATAAGATCAATCTCCACCTCCTTGATTCTGAAAGTAAAGATCTCGGATAAGTATTCTTATTAAAATCAGTTTATTATGTGTGCTCATATGAGAATTATTCCACAATGAAAGACAAAGGTGTAACCTGCATGGAATGGAGAGAGCTGAGAGTGGGGAGGGGTGAAAGACTAAAACACCCCAGTGATGTCACCTAATATCACCCTGATTTTTTTCCTCCATAAAACTGTTACATTGTGACATGAATAGACTCCCATTCCTATTATTCAAAACGCATGTGGAATAATAATAAAGCCATAAAGCCCTAAAATACACATACAATCTTTTCTTTGGCAAGGAAGTAACCATTTGTGCTGCTAAAGCCCTTATTAATCATATCTCCCCCTCAGCCCCCTAGCTTTTCAGAGCATTAGGGGCCAGATGAATAGGCACTACTGACCTATAACACTGTTAGCAATTTGAAATGCATTACGAAGCAGCTAAGTGGGAAAAGCTATCAATTCTGGGAGACTTTCATAGTCAAACAATCCAGAGCTAGGGCCAAGAACACAGCTTGCCAAAAGCATACACAATAAAACGTAGCTGGGTTTATTACATATGGTGATTCAAACAATCTTTTCCTTTTTCAAAATGCTGCACAAACTAGTTGAAGAAACTATTTTTGGTGAGAATAATTACATTTTCCTTGTTATGAAGGTATAGAAATTTTAGCTTTCCATTCATATTTCCTCCAAGAAGTATTTTCAACACGGTGTTTTAACATGGCTATTAATAATGTAGATGACAAGTAAAGGAAGTTTGATAATTAGAATGTAAAAAACATGGAGATTTGTTTGCATATGAATGATGAAAAAAGGGAAAAGGATTTTTCAGTAAGAAACACGAGTGAAAAACTGTGTATAGATCTACATCTAATTAGATTATAACATTCCAAATTGTGGTCTTTGGATAAAATGTACAAAGAAAGGTGTTGTTATCCATTCCCAAAACAGAGGTGAGCTGGCATCTCAGAATTAAAAACGTATCAACAATGGACTATAACAGATATGCAGCGTCTCTGTACAAATCAAACTACAGAGGCATGAATGGATACTTATTGTTCAGTTGCAAACAACCAATACAAATTATTAGATAAACATATAGATTGACATAGGGGCTAATGGTCACCAAGAGCTGAGTGAGTAATTATAATAATAATTAGAGTAGCAATATTTCCTGATGCTTGGTGGGTGACAAGCCTTAATGAGTATATATGTATTATCTCAATCTCTACTACTGCTCCATGGTGTAGATATTATTATTATCTCTACTTTATTATGAAGGAAAAGGCCCATAGAGGTTAAAGAATTTGCCAATCACAGGGTGCCTGAGTGCCTCAGTGGGTTAAGCATCTGACTCTTGGTTTTGGCTCAGGTCATGATCTCAGGTTCCTAAGATCTAGCCCCAGGTTGGGTTCCATGCTCAGCATGGAATCTGCCTGAGATTCTCTCTCCCCCTCTGTCCCTCCCCCTGCTTGTGCTTTCTCTTTCTCTCTCTCTCAAATAAAGTCTTTAAAAATAAATAAATAAATACAATAAAAAATAATAAAAATATATTATGTAGATACAGATAACATGACATTATAAATACAGTGGTAAAAATAAAAGGTGACTTTAATTCAAAGAACTTCACATTTAAGAGATCTTCATCCCGTTGAAGACAATCAAAATAAACACTTACCACTATTTTGGCCAAGATGCCATCATCACTTGCATCTAAGGTAACCACAGCTTTATCAGTCTCTATTTCACATAAGGCATCTCCAGCACTCACAGCTTCACCTATAAAACAAGACTGGGTTTGTTTTGTTTTTTAAAATATGAATGTTAGTATGTGGGTTTGAGTGTGTGTTTAAGTGTATAAAACATGAATAATGAATACCAAGATATTCAGTACCTAGCTCTGGGCTGTGGAATTACAAGTAATTTTCATTGTGTATGTGAGTGTGTGTTTGCATGTGTGTATATTATGTATGGTTTGTTGTATTTTCCAAAAGCTCTATAATGGACATAAACTACATTTGTTATAATAAAAACAACAATTACAAAAGATTATTGAACAGATATAATGAGATCACACTCTAGAAACAATAGCAATGAATGCATATTCTCTTCCAAACAAATCAATTCCAGATCTATTCCTTTCTTTTTTATTATGTTTTGACTATTATTCCATGAGGAGAAAAGTTTTACAATTAATAGCACTTCTTGGTTAACATTGTAGCATAAATTCAGAAACCCTGTTGGCACTGCAGAGCATAAATAAATAAAGCATATTAAACAAAAAGAGACAATGTCAAAGACACAACTGAGGTCAAATAAGAAACATTTCTGTGCAACAGAAACAATATGGAAACTCAAAAATGTTGAGCAAGATCTGACTTGCTGTTTCTGAATCTAGAAACAGGTGGAGTGGGAGGAGGTTAGCAGGGAGAATGCAGTGGTTTCCTTTGGAATAAAGAGAACTAAAAGTGATTTGCTGCAGACAGGGATGCAAATCAGAATCTCCCCTTAAAGCTAGGGCTGGGTCAGTGACTCTAGTCATAACAGAAGGCCAATAAAGGGGGCAATCAAGACCTGCTGACTAGGACTATGGCTTTTACCAGAACTGTAGGTCTAGGAAGGTAGGGAACAAAAACACTACCTCAGTACCAGGATCTGAGCCAAGCCACCCTCTGGCTCCATTACCGCATCTATTTGCAATATCAATAGCAAAATCCCTAGACTGGGGGTGGGGAAAGGGAAAGTGGAGGGCAGGTGGGAAGACACTGAAACACAAACAAAAAGCCTTTTTTAAATAAACAAACAAACAAACAAACAAACAAACAAAGTTCCAAAACATTTGAAGAAATTTAATGCTAAGAAAGAAAACCACAAAACCAATAATGGAAACAAACTTATTTCAGATGAAATTCATTTAGTGCAACCTGCCAGAGATTTTTAAGTAAGTATTTTGAGGATGTTCAGAAACATAAATGAAGGTAAAAGATCCATCACAAGAACAAGAGATAAAAAACAATGTACAGAAATGAAACAAAATGACATCACATAGGAAGGAAAACCTAATTAGAAATCTTGGAAATGAAAAATAGTCATTGAAATAAAAAGAAACAATCATTGGGATGTATTCTAGACTAGACATAGTAAAGTGAATTATAAAGGCAGCATTAAGGAACTCCCTGGAACTTACTACAGGCAGAAAAAAAAGATTAAAAATAGAAGAAAGCAGTAAGAGACACAGATTGAGGCTGCAATGCTTATCTAATAGATTTTCCAAGGGAAGACTGGAGGGAATAGTTGAAAAGCAATACATGAAAAGATACATGCTGAGAATTGTCTACAGTGGAAAAGAAATACATATCCTCAACATGAAAGAGCTCTGAATGAAGTTAGATAATTGTAACCTATGATGTATTGACTAGGAAGGGGCACCGGGAGCCTTGTAGCTCGCTGGAAATATGAATTATGAATCTTGACTAGGTGGTGGTAACCTGGTTATATGTGTAAGTAAAAATTAATTGAGCTTACACTTTCTTCAATTTATACTTCACTAAAAAAAAAAAAAAGCAGAAAAAAAGTATTAGACTGTATGAATTCACATTAGATACACTGTAGTGAAATTCCATACAATAAAAACAATCTTAAAACCTATCAGAGGAAAATAAACCAGATTACATCAATGGAATGACAGAAAGCATACTTCTCAGAAGCTGTAATAAAGGTCAGAAGACAATGGAATAGTATCTTCGAAAAGCTGAGGAAAAGTAACTGTCTAGAATTTTATATGTAACCAAACCATCATTCTAGAATAAAGGAAAGGGGGGGCACCTGGGTGGCTCAGTCAGTTAGGTGTCTGACTCTTGATTTCGGCTCAGGTAACGATCTCAGGGTTGTGGGCTGTGAAATCGAGCCCCGTGTCGGGCTCTGCTCTGGGTGTGGAGCCTGCTTAATATATTCTCTCTCTCTCTCTCTTCATCTGCCCTTCCCACCTTCCCTTTCATAAAAAAAAGATTCTTTAGACATAAAAGGCTAAGAAAATTTACCACCTATCGATGAGCTATTAAAAAATGCAGTTCATCAAGAAGAAAAATGGACACAGGAGGGGACCCATGGACTACATGAAACAAGTTACTACAGAAACTGATAGAATGGTAACTATGAATCATTTAAAAGCTAATTTCTGAGGGTTTAAAAAATGCAAAACTCAAACTCTAAAAAAAAATAAGCTGGATAAGGAAATGTTTAGTTGATAGTTAAAGCATTAAAAGAACTTTGATATAAATAGGCAGAAAAAAATGCTAAATAACTCTAGATTTTATTGGCAAAATTTAATTAAATATGTATCCAAAATAATTAATGATGTACACCCCCCCAAAATAGAAATATTATCTACAGCATTCTGCAAAGCAGAGGAAACATTAAATAAAAACTATCACCCACCTGAAGACACATGAAAAGAAAAAAATAAAAAACACACCGAAATTGTAGAAATAAGTCCAAATGTATCAGTAATTGTAATAAACGGATTAAAACAACCTACTAAAAGCAGAAATTATCAAAATGATTACAAAAAAATAAAATCTGGATAAATGTGGCTTACAAGAGACAGACCTAAAACAAAACCAGAATAAAAATACAAGTATAGAAAAGCATGTAACATACAAATACACTCCCTCACACATATACCAAAAATAGCTGGTACTGCAGTTTTCATAGGCACACTCAATAAAAGAACATGAAGGAAAATCTAAAACACTACAATAAATATGCTCTGGAAGTTTACTGTACAGAAACTACTTCCCTGTATACCAAGATGGTCACATAGATGGTTATATTATCTTTGGTTAAAACAGTCTGGAACTGTCAATATAAACTATTTTAATGAAATCAACATTATCTGTTAGATGATATTTATGAAACACCTAAAAGGTGACTGTTAGCCTAACTAACCCTGAAGAGATTTTTCTACTCAACAAATATTTATTAAAAATGCTTTAAGGTACTGAGGATACAGCGGGGGTGGGGTGGGGGGGTGGGAAGGGAAGTTAACATTCTAACTTCAAGAAGCTTGCTTTCTACCTAGTGACAATTAACTGGAAATTATGGTGGGATCGGGTGAAGTTAGGATGCCATAGGAACATTCAGGAGGGGTATCTAATTTAGTTTTTGCAAGGTGAAAGGCTTCCTAAAAAAAGAATATATATATTTACATAATTATGTATATTATATACATACTATTTATACATATATATAATCTGAGCCTGAAAAGACGAGAAGACAATCAAGTAAAGAAGCAGTGATCCAAGCAGAAGGCACAACATACCCAAAGCCCAGGAGGCAAAAGAGAACAGGAAACTTTGGAGGAGCTGGGTAATAGTACCTGAGAGAAGCAATGAGAGATTAGGCTGGTGAGGTAAGCAGAAATCAGACCCAAAAGGAACCTTGTACGTCCCACAGAGAAAGCAGATTATATCATCTTACATACTTCTTTATAATGGCAGATGTTTTCATAGTTAAAATAGAGTGTATTTCAAAAAAAAGAAAAAAAAAAGAGTGTATTTCAAAAGGAAAAAAAAAAAATCACACCCTTATGTTTCTCTGTAACCATGGAAAAAACAATTGAACTAGGCCACCTAGCAATACTTCTAGACACCTAGAAATTCTGCCCATAAGAAAAAAGTAAAATTCACAGATCTGTATTCCTGAAACAAATAATACAATATATGTTAAAAAAAAAAAAAAAAAAAAAGAAGAAGATAGCAGGAGGGGAAGAATGAAGGGGGAGAATCAGAGGGGGAGATGAACCATGAGAGATGATGGACTCTGAAAAACAAACTGAGGGTTCTAGAGGGGAGGGGGGGTGGGAGGATGGGTTAGCCTGGTGATGGGTATTAAAGAGGGCACGTATTGCATGGAGCACTGGGTGTTATACACAAACAATGAATCATGGAACACTACATCAAAAACGAACGATGTAATGTATGGTGATTAACATAACAATAAGAAATTTAAAAAGAAAGAAAAAAGTAAGATGACGTTTTATCACTTGTGTCCACCTACCACAAATTCCAAACACCCTTTAAGAACCATAGATAAAAAAATAAAACCCCACAAAAAAACAAACCATAGACAGCCATCGATCAATCTAGATGACTTTGTTCCTATTCCTGAATTCCTACAACAGTTGTAATTAATTTGAAATGAATCACAAATTGCATTCTAAAATGTTATGTAGCTACTGTTATTTTTTTTTTCAATTGGGTTTTCCTCTATTTACCAGGCTGTGAGCTTCTTCACAACAGGAACAGGACACATCTTAAGTGTTTTACATTCTACCTCATTACCCTGGACTCCAGCTAGTGCTTCACACATAATGAGTTTGCGCTGAAAACGCTTGAGGGAAAAAAACTATAGTAATTTCACAAATCCTCATGTCATCATAAGGTTTACATCAAACTATCATTATATTTCGTTTGGTTCTAACATTTGATTTGTAGCATGCTTCTAACAGTTAATATCTCGGGCAGCCTATTTCCTTTTTATGGTGTTTTAATTATATGTACACCTACTCACATAACACAGACATATATATTTGCTATATGAGGATGCCGAGAGAGAGAATGGAAAGAAACCTAGAGAAGGATCAATCCATTACACAGTGAAATTTCCCCAGAAACCATAGCAGTTTAAAACATCGCATTATTATATAAGGGCACATTACCCCTAATTTTATGAAACTAAGGTACTAGCTATCAATAATCAAACATAATGTAAACACCAAA